TTTTGAGGTTTTCGGCTAGAGATTGCCTCTGAGTTGGACATCAACTTGGTCCCCAGCCGCTGATCCAAACACGACACGCAAAGCGTCAACACAACAAGGCCAACACAACACAGTGTACACAGTGTGTGTGTGGATCACCAGAAAAGAAAAGGACAAGACAAAAACATAAACAGCAACAACAACAAAGACAACATATCACATTCAGGAACAATACATGACGCAAAGACAACAAACAGCATAACCGTTTGACCGCGCTTTTGTCACGAGTCGTTGTGCACCCTGCGCCGTGGACCAAGCCTTGGTGAGGCAGCTTTGGTGCACAAAGGCTGCGGAGCCCCGGCAAGGGCAAGGTGCGATCAGGTCGCCTCAAGCGTCGATTTCAGGCCACGGGATAGGTCTCAAAGGGGGACCCGCAAAATGCAGGTTTTCCCCCCTCGCGAACCAACCTGCAAAGGGCAACCTGAAAAGCATCCGAAGGCTGTCAAAGGTTGGGAATTCACACAATGGAGGCTTTCCCTTCGGTTTCCGAACCCTGAACAGGGCCACCGCCAAAAACACACACACACACCCGCAAGCGCTTTTCTAGAGACACACCTCCACCGGAATTTTCGACTTCAAGGCCGGGGGGGGATTCCTAACTGGGCGTCACCAACACAAGGCTACCATAGCTTGGCTGTGGGAGTCGAGGATCTGCTTTGATTCGAAGATCTGTTCACACCGCCAAGCATCCCGAAGCTTTAGGGAATGAGGCTGAGGCACATCCGCCGCGCATATCTTGGCATTGCTTGGGAAAGCAGTCGACAGTGTCAACACTAGGCAGACCCTCCAAAATGCAGATTGATGTGTCTACAATATATACTGCTGATTCGGACTTTCTGCAATCAAGAGACAATCTCCTCGGCGCTTTGGATTCTAGGCGGGTGTACATTCTAACTTGGAACCTTTGGTGGACATCATTTCGGGATGTGTCTGCCAACCATTTCTGAGGGTGTCCCTTGTTCAAAAAGTCCCAAGTCTGACGCAGTAAAGGGGGTCCCTGTTTCTCTTCGACCCCTAACCTTGCTTTTGGGCCCATAAACCATGCGAAATGGAGATCAACACACCGGTTTGGGGTGGGAAGAACAGCGCCCACCAGCGCCGTGCTCGGTTTCGTTTCGACGCCCCGTGCCGGGCCACCATCGCCCTCCAGGCAAATGCGGCATTGCTTCACCGCATCCATTTGGGCGCCGCCATGAAACGCATGCAGACCGCCAGACCGCACGGGGTCGGGCGATGAGTAAGGTGGGAAGAGAAGTTCGGAAGAAATCGGGTAGAACAGACGACAGCATCTTGTATTGCCAAATGGATCTAAAACGTGATGTGGTGCTAGAGGCTAGAAGATTCCTTGCCAACTGCTCCCTGCGGCCAAGACAAAATAAAGGCGGGGCAGGCAGTGGGCATCACAATCCAAGGCCACTTGTCCACATGACATGGCTTCAAATGGTCTCCCAAAATACCGCCGATATCCTCACCTCAAGTGGCAAAACGTGGGAACCCCCCTCCCCCGACACAGATCTGTTTTCAAGCCCAGCAACTCGCCGGGCTTCCATCCGATTTTTTCCGGGATCCCCGGCAACCTCCGCAGAGAGGCGCCCACGTCTTGCATGTCTTGCGACAGATTCGGGTGGGTGGCGTAGTACTGGAGGCCAATGGGCAGGGCCACCTCAGCCGCCTTCCAAGTGGCATGTCTGAATTTGTTTCTTTCAGCTGGGCTCTCCGTTCTCAGATCCCCGGCCAAAAGTGAGTTTAACTTGTAGGTTAAATAAATGCAAACCCCCGCCACTAAACCAACCCAAGACAACTAAAAAGCTCAGAAACCCGATGGCTGGGAACCCCCCAAGTCATTTGCACCTTCGATCACCAGCTTTCAGAAATTGGAGCCAGGAGTTGGGCACAGACAGCAGGCGCTTGTTGCATTTGCCGCGAGTTGTTGGCACTTAGGGTCTGGGAATGAGTGAAAGCTTCCCTGCCATGGGCATTGTTCTGAAGAGCTCGCCCATTGCATTTGACGCACAGTTGCCCGTTGCTTCTTGCATGAAGTATCTGTCAAGGGTCGGTACCACTTTTTTCTTTGTACATGCTCCCTGCAGGTGTGGGCCATGACCTATATAAAAAGAAAAGGACTCTGAAGACGCGGGAAAAGTAACGCCATGCCCCAAAACGAGTTGCAAAAGGAACGCCTCACTGCGACCATGCGGGAAAAGCTGAAACGCCAGCATCCAAGGCTCCGTGACCAGGGGGTAGAGAAGGATCAGAGCAGCCTTTGCAGCTCTATGGTGCATCCCCCTGGCCGAATCCATGGAATCGGGCAGGTTGGAAAATCATCTGAAGTGATTCTGCCACGAGAAAAAGACCAGAAAACCATAACCTGTTCGGCATCCCCGAGCAGTGACCGATTTTTTTTGTTTAATGGTACACAAGTAGCTGCGATATCCTTCCAATGATGAAAGATTCAACATGAGGTTCCCGGGTATCAAACATCCATCCCACAGCCCTGGACACCAGGACCCCGGCCGGGGCAAATGTCAGGAACTTTCCCTGCTCTGGTGGGGAAATCCACCGGTGTTTTACATCTACACCCTTTCAACCCACACCCTGTGAATGAAAACCGGGAGATCAGTCAGAATTCTGCCGCGGAACAAGAGGCAAAATTCCAATCCTCGGCACATCCCGGATGTGCTGAAGGGGCACGGGCAATGGATGGCTTTGGTGGTTATAGCTATTGGGTAACTGAGGCATTCCAGGTCTCACACTGGGTTCTCTCCCTCCCACTAACAGCACCTGTGGGAGGGTACCTGGAAGATCAATCTCCTCTTGTAGGGACCCCCTTTCAGGTGCAAGGTTAGTGGGAGGAAGCGTAACCTTTTGGACAATTCGATGGGGTTCCCTGGTACTGGGGCATAAAACCCCTTGAAACCAGTGGCTTACCCATCGATTTCTACCCAACCTACCTATGGTGGTGATGTAAAAAATAGATCCTCCGGGGGGTTTTGCCTGCCTTCCCCTTGCGAAGAAAGCACATCAGCCACATGCGGTGGCCCAAATGCATGACATCAGAGCCATAGGAGCCACAGTCAATATCGATTCGGATTTTGGCAAGTCATTCTTTTCGGGCGATACGTAATTTTTCGAGTGTGGCCTATGAGCCCATGTCATGCCTTGAATGCACGTATGGTGAGTATTGCCATGGTCAAGCCTGGACCAACCTCCGCCCGGAATTCCTGTTTGTCGATCGCCGTTGGGCGAATGACCACTTCACCTAAGCCCAACATCTCCGCAAATGATGCCGAGCCGGATCCGCCTCTGGATCCGCAGGGCGGAACACCCACCGGGAATGCAGTCGTATATGTTCCCATCCGAACTCCGGCCAATAAGCACAAGTCGTATGTACAAAAGCCTTGGCCGAAGATGGGGCGGTGTATTTTTGAAGGTGCCCAGCCCGTGAAAGGGAACCTGGAAGATCAGTTGCCCCCTGTGAGGGGCCCCCTAGGTTCCATGTTCGTGGGAGAGAGGGTACCTGCCTTGGGCCTTGCGCGGGTTTTGGAGGGAACCCAAGCCACGTGGGGCCCACCGTGCAGAGAAATTCCGACTAGCCTGGGTGGGCAGCAAGTGCACACTGCCAGGTAAAGCACACCTGGCGCCGCTCGCTTGGGTTTTTGGGTCTGTCAGATGCGCTTTTCTGAGGCAACCAAGAGGAAAATTTGTTGCTTTGCCCCCCAAGACCCGCACCCACTCGAATTTGGGCGTTTCAACAACAGGACAACGATCAGTTGGAGGTGTCCACGAATTTGGGAACGACACTTTGTCTGCCTTTGTGCGGCTCCATGAGGGGCCGGCCACTGGGTTCCCACAATGTGGAAGTGTCCTCACCTGCCCTTTTTGTTGTAGTCTATTTTAGTAGGGGAACCCTCCCCCCAAAAAGAAACGGCAACAGTTGGCACCTAGCTGGGGGACATAGGGTGGCTGCCAAGACCAGACAAAATTAAATGTGTCAAGGGATCTTACTCATGCTTCAGACTTGGACTGGGTGCTCCTTGAAAGTGTGGCCAAGTCTCCTTCAGGTTGGGCACCCCAGCTACGCAACAGCAGCATTGTGGGACTTGCCTTTTTCTTTTTGCCCCAAGTCTTCAAGTTCTCCGAGCTACACCGGTACACCATCCACTGCACCCGCGAGCTTGCTTCAGAATCGGAACTGGATGGACTTCCGGCCTGTATCCCACCAGGCTTTGCAACCCAAAGGGCGCCCGGCGCCCTTTTGGAAGAAAGACGTTTCGGGGACCAGCCAAAAGCGGGTACAATGCCAAGAAGGGGGTATCGTGAAAGAAGGAAAGGGCATGAGGTGAACCCACGCCTGAACCGCCCAAACTGCCAGGCCTAAATTCGAGACAACGGTGTTGAAGGGCGCATAGCTCCTGGAAGTCGTCGAGGCTACGAAAAGAGTTTGTTCTTAGCAAACGTGTGAAATAAAGAGTTGAACAAAAAACATGACCCATCCGCACTTGGTTCCCGTTCAAACAAATAAATGGGCCATTTAGCACAAATTGCGGTCTGGACATGATACCGTAGTGTCTGATGCTTGCTACTTCAACATCTTGGATGACACTGCAATCGACAAACAAGCCATCCAGCAAAACAAACACAACAACACAAAAAAGCCGGAGCTACGGCTCAACATCTCTGAGTTAAGAACAAACATAGCACACACACACAAATCATCAGCAAGTACACCAAGCCACCGTCCAAGGCAATGGGCCAGGGCGAGGCCAAAGCAAGCACCGCCAATCAGTAGCCAATCAGCAGCCAAGCGGAGCCAAGCGCAGCGAGCAGGCAACCAAGACGATGACGAAGATGCCGCAAAATGTTCAAACAACTCAAAACTTATGGACTTCCTCTTCGGAAGGGACTTGCTGTGAAAAGAGGTGACCTCGTAAAGACCAGATTGGTAGCACTTAGTGAGAACCTCGTTGCTGCGATCTGTGAGAGCACACGTGGCCTGCGGCAGCTGTGGCTTTTCAAACACATTGGCGAAGTCATTGCACATGCACAGCACCAGTTGTTGCTGCCTGCTGGATTTGCAGACTCAGGATCCCGGCATACGTCTCCAAACTTTTGGTTTGGCTAGACAGAAGCCTGGTGCCAATTCAAGGTCCAGGGAGCAGTGCTTTTGGTTGCTGACATGGGCATGGATCAAATTAATTCACCAGGATATGGACCGCAGGTGTTGGTCCATGTTTCCACTTACCGGATTGAATCCCCCATTTTGGGGTTACCAACTATTTCTGACACCAGCGAGATGTTTGCGAAGTCGTTGGATTCATGGGGCTACCGGCATTTTGCGCCACAGCCATCCAAAGGGCCGCCCCAGCGAGCGACTCGCACGCGCCATCGAAGCCGAGTCCTCAAAGCGAAGAGGGGCACCAGGAAGCAAAGGAAAAAGCCAAAGACCTGACGAGAATCGAAGACGTTTTTATCCAAGAATGTTTGGTTTTACAGGGCAGTTTCCAAGCAAAAACCTGCAACTCTTTTCTGTTTGCGATGCTGTTTGCAATGTTCCCCTTCACCTAGGCTTCATGTTTACATACATATATATATATATATATAATATATATATATATATATGTGGTCCAGCCCCTACCCCCTCCCCCTGTGGCATGGTGGGGCTGGTTGGGGTTGAATATAATTACAGATTCGAAGCCATAGCCACCTGCATCCATTTTGACTTTTACCCCAAATGCCCGACAAATTGTGCAAGTGAACCCACGCACAAGCCATGGGGATTTCCATCCAATCACAACCCACAAACCCACACAAACCCACAACCAACCCACCAACCAACCACCCACCAACCCACCCACCCACCCACCCACCCACCCACCCACCCACCCACCCACCCACCCACCCACCCACCCACCCACCCACCCACCCACCCACCCACCCACCCACCCACCCACCCACCCACCCACCCACCCACCCACCCACCCACCCACCCACCCACCCGACCCACCCACCCACCCACCCCAACCACCAACCGATCAACCGATCAACCGATCAACCGATCAACCGATCAACCGATCAACCAACCAATCAACCAATCAACCAACCACAACCACAAATCTTACGCTTGTCCTTGTTCCTGCTTGCAATTCGGGCGTCCCCATCTTGTCTCTGAAGTCTAAGGCCAGCACCAGCAAATGCCAAGCACGCTTCACTGGGGACACCACCTGGGCCGAGTGCCTTCCTCCCAAAGTCCAAAAGCGGCATCGAGCGTGGCTTGTTGTTCTTGCGGAAGCTCAACCCCTTATCCCCCAAAATCAAACCCGAGTGTCCTGAAAAGTTCAACCGACTCAAAGGCGATGTGCGTATGCTCTTGCCCAGGCAGTGGTTTCATGTGGGACCAAAAAGCAACCTCATGTTTCGTTGGTAAATTCTGACAACTCCCCCCCCCCCGAGCCAAAGGGGGAATGCATTTTGGCGGCACCCACAAGACACAAGCAAAACTAATCTGCCACTTGGCAACTGGTGTTTGTACGCTCTTGCGGGTCTGAAAACAAAACAGAATCCTATCCATTACTGTTGACTTTATTTTAGGAAAAACAAACATGGGTTATTTAGCACCCACCAAGGGAAACGCATCTGGTATATATATATATATATACATATATATATATATAGGTGACGCTTAACAACCACACAAAGGTGAAACGTAGGGAACCCTGAGCGGTACCAGTTTCCTCGGCGACATTGCAATTGCCTTCAGCTTCTATTCGTCTGTGCAAAAACATACAACGGCTAGAAGAGAGAGAGAGAGAGAGAGAGAGAGAGGAGAGAAGAAAGATAAAATGGGTTGAGCTTCAGGCTGCTGGTTGACAGGCCTTGCTTGTGCATAGTTGATAAACAAAAAGCAACCAACACCTTGCAATTTCAATAATATACAAAAAGCAACACAGTTTCAGACCCTATATGCATCCATGTTGGCTGAGTTAGGATCTGTGTGCTTTTCCTTAAAACCAAACAACACAAAACAAACACTCGAGTCGTGCTTTGTATTTGAAAAGTGTAAACAACTTCCAGAAAACAAACAGAACATCAGACCCTATGCCTGTTTTAACTCGAGAACTTGTTCATTGTTTTGTGGAAAGTGTATGCAACCTTGAAAACACCCAAAATCAGAGCTTGTGTATCCAGGCCTGAGCTAGGGTCTGACGTTGTTTGAAAACTCCAGGCGTTGCTTTTGATTTTGTGTGTATGTTCTTGGACAAGTGCAAATCCACCTCGAGAAACTTCGAGAAAGCTAAATCCCTGCGTGAAAAACACACCTGCCCTTCCAAAAAAAAGGAGCAAAAAGAAGAAGCGCTGTGGGGGCAGGGGGCAGGGGACCACAGAAAACACATAAACAGTGTCTCACCTCAGGGGAAACCGAGGTATCCGAGGGCCCGGCTGAGTCGTGGAGGGCGGTAGTGAGCTGCTGCTGGCCCCTGGCGTGTGGGGTTTGGTGTTTTTCCATGAAAATGTCGTTTTGGGGGACGCCCCTGGAAATGAGCGGAAGGAACACGAAGGGGAGGTCACAGAAAGTTCCCCCCAAGGCAGCTTTTCCTCTGCAAATGGGGCGCTTTTGTTGGGGTGTAGGGGAGGAAGGGAACGCATTTCAGGTTGGTTTTAAGGAACCCCCCCCCCCCCCCCGCAGCTGGTATCCTTTTTGGCTGTCTGTATCCCATGGTTGAGGTCCCTCTATTGTGAGACGAAGCCTTCGGTGTGAAACGATTGTCAAACAGGGTACCCACAAACTGATCTAAATCTCAGCTAAACCGCTTTTCTTGCTGCGACCCTCGAAAATATTGTCTTCTCCAAACTTTACATGACATGTCACTGATCTGGAAGACCCAAGACAACAATTTCGAACCGCAGTCGAGTTCCCCCATCTGCTCGTAAGCTGCGTTTGTCCCATCATCCGGAGAGTTAGATGTCAGCGAACAAACCCCTAGCACAGAGCCACAATTCGAGGTTTGGTCTTATAGCAATGGCTCAAAGTGAGCAACTGTCTGGTGGGAGCTGGTGGGTTCCGTACTGTGCGTATCGTCGCTTCCAATGAAATGTTGCAAGTGAACCAAGGCACATCCAACCCCAAAACCCTGGCAAGTAGATGTACCGGTACCCTGGGCTTGGTTTAAGGAGAAACCAACAGGAAGCCACCAATTTTAGGGCGTCCAATAGCCCAAGGGTGACCAAGATGGTTTCCGCTACCCCCAAGCCACTACTTTCAGGGGAGATCAGGGCTTGTTGCCTCCATCCTGAAAACTGGTGAATTCTCAACACCCGGACTCGTTGTCATTCCCTAGCTCTCGCAGCAAGAATGACCCGTGGTTTTGGGAATGAACCTTTGGAAACCCTAAAACGGAAACCATAGAACACGGTGTTTCTTGGGGTCGTTCCATTTCTCATTTGCCTATCGAACCGATAGCAAGTTACCGTCTCTCCCACATTGCCATGGCACCTGTAAAGAAAAAAGAAACATGGTGCCTGGAATCTGAAAGATCTAGTTCCTCTTGGAGGAAAAAGGGGAAAATCCGTTTCCTGATGGAAACGGACCGGGAGGTTTCCTGTCACCCTGTCAGTTTCCGTGTTGGGAGGCTATGTGGTCCGGGGCTCCCCCGAGCTGCTCCGCTCCGGGCGCTCCGTGCAAAGCCGCGCCGCGCGCCGCGGCCTCGTGGCGAAAGTGCCCGCGGTGGAGGCCGCAGCAGCGGTTCCGGTCCTCGAGGCGTGCGGGGACAAGCAGCACGAGCTGAGCGAATTTAGGAATCAACCCATGTGTATCCATGTGTATATGAATATATGTGTGTATATATATATATATTATGTATATATATATATGTATACTCTCACCCCCCCATGACCTAAGTTTGCATGCGCACGGATCCTTGTGATAGACATTCTGCATATGTATGTGCATATATATGTAGTATATATGCGCGTTCAAACATCCAAGGATAATATTCTACTAACCCACACTTAATAACATAATTGACATAAACATAGTTTACTTAAGGACCTAGACTAGTACGTCCGGGTAGCCATGTTGGAAGGAGGTTAACTTGAAAGAAGGGATCAAGAAAGGAAGCTTTATGGGTGAGATCGCAGAACCCACTCAATGTGGGGTCCCTCTTGTTTTGCCCAACCCATTCAAGCCCCGGCTTTCTTTCAGCTCTGTTGAGCCCATCCGAGCTGCTCCAAGATCCGTGAAACGTGAAGTCACCGTACCATTGGAAAGCATGAGCTTGCTGAGGGTCGAAGCATGTATGCCCGTACTCCACGCAAGCTTGCAAAAACTTGCAATCAACATGGTTCCGCGTGTTGCCGCGCGCACACCTAGGCTTACAAACACAATACACCGATTGACACACCCGTGTAACTCCGCATCCCGGCGTCTGTGCCCCTGTGCACGCATTACCAAAACACAACTAGTGTTGACATGTTCCCAAGTATCAGAGAAACCAGCTAGCAATTCTACAGGAGGTTGGTCAAATACCAACCCAAAAACACGGATTTCTCCTGTGGCTACTTTCTAACAAAAGCTAAGACCTGCTTTTGGTCGCTCTTTTCGCCTTTTGCGGTTCTTTCGTGGAGCCGCCTGCTGGCCCACAGGGTGTTGGGCTTGACTCGTCTCAACATGAATCAAGCCAAGCCAAGAACCAAAAGAAAACTGGGGCCCAGACAGTCTCTCTGACAAATTGAATCATTTCTCATATATAATTTGTTTACATAGGCTTGTCCAAGCCCTAGGAGCCATATCTGCGGGATGTTGCCCCGCCAGGTGACGTTCATGTTCGCCGTCACTTCAGGGCCCGCAGACATTTTAGGGAGACAACACCACCAAAATGGTGATATCCATGTTCAAGGGCACACCTTATTACTGAATCCACGCTCTAGGGGAACCCACACCACCAACATGGTAATATCCACGTTCAGGGGCACACCTTATTAGTGAATCCACGCTCTACGAAAACCCACACCACCAACATGGTAATATCCACGTTCAAGGGCACACCTTATTAGTGAATCCACGCTCTAGGAAAACCCACACCACCAAAATGGTAATATCCACGTTCAAGGGCACACCTTCATCCACCTCAAGGGCACACCTTATTAGTGAATCCACGCTCTAGGAAAACCCACACCACCAAAATGGTAATATCCACGTTCAAGGGCACACCTTCTTAGTGAATCACGCTCTAGGGGTAGACGAATGGCAATGGCAAACGAAAGATGAGTGGAAGCGGATTGCAAAGCAGCACATCAAGGACAAAACGATCTTGCACGTGGATGGTGCTCTTGCCTACGCCAAGCCAGACGGAGTGGAACTCAGGAATGACTCTGTCAACCACAGCTGCCGCACTTGAAGGGGCCTGCGGGATCCTGAGATGGCTGGGGAGATGGCCGGTGGGGAACCATAGGGTGAAGTCAACCTGCAATTTTTTCCGTGACGAAAGAAGCAGGCAAAGCCAGTGGTTGCACCAGTTGCACTGGGGACAGAACATCCTAGGCTCAAGGCCTCGTACAGGATATGCGCAAGGTGTGAAAACCGTGCGGCAGGTTGGAACCTCTTTATTTTTGTGAGCCAATCCACCTTAGCACGGAGCCGAAAATTCGGCTCCCAGGGGTCGGAGACGGCTACATGATCTTTTGCTTTTTTGAGGGACGAACAGTTGTCTGCCAAACACCAGAACCCAACCCTCAACCTAAGGACCCAACCCAACAAAGATCCTCCACGGCATTCCACTGGCCATACGCTTCCCATCTCCAGGGTTCCCAAGCGCCCGCGCCCGCGCGCCCCTCCGCTTGTTCGGGGAGCCCGGCTGGACCACGTTGTTCACGGTGCCCGTGGCCGCGCGCACAAGGCCAGGGACCTGTCCGATTGAACGCGGCGTCCGATCGAACGCAAGCCCTCAGATGCCCAGTCGGCATCCTTTTTCTGGTGGGTCGACTTTGGAAAGCCTTCCCCAAAAAAATGGAAAACAGGGCAGCACTGGGCAACTGGGAGCCCCTTTGGCAGGTTGGGTTGGGGGGAAATGGAACCATTAGAAGTCCAGAGGTGACGCCCTCCTCCAAAAAAATAATTCAAGGGGCGAGGAAAAGAGGGGGAAACAAACACCTTAATCAATCCCAGTCTCCCAATATGGGGGTGTTTCCCTCCAACACAACCCTGGGGTAGATTGATCCTGGGGTCAAGATTGACCAACACTTTCTGGGGTGGAGCGTGCCCACGGTGGGATGCCGCAAACACGGCGAGCCTCAAGCAAGGGAGCAATCTTGGCCTGGGTAGGGCTCCCATTTCCACAGGCAGTGCCGGCCAGTGTCCGCTGGAAGCAAGAAGCCTTTTTTTTATCAGCGGAATGGCTGCAAGGACTGGAAAGCAGGTAGTGAGTCTCGAAACATCAAGACAGAATCCATCCCCCAAGGTTTCCTTGGACTTCAAAGCGGCTTGCAGCTACGGGTAGAGCACTACCCCAGATCCCAGCCTAAGTCTTCTTGCATGGGCGAAATGGAGAAATGACTGGTTCGAATCTCTTGATTCACAACCTGGTGCGTTCTGGCCTTCAAAGGGGCCCCTGGGATGGGGATGTGCAAATAACTAGTGGTTACACTCCTTTAAGCAGGTGGCTCAACACTTCTCGGATTCAAACTCCCTTTTGCTCGCCGGAACACCTGCAGCATCTCATCCCGGCTGAAGTAACATCCTCAACATGACTCTCCACATGATTTGAAGCGCCGGGACCCACAAGAGAATCTCGATCCCTCCACACACATATATATATATATATATATACATATATATATATATGTATATATATATATATATATGTATATACATATATATATATATATATACAAAAGGCCCAGGCCACGCACATGCGCCGTCGGGGCAATAGAAAACCCAATGGGTTGAGACCTGCGGGAACGAAACACTTTGTTGGCGGCTAATCATAACGGGAACCCGGTTTCGACCTCCTCTGTGAAGGCAACCTCCCCAAAGCAAAGGCAACCTAGGCAGCGCAGTCCGACATGTTTACTAGGTGTTGAGTTAAAGAGGGGCTCTGGAACAAACAAATCACCCATGCCGGGTTTTTCTGGCAGCTCAATTGAGCCAGGTGCTAAACGTGTCATGATTTGCTATGCCGTATCATTTTGCTTCTGCCACTAGTTTACGCCACCTCAAGCGCGTGGAGTGCTTCCTTACGCGACGCAGCTGGAGGTGTTGCTTACGCCACCACCATAGTTTTTGCTTACGCGCCGGTCGATATGACACGACTCTTGCTAAACAAGCACACAAAGGTTTTGGATGTAGCTCGACTAGAACAAATATTTTCTTAAAGGCACCGAACAGAGTCAGAATCAAAACATGATCAGTAAACATGGTCTACCCAAATCCATGTGTGGAAATTCAACGGCGGCCAATTCGGTGTGGGAACAGCCCTTCACCTTCACTAGGTCCTCCAGTAGAGAGGTTAGACTAAGGGTACCCTTTGTTCTGCAGTCTAATCTAGTAGGAGAACCTTCCCCCCCAAGAAAAGAAACGGCAAAAGTAACGGCACCACTTGCTGGACCTAGTTCTACCCGGGTTTCGAGCCATGCTCACCGGTCAGAAAAAAAAAATAAAAAATCCGCCCGAGCCGACCTGGGTGCTCCCGGTGCGGATCACCTCCGAAGCGCCGCGGCCGATGTCCGCCACGTCCTGGCCCACCTGGCGATTTGCTTGGGCGAGGCTTTTTTGTCCAAGATCCCCGGCCGAAAAAACTCGCCGAGGGATCGTGTTTTTTTTTCCCCTTCTTTTTGTTTTAACAATATAACTGTTTTCTTGTTTTAACATATGCAACACAACTTTTGAGGAAGTGCTTTTCAATTGCCGGCACTTCACCCGGCAGGCAAATTACCGGCCATTGGGGGGAGCTGGAAGGCAAAGCGACCGAAAAGCAAACAAAAAGAAGTGGCTAGAGGGGGCAACAAATAAAAATTGAGAAAAGGAGCCACACAGAAAAACACAAGAGCGGGCGGGGGGGAAAGAGAAACATAAGCCAACAAGCAGCTTTGCGGATGGCTCAATGGAAGCCCCCCCCCAAAAAAAAAAATAATGCCACTCTGGGTATAAAAGACACATCTTTGGATGAGTGTGCAGGAACCTGCGAAAAGGGCGAGTCTACCACGGCCCCAAGAAATATGTTTGATCCGGGTCCTTCGGGCTAAACATTGGAAAGATGACGAAGTTATCAAACAAGATGCCAGTTTGACTTGGCCAAGGCAAACTGGAGGTCGTAGAAACCAGCCTCGGAGGTCTTAGAAACCAGCTTGCCGACTACTAGGAGTTGGGGGGGGGGGGCGAGCTTTCTTCAGACAATTCCCTAGCTGGCTTAGAGGCTCATGAGTTGCTTTCCCCTAAGCCAAGGCCCATTTCCGCCTGAAAACTGTTGTATGGGCAACAAAGTGCTAGTGAACCCGCTTCCCAACTCGCAAGGAGTCGCAAAACAAAACAAACAACTCTGGGTCGTCGATCCGGGGAGCGTGTTGAGTTGCGTCCTTCGACTTCGACAGCCGCTTAGGGTGAGTTGATGACACTTTACATCATGCACCTATATTATGGCTGTGGGTCAAAACCGTTTTGGTACCATTTTTGGGTAGGTGAATTCACCACCCATCTTAGAACCTACTTTAGTGGTTGGATTGGGATGTTTGGGGGTACGATTTGGATTTTGACCCACAGCCATGTGAACTAGAGCTCAGCCAGCAGCAGAATTGTGAATGCCTTTACTGGGCTGTCTGTTTTCAGATCCCCCGCTAAAAGTGACTAACTTTTAGTGGGTTAAACATGACAATCCAACCACCAAACACTAAAAGGCTAAAAAGCTAAGGGGTTGGCTGGGAACCACCAAGTTTAGGACTGCCGGCGTTGGTGCACCAACGTTTCCTTGGCAGAGATGTCTTGAAACAAAATGGCCATGGGCCAAAATTCCGTATCCCCAGTGAACATCCCAATCCCCACTAAAATAAAGCCTAAAATGGGTGGTGAATTCACCTACCCCAACATGGCACCATTGGTTTTGGCGCACAGCCAGATGTCCTGGAACAAAATGATGGCACTGGCTGAAGCGAACAACCAGCGCCATCGATGCCATGGGGCCTCGACGACCTCGTTCTTGAGCGTGCCCAGGATCTAAGTGACAGGCCATCCACATGTCTCACTGAGCTTCTCTCAAAAAAATGAGTGTCTTTCCTTTGGCCCTGTTTTTTAAAGGCAAACCAAACAGACTACCCCAAAACAAGACACACACACACAAATGTTGAATCAACCACTGTTCAATGCCAACAAATGAACACAAGCTCAAAAGTTTGGTATTGGCTCTGTCCAATGGCAGTACAACCTCTTCCAGTGGGGTTGTCGTCTGGCGACATCAAAAGGGAATGGTGGGGCTCGACAGTCTTGATGCTTGCTTAAATGCCTTCCTACATGGATCACCGGATTTCCTCAAGAGTTGATCGATCAACTTGCTGGTTCCATTCGGCCGCTGTCACTTTTGAAGCTTCCAAGAAGGGAAGAAATAAACGGCGCGCGTCCGTCCCGAAAACGGACCGCAGAGCTCTGAGGTCCCTTCCACTCTGGGCCTCTGGGCCTAAGGGCCTAAGGGCCCCGGACTTTGGGGTGCCAAAGACGGAGAGCCATGGACATCCAAGGCGCCCCGTGCTTTTTCACGCTGTACTTGGTCACGTTCACCTCATCCTGCGAGCCAACAAAAAAGGCGCGGGCCGGGCTCCCAGAAGTGTTTTTTGCGGGTTGAGCGCGACGAAAAGAAGGGGCCCGCCCGCAAGGGGCGCTTGGGAAAAACGAAGCTGACTCGTGAATTCATTTGGACACAGGGAAATCGTGAAATGGTTGATATGGAACCTGGATCACCAACAGTCTTGCAATGCAAAAACGCGTGTAAGACATGGACGCAAAGTGGGACCCCAAATCCCTAACATGGATGAGTAAAAGGCGTGTCCTCATTTAAGGCACCCCCGTTCTTGGGGAAAGCAATCTTGCTTCTTGGGGGTCCGCCATTTAAAGGCAAATCCCACACACAAACTGAGGCGCATCTCACTGCGATTGACTCCCCAAACAACGTGGGGGCTACTCTATTAAGACAGCCCTGAGCTCATGGCTCTTGAGCCCAGAGTTGAGCTGCCAAGAACCCCTAATAAGTAACATACTTGCAGTCGATGCTTTCCAAGCCAAAAAAAGACTTCCGCAGAAAGAAATGGGGTATGAACCCTTCATACGACGGCAAACAACGATTGATGTAAAGGGGGGGGGGTCTTTTTGAGGGGACCCCCCGAAAATTGTTTCTTTACTTCTGGTTTCCCTTGAAAACAGTTGAGAAAGCGATACCCTCAAACACCACAGACACACACGCACACACGCACTCAGCCATCTAGTGGAATCCAACTTAGGTCCTCGCGGACGGGGGAGGGAAATGTCTGAGATGTCTGAGGTGTATGATACCTTCCCACACCTGGGTAGCTGATGCAAAAGGGCCCCGCAAAGCAAGTGCCATATTGCTGCTCGGAAATTGATGGCAAAACTGAAAACGGGCCAAACAACTCAACTAGGTCTGGCGAATTACCAAGTTTCAACATATGCGCGTCTCTTTCGAGGCTAAATACTGTTGACCCCGGAGTTTTAAACCCCTGGTTGATTAACGGAGGGGGGGGGGGGCGTCCCCGAGTGGATTCATGAAGGAACACCTCCAAAAATCGATTAGGACGGGCTTCTTCATCCGAGGTCAACATGACATTTTGTGCCAAGTCTCGACATATCCGCGGCTCTTTCGAGGCCAACCACATTTCTATTGCGGGTGGTCAAAAGGGAAGTTCAATTCAAAGCCCATGGCGTGACACCCTCCTGGAAGTACTCCTGCCAGGAACGGACCTCCTGGTAGTCCTGTACGGTGGCCTGACGTGAGTCCCGTCAATCTTTGGACTTGGTTCCCCTTGCAGCCAGGTGGGTTTAAAGGGAACCATGAGGGCATAAGGGACCAAATTCTTAGAATGTGGTTGTAAGGTGCTTTAAAATCAAGCTAAAGCATGATGATAGGATTAAGGAGTATGTGCATTGTCTTGACAGTTGATTCACCAAATCAAAGGAGGTTCCGGATGGGTGAGGATACAAGCCTCATTTGAATTTGCTCAGTTGGGTGTGATTGAAAGAACCGCCAACGAACCATCTGAGCAGCCGTGCAAACACAATGGGCGCGTGTCGTGCAGACAGACATATCACTCGCCCGTGCTCTGTCGTAGAATTGGAAACTCGTGATTGGCATGGCTGTTTAGGTTCCGTGCTAACCAGGTATGTAACTCCTCAGGGAATAACTCTGAGAGGTGCTCATTGGGTCCTGACAAACACTTCCTACGTTCGCGACTCTAGCTGGGCTGACTGTCTTTTTCTTTCTTCTGGCCATGTTTCATGTGGGCATGAACTTCGACCGGGAACGTCCTGGGGAGCTGCTTGAGGGGGTTCCCCTTTCATGGAACATCACAGCTATGTGTTGCTCAGCGTTGCACCTCCATCCTCTCAGAGCTGTGAATTGGTGGTGAGCGCATGCTCCGAGACCATTGTCCATCCCGAAACGCGGCAGTTTACTTACAAGGGAGCCCCTGGCTTTGAAGATGATTGAGGAAAACATAGAACCCTGTAGAACCCACGCGCAATCTCAGTCACCTCACCTCTCCTCAATTTATCTCACCTCAGTCACTCCTTCACTCTCTCTTTCCCCCTCTCTCACTCTCTCTCTCTCTCTCTCAGTCATGCCCTCACACTCTCACTTACGTGGGCATCTTTTGACGGTCCCCTTCTTTTGAGTTTACTTTACTGGGCTTTCCATTTTCTGATCCCTTACTGAAAGTCAACAACTTTCAGTGGCAACGGAAACCCAACCGCTAAACCAACTAATAGCAAGTAACAACAACTGAAAACCTAGGAAACCGGATGATTCGCCGGGAACCGCCAAGTTTGATGCCTAAAAACTCCAAAGGGCAAGCGACGCGCAGAACGACGCGCCTCGCACATCTCCATGGCAGCATCGCCCAGTGCTTGCAGCTCCTCGGTTCGGAACCGAGCGCCGCTGTTGGCAAAAGGTCCCTTTGGCCGACTGAGCTGTGACCTTGAAGGTGAAATTTCCCGGAACCAGGTACGTGTTTGTTGTGGTTTACTTTACTTCTGTTTGCTTTTTTTTTGGGGGGGGAATCAGGGTTCTTTCTTCCATTCGGTTTGATTGAAAACCAATCCCAACAGGGGTACCCTCCAAAAGTGTTTTTTTGTTGGGGTGCGGAACTTTCAGGGGTTCATAGGCACCCTGCCAACTCATTATGGGGATGTCTCAAAATAGGAATCGGAACCCCCAGGACGGATGGTTGTTTCCATTTATTTTCCTTTTCAAACCAATCTCAACAGGGGAAATCTCAGAAACAGACAGACCCAAAGAGAAATCTGGACTTTTCTATGGCTCATTCGGCGCCCCAGCTCGTTTTCCTTCGAAACGGGAACTTGCAACTGTGCAGATCCTTGCGACACGAATGGCTCAGGCCAGGTAGTCATTGAAACGAGGGCCCCTGGTTGTTTGGCCAGAAAACAACATTTTAAAGAGAATTCACCGGGGTTGGGACATGTTTGAACCTAATGGTTTCCCTTTAACAAGGCCCAGCTTGGGTCTTGAAACAAACTATGCCCAACCCATGGGTTCAACACTATGCCCCGAAGCCCCTTCAAGTTAACCTTGCCATGAAGCCACTCACCTAGGACTACGAGAAGCCAAACATCATTCTCTGCAATCTCCCTTTCCGTCAGCTGCAACTCCGACCGTCGCGCCAGTCGCGCTCGCGGAAAAAAAGAAAGAAAGCGTCTCTGCAACGAAGCCCCAGTCGCGAAGATCGACTGGAAGCCAGTCCTGGTCCCGTCCTTTGGCTGCTTGATACATGGTGATGACTTCCTTGCACATCTCTTCCGCGGCAGCGAGCCTCGACTCCGAGACTCCGGGACTCCAAAGGCATAGGGATCTATGACAATACTAGGTCCAAGCAAAAGGGAGCTTAGCATAGGTCTGTCGAAATCCAAATGTGGCATTTTGGCAAAAGGACCGGGTGTTGGTTCCCTTGCACTTGAAAACACGTCATGTCATTCAGCAGTGCAGGTATGGATAGTATCTCGCACAGAGTGCTCAAAATGGCGGCATGTCTGAATGCTGTGTGGTCCTTCTGGCCTCATTATTTCTTACCATGATCAAAGTCATTTTCCCAAGTGCTGGGTTACAGGGAAACAATCGATTCCATGTTCCGACTTTGATAACCCCCAGACACAGGCAAATTAATGACCCGAGTTCACCGGTTTAGTGGTGTTCCAACCAATGGGCATCCCTCTCTGACTTTGATCACCCCCAGAAACCGAACCGATGTAAAATTCGACATCCAGTCCAGCGCGCCATCGGACGCGGTGGAGATGTGGAAGCGGACCCAACCTATGGTCTTCCTGGAGGTCTTCACCTTAAACCGATCTGAAATGGCTTCCCTCGAAGCAAATGCACACACTCGCACACATGTGGAACCTATGGGAAACAAAAACCCAAGCACGCACATGTACACGCTTTTGGACTTGATTGCGTGCCTTAAAAAAAAAAGGCCTCAGGAAGACGTCGCAAATGTCCGGCGTGGCTTCGGAGCCGCCTGGCCACGTCACCGCGTAGATTTGCTTAAGCCCCCGGAAACAAAAAACAAGTCGAGTAGTGATAGATGTTCTTTTAAGCAAATGGACGAGGTGGTTCGCTTGATGCTCCTTCCGTTTCACCTTCAGAGGGGGGGCGTCAACTCGAAAGAGGGAAAACCCATGGCCCGTGGTTTCGACCCACGAGTGGTTGCAGACCTAGCCTTTCACCTCTCATTTTGGAAGCCGTGGCTCGACGAACGGCTAACGCCTCCTCCTCTCCGCACCGCAATGCCTCAGTTGCCGGCCCGTCTCCCCTGAAAACTGCAGGGTTTGCTTTATTTTGGAGCTTACCTCCTGTTGGGGTGGTTTGAAGGAAAAACCAGAAGGAAAGTCAGCCTGTTTGATTTTGTTTGAGGGTACTACTACTTCTTGTTGGGTTGGTTGAAGGGAAAACCAGAAAGAAAGTCACTGTCTGTTGGGGCCCACCAATTTTAACACATACCAGCGCACCGCTGAAGCATACCAGCATACCAGCATACCAGCACAAGGACAGGGATGGACATAAAAACAACAAATTCAACCACACCTCAAGCGGCCTCCAATCAACACGTGGCTGATGCGTTAAACAACCAGACCCTATTCGCCCCCCTTTCCATTTAAACCAAAAGGATGTTGTTTGTAGTCATGAAGAAAGCCACGGTTGACAAAACAAGCCCAACCGCCAGGGACCCACTCGGGTCCAGGGTTTCTCTTCTGAACCTGTATCACCGTTAGGCTGTCCTCAAATTCCCAGCCAAAAGTTTAACTTTTAGTGGGTTAAATGGAACACCCCACCAAACCTTAAAAATCTAAAGCTAAGGAACCGGATGGCTGGGAACCGCCAGGATCAGAGTTCCAAGAATTGTCTTCAAGTCTTCCCAACAAGTGACAAGTTCAGGATCTTCGAAGAAGCAAAGCATTTTTTAAAAAGTCATCCCTTGCCCTTTTTCCCCACGCCACGCTGTTTGATGCTTTTTGAAGGCAATGCAGTTCCAGGGTCACGGAAGAACGCGCGAGGGGAGGGATGTGCCGAAAACTATCCCAAGACCCAAAAGGAGAAAATAAAAAAGAACATATCCTTCTACTCGATGTCATGGCGACAAGCACAAACCAAGTAATGCTAACCTACTCTGAAGAGAATTGCAAACCATCTGTTGATACTTTGGACCATTTGGGCCATTCCTCCAGGATGTAATCCTCACGTGTGCTCTGACCGAGCCAAACCTAAATTTCAAGTTCGCGAATTCGGCTTAGCAATCTCCAAAAGTTGACCATTTGTGTTTGAGGTGAAAAGAGAATCCCTGTTGTGGGCCCGGTAGAGGAAGAACTGGATTTTGGGGTCCAGGTATGCTGGACTCCCCAATATAAAAAAGGCGCCTAGAGGTCCGGAATCCATCGAGAGGGATCCCAGCACATTGCAAGTGAACCCACCACAAACCCACAGACACCTCCAACAAAGCTTTTAATGCTCGGGACTGAGAGTGACATCAACACATGCGAAACTTGCTCCCCCGGTCCCCCCATCCCCCCCCCCTCCCTGCCGCGGCATGCGCCCCTGTCCGGTTTGCGAGCGCACTTCGATCCGCATTGGCCGAGCCGCGCTGCTGCAGGGCGTGGCAGTCCCTTTTCAGGCGCTCCACGGCCCTCAGGGCCTGCGGAGTGGGGTTTCGTGGGGGAACCACCCAAAAAGGTGGGGGTGAGGTGGTGGGGTGGTGGGGTGGTGGGGTGGTGGGGTGGTGGGGTGGGGTGGGGTGGGGTGGGGTGGGGTGGGGTGGGGTGGGGTGGGGTGGGGTGGGAGGGGTGGGGAGGCCTGGCCATGGGGTGGGAGGGGTGGGGAGGCCTGCCATTGACAATGAAAGCTGACAGCATGGCTTTGGAAGCATCCTCACAAGGCGCCGCATCCATTTTCAAAAATGGTCTCAAAGTAGAGGAATCATCCAAATCCAGAACTTCTCCTGGTTTCCCTTTGAAGCAACCCCAACCACGCTAAAAACAAGGCACGCCCAAACGGTGGATGCTCAAAATATTGCAAGTAATTAAGGATATGGAAGCCATCCATTTTACTCTATCTTACCATGGTTTTGTTGAGCATGCTTGGCTTGCTTGCAATATGGGCATCCACAGAAAGACCTGTTCCAGCGTGCGCGCCATCTCTCGCGTGATGTCCGTCTGCGGGGTCTGCACTGCGCCTGCGCCTGGCAAAATCTGATGACATTCCATTCCGCACTCATAAACTCGCTCCTACTACCCCCCAAAGACACCTCCAGTCTTGGTCCATTTTGATTTATTCAAGGGGGTTCGCTTGATGGGGGCCCCAAAGGCGGTGTAACAATTGGCACTGCTCAAAACCAATATCAGCCACTGGGCCAAGGTCAAAATTACTTGTGTCCTCCGGGGGACATGGGGCTTTTGTGGAACATTTAGTGAGTTGTCTGATGTCCCTCCCAAATTACCAATCACTAGTGGCACTGTTGACCGAACCTCATGCAGCAAGTCATAGTTTCATCTAGAGGGTGGTGAAGGTTGACGTAGACCCTGGCACTAAAACAGGGCCCAGAGCACACACGAATTGCCTTACAGAAGCATTGAACAGTACCAATCAGTCCGAGGTAAAGTTGGTCTGTTTCGTCGAATTCCGTGTTGCGAGTTGGGGATGAGATCTTTGATCCGCTCAATTGCTCATCTTCGGGCAAGGCGTGAGGCACATGTGGATGGACTAAATACATTTCGTGTATAAGAAGCTAGTTTCTTCCAGTATTCATCGCGGTTCATCTACAACTGGTGCCTTTTGGTGGATTTTGTCCGTACACCAGCCAAGCCGCTTGCATTTGGGACTCCCGTCTGGTGCTCTGGGAAGGATTTGGAACCCCCAAAGGTTTGGGAATCACTTCCGCGGATGGCCGAGCAAAGCATTTTTTTTAATTTTTTTACCAAAATGGTCCAAGCCATGCCTGCCGAAAGTCCAGAAACGATGTTGGATTCCCAAACGGGATTCCCACAAGGAAACCAGTCTGGGCTGTCCGTTTTCAGATCCCCCGCTAAAGAGTGACGGACTTTTAGTGGGGTTAAATGGACACCCAACCACTAAACACTAAATGGCTGAAAAGCTAAAGCAGCTAAGGAATACTAAGGAACAGGATGGCTGGGAACCACCAAGCAGTTTTCATGGTTTCGACCTATCAGTAACTTGGGCTACGTCTTTACCGCTCGACCTGGAGTTCCACTGCCGGAAGCCCGGGAACTCAGCGGCGGCTCCTTGGTGAGAGCGCGAAAACCGACCCGGCCGCGCAAATCGGGAGGCGCCGGACATCTGTGGGAGTCGTTTGGAATGGAACTGGTCTATGGATCTACTGCAAAACCCATGTGGTGGAAGTGGGACCCGGAAAAATCTGTGGGATTCTTTAGTGGCACTCGTCCAATTTGGCAAAAAAAAACATGTGGAACATATGTATATATATATATATACATATATAAAACAAAAGCAATAGGGTCAATAGGGCGATCATCAGAATGGCATCTGGAAGCATCTGGATGGAATCCTCTCGATCCCGAAGGCTCCCTTGAGGAGATGGGTCCAGGTACCCCACACAAAAAGCCGCGAATTTGCGATTGGCAACGCCCAGCGGTTTTAGCGGAGCAGCGCTTGGAAGAGATCGAGTGTTGAGCACGCAGAGCCCTGAAATTCAATCCATGTCATCCTTTCACCGATGGTGAATGTTGACAGTTGCTTGTAACTTTGCCAACGTGTCCAGGGGTGTCAACGCAGCGTCTGAGGGCGCGGCGGCTGCAGGAAGCTGCAAATCCTGTCTGGATGCTCATCTCAAAACGGCAAACATATGTGCGAAGAATGCTGAAGATGATCGATGTCATCGGAATGTCACGATGTGACAGATTTTCGACTGAGCCACGCAGTGCTTTTCTTGGCTCTTGGCTGCTCAGGTTACAACGGGTTCAAGATCCTGTCTGCTCAGAGTGTGCTTCACCCCCCAAACCCGACACGCATCTTGACTCATCGCTGAACCTCACCGACAGCCTGCCTGGTTGGCCGTATTGCTGGCCTCGTGTCGCCTTCCCTCGTTGTGTGGTGGTCAGGAGCCCGGTGGTTTGGTGGTGAAACGCAGGGGTTTCCCATGTACTTCTACAAGAACCATGGGTCAAATCCCAAACCACCCATCCAAACCGCCAATTTTAGGGAAGCTGATAATGTGGTTGATTTTGTAGGGGGACCCTATGAAGAAACAAAAGGACCCCCGGACGGAATCCTAAGGTCTGGGTCGGCCGCGAAGCTGCAAACTCTCTTTTTCGGCGCGGTCACTGTGCCATCGTAAAAGTCAACTTTTTGTGATACCAACAATCAACTTTTTGTGATGCCTAGATGGGCGGCCATCCCCACTTGCAGTCACTTGCGGGATCCCGAAGGTAACAAATGGCCTGACTGTGCCGCGGGGCTCCGAAATGGGTCCTGGTACGTGAGCAAGCGCAGATTCTTCTTGGCAACTACCTGCACCAGCCGCCCAAATCTGGGAGGCCAGATTTAGACCCCCGGCAAGATAAGGACAACCAACAACAGTTCGCCGCAAAACCACTAAAGAAGCTGAATGTCCAACCATACACAAGTGTTGAAGACCACTTTACTCTCCTTGGCCAGGCTTACATTCCCTTGCAACAATCCACATGTGGCTGCTCCATGGCAAATGACGCCATCAAAAAAAGTGTTGCGGTGCATGAACAAAATCACTTCTTCCCCAAAAGGACATCAAAAGAACAGGTGGGCTCAGGCCCTTGGCTGTGGAATTTGTACTTCGTTTTTGGAGCAAATCCTGCCTTCACAGAGTTGTCCGAGTGCAATCGCACGCCTGCCAGGCAAGAGATGGCTTGACCACAGATGAATCCAAGAACCGCTCATATCTTTCGAGCATAGAAACCCTAAAGAGCTCATGAGAGGGTTGGGGTATGCCCAAACATTTTTTTCAGAGTTCTTGGAATGGAAATCCAACCAAAAACATGTCTCATCCGGAGACATGCTTTCAACCGGACACCTCAGGGAGTGGAAGCTGGCTTTACCAGAAGTGAGGCTCACTGCTTGAGTGGATTGCCCAACAAACCACTTGTTGCTGGCCACTACGGTTGTCCTGAAGTCAAGGAGTCCAAAACGTCAGGAGGCGTTCGGAAAGTCCTTCTGGTGGGTTGAGCTCAGCATATCTGAAAGGCTTGAGCTCAAAGTATGGGCCAGCAAACTGGATTTGTCTGAAGAAGAAACGCCAGCCAGTTTGATTCTGTTTGGTGGGCCAAGCTTGCAGTCGAGCACTTCCTTGGACTTGATTTGCGATTGATGCCCAAAGCCAAGAGGGAACTAAATACATCCGGCGACTTGTTGGCAAAGAACAAGTAGGAATACACAAATTACCATTTTGCAAACAACTGCTTGGAAATTCACAGTGCGTAGTTTCAATGGCACATCAGCAATGTTCATCCATCTTTCCAAACAGATGGATGGGATCATCCTCCGTTGCGACAAACTGTGGACATCTACACTAAACGACATCGTGATGCCAGGCAAAAGCACATGAAGGGACTAACAACTCCCACAAACGCAGCTCAACAACAGTTCACCACATTCGCACTCAGAGTTGCAACATGGTTCCGTCCTTGTCAGCTACACTTGAACATGCTACCAGTTCTCTGCGTTTCAGCGTGTCTGTGCACCAAGGCAGGGACGATATCTCAGCTGCTTGTCATCAAAGCCTCAGTTGCCCAGCAGGAAAATCATGAAATTGTTGGTTTGTGCAATAAAAAAGCCCGGACAATGAGTGTCTGCTGGTTCCCATTCTAGGTCCATCCAAGAAGAGATCATGTCTAATCATCCCACAACCTGAAATAACTGATCTCCACGCATGTGGCCTTCACATTGCTAAGCTGGTACCCCCAATCGAACTCGCCTCTGGGCAGACTCATTCTGTTGGCTTGTAGATATGGGGGTTGATCAATATTCCTGGCCCACATGACCATGGATAAATTTTCCTATTGACTGAGACATATCATCTTTTCAGGGGGTTTCGCCTATGGCCATCCCTTGTTCATCGGACCTTCTGATCAACCCCCATGTCTAGCGGCTCTGAGGCACACAGGTAAAACATGAGAACCCCCTCAGGTTGCGGCCAACGATTTCGCCGCGCTGGCCATTCAACGTCTGGCAAGTCAGGTTGCAACAGAATGAAGTTGGGCAGCTGTATGCCTCGTTCAGCCTCAAACAAGGCCTAGGGGAGGGGCCTGTACACTAGTCTTATCCTGTAGTTTCATCCCGGCGCCCCCACCCACCGGAGCAAGACCCAAAAACAATGCTAATTACACACTTGCAATGCCCACAATTCCGGGGCGTTGAAACAGCGTTTTGACTTGCCTTCAAAGCTCCTGGGTGAGGAATTCAGCGCTACCAAAGTGAGGCATCCCCTATGACCACGAACAACTTTGCAACTTCCATTGGCCATTCGCAGAACTTGGCAACCTAAACTGCCTAACCCCCTACTTTTCAACCATTTTTTTATGCAGGTCTACACTTGCGCCGATCACTACCTGGACTAAAACCGTCTTGGAAAAGGTGAAACCTCGCTGGCCGACCGGCCTGGCGAGCATTGTCAAACAATTTCTGGGCTCGCACCCTGACCTCCAAGCCAAGGATGCGTCCATCTTTACAGTGGGTGCATTGAACGAACTCATTGAAACGTCGAACGTGGCTCTGGAATTCAATCATTGGAAGGATCTTTACAATGGGCCTGGACGAACCATTGAATGACATATCTTGCCTTGATATCCGTTAATGAAGATTAAGTGACAATGTGCCATTTAGCGCGCAGAAATTGCAGATCACCGTCACCAAACAGGCAGGCAGCAAACAAATGCTTTGCGGACCCCTGCTTGCCAAGATTGATTCCTCTTGGTGGCTGTTGACCCCTCTGCAAAAAGATTAGTTTTTTGTGGGCTTAAAGGACAATCCGCTGTTCCCAAAAAGTCCAAGTCCAAAGGTCCAACCAAATAGTCATAAAGTCCCGGGTCCTGTGTCAAACTCAACTGCCTTCGGTCCAACTTTTCTTGCGGCCATGAAGAGGTGAGGGTACTCCTTTCAGCGGGTTCCCTACAAGTCACATCCAAACACCACCTTCTTTGTGTGGGGTCCATCCGGTGACCTGTAGTATTTCCATTTCAAAGCCCCCTGTCCTGTTCCGACCAAGAGCCGAAACCCGGCGCCTGGGCCTTCTGTAGCCCATGCAGCTCCACCTGCGCGCCGTTGGCCAGCCAGCTGCTGTCGCCTTGAACGGCAAAAACAAACAGGGGGACCTGAAAAAAACACAGGCACCAACGTCAAGGTCCACAAACCACACCTGGGCGCACACCAAACCTGATATTGATGATATTGGAGGTCGACGCAACCTGGGAGGCCGCACACACCAAGCCTGGGCAAACCTGGGGGTCCACACACCAGCACTGTGGGTCCACACCAACCCTGGGCCAAACTTGGGAGACGCGGTCTCATTCCATGAGCAAACGTCAAAGGACAAGGGTCAACGCAGTCATCAGCAAACAGCTTCCAAAAGTACTCCGCGGTGCGTGCCGCTGCTCGCTGGCGTTCTCTTCAAGCCTTAATTGTACGACTTCTCCTGGGTCTCCTTGCTGTGGTGAAAGGCTTGCGCTACAGCGGCCTGGTGCACAAAATGTTTGTGCTCCTGGATCCGTTGAGGGCTGAATTCCGCTGTTCAGCCCCAGCGCTTCCTTAATGTTGCTGCGGGAAAGGCAGCGAAAGGTGAACACGCCAGGCGGCAATTTTGGCCGGCTCAGTAGCCGCTTGCCACCCAAGGCTCGCCACCAGAGCATGATTCTTCAGATGTCAGTTGCGCTTCTTGGCCAGGTGACTGTGCAGCTTCTTGGGCTTTTCCTTGCGGCAGTGCGCGGAAGGCTTGAGGAAGTCAGTCTTCACCTCCAAGGGTCGAAGACGCAGTCCGAGCCGGTCTCATCGCTCTTGAAGACGTCCGCGTTGACATGAGAGTTGGCGGATTGCGCCGCGCCTGCCTCCGTACCTCCGTACCACGGAAGAAACGAGCACGGGTAAGCCCTGTGCTTCTCAGCCAGCTCAAGCTGAAGACGCAGGGATTTCTTTCCATCTGGCTGGCTTGCTTGCACGGTTGCAAGCTGCAACTCAATGAGCTCTCCCCAGCGGCGGTGTCCGCCATCATGCCTTGGAACGTGTGTCTTGCCTTCCGGAGCCAGCGGCCTCCCTCTGGCACTTCAGAGCCCTCAGCTTTGTCAAAAAACATACTTTTATGTCAAGTCGCATCCCCAGCCTTGCTGGCTTTTTTGGACGGCATCTACAGCAGTGTCGCAGATGCTACTGGCTTATGCCGCAGGCTGTTTTGAGGGCAGAAACTGCAGCAACCAACCACATGAGGGCTGTTGACAAAGAGTGACAGGCTTCCGCGATGATGGCCTTCAACTGCGTCTGCCAGGTGCTCAGCGCTGCCTTGTCCAAGCCTGGGTCCAGGAAGCAGCCTTGCAAAGGGCAAGCGGTCAACGCACGCCCGACCAGGGGTCCACCAACCCTGGGGGGTCCACACACCAAACCTGGACCCGCACACCAGACCTGGAGGTCCACACACCAAACCCGGGGGTCCACACTGGCACACACCAAACCTGGGGACGCCAAACCTGGAGTCACCAAACCTGGGGGTCACACACCAAACCTGGCGGTCACACACCAAGCCTGGGGGTCCACACACCAAACCTGGGGGCCACACACCAAACCTGGGGGTCACACACCAAACCTGGGGGGTCACACACCGAACCTGCGGGTCACACATCAAACCTGGGGTTACAAACCAAAACCTGGCGGTCACACACCAAACCTGGGGGTCACACACCAAACCTGGGGGTCACACACCAAACCTGGGGTTACAAACCAAAACCTGGGAATCACACACCAAACCTGGGAACGCCAAACCTGGGTCGTACACCAAACCTGGGGGTCACACACCAAACCTGGGGGCACCAAACCTGGGGGTCACACACCAAACCTGGGGGTCACACACCTGACCTGGGGGTCACACACCAAACCTGCGGGTCACACATCAAACCTGGGGTTGCAAACCAAAACCTGAGAATCACACACCAAACCTGGGAACGCCAAACCTGGAAGTCGTACACCAAACCTGGGGGTCACACACCAAACCTGGGGGTCACACACCAAACCTGGGGGTCACACACCAAAACTGCGGGTCACACATCAAACCTGGGGTTACAAACCAAAACCTGGCGGTCACACACCAAACCTGGGGGTCGTACACCAAACCTGGGGGTCGTACACCAAACCTGGGGGTCACACACACACCGAACCTGGGGGTCACACACCAGACCTGGGGGTCACATACCAAACCTGCGGGTCACACATCAAACCTGGGGTTACAAAACAAAACCTGGGGTCACACACCAAACTGGGAACGCCAAACCTGGGTCGTACACCAAACCTGGGGGTCACACGCCAAATCTGGGGTCACCAAACCTGGGGGTCACACACCAAACCTGGCGGTCACACACCAAACCTGGGGGTCCACACACCAAACCTGGGGTCCACACACCAAACCTGGGGGTCACACACCAAACCTGGGGGTCACACACCAAACCTGCGGGTCACACATCAAACCTGGGGTTACAAACCAAAACCTGGCGGTCACACACCAAACCTGGGGGTCACACACCAAACCTGGGGGTCACACACCAAACCTGGGGTTACAAACCAAAACCTGGGAATCACACACCAAACCTGGGAACGCCAAACCTGGGTCGTACACCAAACCTGGGGGTCACACACCAAACCTGGGGACGCCAAACCTGGGGGTCATACACCAAACCCGGGCGTTCACACACCAAACCTGTTTCTCGGGGTTGTCAAAGTGAGAAGCTGGGGTTTCCCTTCACCTTGCACTCTGGGAGCGTGACTTTGATACTGGTAGAATACTGGGGCAAGCAAACCGGAGGCAGGAAGATGGGGGGGCTAGGCAGACTTCACATTTGTCCATTCGCACCACGTTTGGCACAAGATTGGGTTACAGACCTTGATGCTGAGTGGTCAATTTTTTAGAGAAGGCAAACACAAGTAAACCCAAACACACTCCGAATCGAAAGTTGCGGACTCTTCCCGGATGTATGTCTTCCCTGCCTCCCTGATTTTTTTGCAAGGGGAGGCTTCCGCGCAGACTTCATTTCTTCGCCAACCGGATATCCTTGAGGGAACCTTCGTCGGAACGGTCATTTTGCCAGAGACATTCGGTTCTTTTCCCCGGCCCTCGTGGTTCGGTCAGCACCCACAACATCTTGACTTCTGGTTCTACCGCATGCATGGTTCTCAAAATGTATATATATATATATGTAATATGGTGTCTTTGTTTGTTTGTTGGTATAGAAAAGACCAAAGGGAAATCCCCTTACATTTCAGACTCCTCCAGCCAAAAGGTGGACGTTTGGTGATAGGGAAAGGAAACATAGTCGTGGAAAAGGGGCCTTTGTGTGTGATACCAGAGCGGGCTTTGTCCCTTTGCTGGGGGCGTTCCTTTGAGACCCAAGGAACCTTTGGGGCACACCGCTAGCCACAAAATAAGGCTAGCATACAACATGTTCTTCTGGGAGGTATATATTTCTTTCTTTGTTGGAAGGGGGGGGGGGTAGACCATGTCCCCAAAGACGAGGCGTAGGAGCTTGCTTCACTTGGCAACTCAGATGCCCGTGGATTTCCATGGGAAAAAACAATTTGGCACCTGTTGTTTGGTGGCTTGTGTTTAAAAAGGGACTTCTGACCCAAAAATGGAGAAGAAGAAAAGAGGGTGGAATCCACAGGACAACAGACTGACAGAGGGTTGCGTTCCACTGCCCCAAAATCCATAGCCTCAGTACCCACTGGCGACTTGCTTCAACTGGCGCCTTCACTTCTTCGGTCTGGCAGCTGACTGCCTCCAAGCAATGCGCACAGGGGGTGATCTCTTTACTTCGGCTTGCAAGCATGTCATGCTTTTCCGGGAATGGCCAATTCAGCGCATGAAAAGAGGACCCAGGTTCACTGGACGTCTCCGAAAAAAAGGGGCAGCTCGCTGGTGAGGTCCAACGAAACGGCTGAACTTCCTGGCCCCCGAACCATCTCTGCTTGATTTGTGTTTTGATCCGAGGAGCCAGCGACGGCTCCCAAACAAAGCAAAGAACAAAGCCGGTACCTCACATGCCTCTGCATGTAGAATTGGAGCGCCACGTTTTCAAGGTTCCAATTGCTTTGCGAGAAGTCAAGAAGCGTAACGGAGTAAGGAACTTTAACCCAGCTCTGTGGCTACAGAGTGCTGGACATCAACTGAAACGAGTCACAGTCGAAACCTGGTAAAGGGGTCAGGGTCCCAGAGCCAGGTAGACAATCCAAAGGTCCAAAAACAAAATATGTGGGTCTGTCTTTCTTTGGGGGTACCCCATGTTTGGTGGTTTGAAAGGCAAACCAACAAGAAAACCACCATTTTGGGAGCCCCCTAAAAAAGGACACACACACCCATATATTTGGGCAAAAAACATCCTCTCATTTGCCTGCGCTTACCCGGCTGCTGTCGTCGTTGACACATGTCAAGCACCGCCCTCAAAGTACTGTGGCCCTCGGGCCCGCACTAGTACTAGCCCAGAGGGTCCAAGTACCTTCTAAGGAGGTACTTAGAGCCCTTTTTACCCCCCAAAAGCCATCCTCAAGAAAAAAAAAACGACAAAGTCATGCCTAAGTCACTCCTTTATCTGTGTGGCCATGTGTTCCCCCAGGTAAACGCCGATTCCAAGAAGTCACTCCTAAGTCACGCCTCGGCAACAATCCCCATGGAACGCTTGACATCACCGAGCTGATCATGCTACAAAAAGACAGGTGTCAACACTGAAACACAATGGAACGCTACTGATGGCAAAGCATGTTTTCCAGCCCCGCGAGGCGTCTGCAGGAACATGAAAACCAATGGAACGCCAAGCGTGCGATAGGTTGTTGCAGGATCTTTAGGAAGACATGACGCAATGGGTGGGCTTTGCGGGCTCTTGCACCGTGTTTTTCCACGTCCTGGAGTTCTTTCCCTGGAAGGCAGGCAGGCACATACGCAATGCACCCTGGCAAAAAAAACGAGATCGAAACGAGATCAAAACGAGATCACCGATCGTCCGTTGAAGGTTTTGGGCCCATACGTGCCAAACCCGCGCCCACAAGTTCACTCACTTCTCCACCCGCTCCCATCAACCCACTTCCCTCCCACTTTTCGACTCAATTTCGCTCCCAAACCCCATCCTCTCAAGCGCGCCTGCTCAGCCCTGCGCTCACACGCCAGCCAAATGGTAAGCACCCCCGCTCAAGCACACCGGCTCAGCGCTGCACAGACGCCAGCCAAATAATAAGCGCCCCCTCAAGCGCACCCGTCAGCCCTGCAAACACGCCAGGTTAGTCCAGGTGAGAGGAAAAGCAAGGTGCCGACTCGAACCAGCTGTAGCAAAAGAGACGTCAAGTCTCAAGATTGCGAAACACGCTGTAAACGCTCCAAGGCGGATAAGATAGAACATGCCTAAACCATCCTAAACCCCACGGAATAACCATTTTCAACTGCAATGCCTCCCAAAAGCCTATCCATGCAGAGATCCTATGCGTTTTGGAAAGGGGCACGACTTCTTCGAAGCCCTCCCCCCTGGAATTTAAGCAATGCCTCAAACGGAGGCACGACTTTGTCAAATCCTTGTACTTGGACCCTCTGGGCAGTATGGATTACATATATTGCGTGGTTGATCCAGTCGCGTGCTTTCACTGCATTCCAATACTCCCTGAACCCGCTGGAACCAAGTCCTCAAAACGATGCCTCACATGCTCTCGGCTCCAGGGTCTTCAACAAAACGAGTCCGGCTTTCCATCCGACTCACATTGGAACCGCTATCGCCCGCATTTTTGTTCCATCTTTTGGGAAGAAGCCTCCAGCAAAACGTTGGAGAAGCCTTTAAAAAAGCACAGAGACTCGAGGCAGTGGGTGATCCCCGGAATCTCAATGCCATGCGCCGCCTCAGCCTACAGTTTGGGGGGTAGCCCCCCTGGCCGGGAAAGCAAATACCACAAAACTAGACCGGAAAACAAGCACCACACTAGCAGCAATCTAGCCGGAAAACAAAGACGATTTGCTTTGACTTTGGGTCAACTGGAAACATCAACGTCTTAGCTGCTACAGTAGGGTGTGCGTACTGGAAATTGGGCAAAACTCCTTGGGTAACATGGGCTCTCGTCTTTAACTTAAAGGGTCGGCTTAGCTCCTTTGAAGACCAGAAGGATACCTTCACAAACGACACATGCCCGCGCTTACGAGCCCGTGGCACCCCTCCCTAAAGGCAAACAAACCTTTCTGGCCTTGTTGTGGCCATGCAGCCACAACAAGGGCACAGACTCATCATTCCCTCAGCCTCTATTAATTAACGCACACAAACACTTTTAAGGGATTGAATGGAAATCCCTTACTAAACTAAAAAGCGAAGGAACCGGATGGCTGGAATCACCAAGTTTAGACATGAACGGTCAAGGTCAAGCCCACGCGACGAAACCCAAGACCGCCGAAGGCGGTGACTGTGATCCCGGCTCACTTCCTCCTGCATCTGCCGCAGAGCCTCCTCCTCTTTCTTTGGCTGACTGAAGACCCCCCCCCCTCCCGCCAATACAAAGAGGGAAAACAAACAGGTTGCCCGATGTTAAAAGGGAAACCCTCCCCCAAGGGGTTACTAAGGAAAATCTCCTTCTCCCCCTAATGCAAAGGGGAAAACAAAGATGTGGCCTGATGTTCAAGGGGAAAGCGGCCACAAAGGGTGTAACGCAGCCGTGGAAAGAGAGTTCCTTGACTTCAGAGGTCCTGTTTCCAACAAAGACACACACTTCAAAACACACACACTTCAAACACACACACACACACACACACCCACACACCCACACACCCACGCACCCACGCACCCACGCACCCACGCACCCACGCACCCACGCACCCACGCACCCACGCACCCACGCACCCACGCACCCACGCACCCACGCACCCACGCACCCACGCACCCACGCACCACGCACGCACGCACGCACGCACCCACGCACGCACGCACGCACGCACGCACGCACGCACGCACGCACACGCACGCACGCACGCACGCACGCACGCACGCACGCACGCACGCACGCACGCACGCACGCACGCACGCACGCACGCACACACGCACACGCACGCACGCACACGCACGCACGCACACGCACGCACGCACACGCACACGCACACGCACGCACACGCACACGCACACGCACACGCACACGCACACGCACACGCACACGCACACGCACACGCACACGCACACGCACACGCACACGCACACGCACACGCACACGCACACGCACACGCACACGCACACACACACACACACACCACACACACACACACACACCACACACACATACACACACACGCAATGCACCAATTGATGAAGAAATCAACCGGGAGTGTCTTGTTTTTAGGGAAGCCTCCCAAATGGTTGTTTTCCTTTTGGTTTCTCTTTCTAACCACAAAACACAGGTATATAGTCTGAACAAAAAGATACACCCAAACATTCATCAGATCTGGATTTTGTTTGCGTTGCTCTTCCGGCATGCCGATCCTGAGCTAAGCGTAAAGTACATGATGCAGCTGCCGATTGCTATCAACGCTTCATGTGGTCAACACAGACATGTTGCAAGCTACCTTCGGTAAAACGACAACCACCAACGTCAACAACAATTATCAACAACTTAGCAAATAACCTTCGAGACAATAATCATAGAAAATAAGCATATAAACATGAGGATACGGGACACTCTATTAGTTGGCTTATGGATGAATACACACACAAATCAAGATAACGTCTAGAGATATAAGGTGTCTGCAACATCCAGGCATACTTGCATATAATATGCGTGCATGCTGTCCATCTCTATAGCATCCTCTATGGCGATCAGCCTTTCCTACTGCGCTAAAAAAAGCTTTTGATGTTGCCTGTCAAACCTTGCTTCTAAACGAACACCTCAAATCCCTCAATGCGGGTGCTTCTCAAAATAGGGGTGTCTAAATGGTGGGCCTCCTTTTGGCGTGCCGTCAAATACCAACGAACATGGGGTCCACCTGTTTGAGAAACGCCCACATTGACCAAAGCCAAAGTGAAGCCAGTGCCATCTGGTTCCGCGTGAAACATAGGGGGACCCCAAAATTGTGGTGTGCCCTTTGGCTTCCCTTTAAACCAGCACCTGAAAAAGGTACAGGACCTTTAGTACCTTCAACAAAGAAGCACCGACATTGAGGCAAGCCCGCGGCTTGCTAACTGTAACGGCCGAAAATCGGGGCTTTCCAAAATTCGCCGCTGAGAAAGGTTTGGTTTGCTTTCGACTTCCTCTAAAACCAATCAACAGGGGGTCTCATCTTTGAGACCCACTCAAATAACCAAAAAGGGGCGTGGGAGGCTGTATTGAACCAGAATACCTTCTGATCGCGCGACAATGTGGGTAAACTTGCTAAGCTCTCTATATTCACAATGAATGAGCAGGGTCGGAAACAAATCAAACGAAACATGTGTCCCTCCTGCTATGCCCTGCAACACGATTCGTCCTCCTCGGGCGACAGCTGTGGGCCACTGGACATGCTGCACTCCTACGCGACACACAAACTCGTACGCAGTTTCGCAGTTCATACCGGCAACAGCCAGGAACCAACACCAACACGTAACCTGGTTCCCTCCCTTCATGGTGAGAGGGTGGGTGGTGAATGTTGGTAACAACTCTAAACAACATTCACCACCCACCCTCTCACCAAGGGAGGGAAGCTGTTTAGATGTTGCTCCTTGTGACCTTCTGTCAGTGTTCGTGGTTGTGGGCGGAAGGGTATCCCCTTGTGGTCCCAAGCCAGAAATCATATGCGTAAGTTATTCACCAGCCAAAACTAATCATGCTATTCAATTGCAACTATTGCAATTCTGTTGCTACGTCCCAGTCGGCGCGACCAGGGGTTAGTAAGGACAACCTTCTTTTTTGGGGCGGGGGTTCCGAAGATAACATCAGTGACTGTGACACAAGACAACAGCTAGCACAAGGAGCCGCCCGACGTGAACCCAGTCAGGCCCCTGGACAAGGAGTGGCTGAGTGTACCTTGTAATCATGAGCTCTTTACAAGCTATTTCTCAGTAAGGATTAAGAGAATGACAGCTGATGGGTGTTTGGAAGACCACAATTCCTTGCGGGAAGCTCCAAAAACATCCCCCTCCACTTCTGGAAGCCTCCTCCCCCACCCCGAACTGAACCATGCAACTCGTAGTTTCCTCTCAGACTCTGAACTTCCCCGGTTTCCCGAGAAAACCCCGGCTGTTACTGAGAACCCGCAAGTCGAGCACCCCCAAAACGCCCAGTGGTCTTGCAAGGGCCATGGCATGCCCGAGGAAGCGAAGCCGAGCAAATACCGTGAAACACGTTGCCAAGCAAAACGGAGAAAGAGTACCCCCCAAATTTAACTCACCGGCTGAGTGGATGGCCCAAACAAAGTCCAAACTTTTTGTTTACCACTAAAATGGTCTTCCCAAAAAGTTTAAAGTTCATGAACTCAGGAAGTGAGTAAATAGAAGAACCAGATATATGGCTGTGGTTGTCAAAAAGAGTTGGTAACCCCAAAATGGCAAGCCACCTGGTAAATGGAACCATGTACCCTTCAGCCTGCGGTCCATATCCTGGTGCTTTAATTTTGACCCACACCCATTTCCCCAGGGCAAACCATGATCCCCAGAACAAATACAAAATAATACTAGTTAGTTCTACAGGACGGACTAAACCAATACTACACTAATGCTGAACAATAAAGACTGCTTGAAGAGGATCAATTCTGTACCCCATATCCTTTAAATACGGTCCTATCGATTGATTCCCAAGTTGAGTGGAATCACGCCCAGTCCCAAGATTAAATCAAATCAGGCCATGTCCACATGCTGGTAGGATAAGCAGGGAATGAGACATGGAATGACCCCTAGTAATACCATCCCCAAGATGGCTTCCTTTAAGGGAAAATCCCTATGTTGATTCCCAACACCCGGAAGGTCATTCCTATCGCGCCAGCGAGATGACGCATCAGGGTTGACGGTTTTCGGGGGTTTCACACGGAACATTGAGGCTAGGTTCTCCAGTAGAGAGGTTAGACTATACCTCACCGGCTGAGTGGATGGCCCAAATAAAGTCCAAACTTTTTGTTTACCACTTAAAATGGTCTTCCCAAAAAGTTCAAAGTTCCTGAACTCAGGAAGTGAGATACCCCTTTTTGTCGTCAATTTTGGTGGGTAAAGGGGGCCCTACTGGACCTAGAGGGAATGTCACCCAATTCCGATCCACCTGCAACCCAACTCAGGGAGTCCACACCTGCCAGCTGCAAGCAGGCAGCCGGAGCCCCGCGCGGTGGGTTTCAGAAGCCAACGGCGTTTGGGCGGATCTGTCCGTGTCAACCTCTTGGCAGAATTCCAACTCGTGTCTTGCCATCTGCTTTTATTCCTTCAGCTCCTCACAAAATACCTTTAAAAAGAAAAAAGAAAAAAACCTGCAGGAAGATGTGCAGCGGAAGGATCCGTTGACCTTTGCCCCGCAACTCCAGGCTTTAGCTCACGGAGCGGTGATCGAAAAAGCGGCCTGGAGCCCGCGGCGGATTTCTCTGCCCGAGAAGACATGACGCGCAAAGCACTGGGTGCAACGACCCCTCTGCAAACGCTTGACTTTTTGTGGCCCCAATGGAAAATCCGCTGCTTCCCCAAAAGCTCGAGCAATAGTCGATTACTTGCGGCGCGTCTCTCCTCAGAGTGTGCCAACAGACCAGAACATGTGCTGAACTTTGCTTGACAAACATTCGGAGTTGTCCAACCAATGCTGTGGACTTCTTACTTGCAATAAGTCATGTGTACGTCAGTCCAATCAGGATAGCTCGGCCCCTATATCTGATATCTGCGTGAACTTCCACCAAAGAAAGGGACAACACTGTGACATCATAACCGGATATCTCTCACTTAGCTGTGGTGAGAAAGGCGGGTGGCTGGGAGGCCATAATGTGGCCATGGGTCATAACCTATGCCTCCATTTTGGGGCGGATGAACACCCATGTACCACCTATTTTGATATTCACCCGGGGTACAGGGTTTTGACCCACCGCCATGTATGATTTGACCATCTTCACCATGGACGCTGGGAACTTCACATGCCCAACGCGGCCCTGCGAGCGGCTTTTTTCTCTCGTCGCTTCTCCATCTCTGCGCGCGGCACGCTCCCACAGGTTTGCCGGCGCGAAAAGTTGAGGGGATTCACAGCTTCATTCAACCCCTCTCAAAGAACACCTAGGCAGACTAAGTGCGCCAGCGTATCAATCCACTGGCCAGTCAAGATGAAAGTTCCGCCTCTTTGCGCACTCCTAGAGTGCCCTATGCTGTTTGCTTAGCCTAAGGGACCCACTCCACGCCCCTGGCAAGGTTTCTTTGCCTCGCCGCAACCTTCCGGTGCCGGAAACCTCGCCGCGACTCACCGGATCCGCGCTCGTCTTGGCCAGCACCTCCAAACGTCGCAACTTCTTCAGGAAATCTCCTGCGGCAGGAGAAGAAGCGCAACATCAGGGCTCCTGTTGCTTCCCCTTCAAACATCAGGGCTCCTGTTGCCGCTTTTGCTTGTGCCCACAAGCCTTCCATAGGGACTGCAAACCAACCAACCAACCACAGCAAAACGCGAAGAATGATCAAAATTCCCCGGAATTATCTCAGGTCTTAGAGTTTTCAATGATTGATGTATCTCCTTGCGAGCTCTCCATACGCGATGTACAAGCAAACATGTCCAACTACCACTTGCCCTGCGGCGATCTTGTCAACATCTCCAAATCATGCTTGCTTCCATTTAATAGGAAAGCTGGCTGACTTGTGGGTGTGTGTATCCGAGTGTAGGGTACCCCTTTTTGGGGCTGGTTTAACGGAAAAACAAAAGACACATCGCCAATTATTGGGATCCAAATCCATATTCTGACATAAACCCAAATTCAACATCGAAGTCTGCAAACGCGAGTGCCCGCACATTCCTGTGGCCGGCTTGCTTGTCATCTGCCGTCGAATCGCCTGCGCAAAAATGCTGAAACTACGTGCTGAGAAGTGCAGAAGAAGAATCCGTTTTTCCCATATCAAGCCCGGATTCATCAATCTAGTAGAATATGGGGTGTTATCCCTCAAAGTAAAGGATTCCCTCTCAAATAGCACACCCCCTATTAACCAAGAGGTCTATTCATCCCGGTTTCCATTACCCTTTCATCTGGTGGTGAGATAAGTTGGACCCCGGGTTGTCTTTGGCTGCGTATCTGCGAACCCTGAGCAACTAAAAACTCCACAACTCGTGAGGTCAGAATGTCCAGTTTCCGAGAATCTTGGGTCCGGCCCAAACAGCCAGCTGACGGTCCTTTAGAAGGACAGGCTGGGTCATATGGGTGTGTCCGTTTTTAAAGGGACCTTAAGGGACCTCAAAACAAAACATGGCTTTCCTGTTGGTTTCCCTTTAAACCCAACCAAAAAAGGGGATCCTCAAAAAAATAAGACACACGCACACACACACACACCCATATGACAATGCAAAGAACAATGAAAAGACGACACCACGGCGTCCATGTGTTGATAGGTTAGCAAATGGTCATGCATGCTGAGATTCATTGATTCTACATTGGCTCCTATATTGTTGGGTAGTGATTGGTGAAGGGCCCCTCTCAACAACTTGAGGGTCAACATGGGAAAATGGCTTAGTATTGGTCTAGTATTAAGTTGGGAAACAATTCTTTGTATTACCGACAAATTGAATGATCGTCATCTAAAAGTATTGCTGACCAGGCATAAGAGGCCTACAGGTTTTTGGGATACACCCGAAGCTGCATCGAGCCACAAGAATCCACATCCAAGTCCCAGTTCCTGTTTCTGCAACGTGAGGCTGGGTGCACTTGAAGCTTCCGGAATGTGAAATGCAAGGGCTCAACCCAAACGTGGCTCAGATTTTCTTGGCTTTTAGGGCTTGGGCTTCAAAATTTGTGCATCAAATGGGTCTGGGTTAAAATTGAACCACCAGGAATTGGACCGCAGGCCTTAGTCCTTGTTTCCATCCTGCCAAGCCATTTCGGGTACCTGTGAGAAACCCACACCCAAATGGCCATGGGGCTTTTTGCCCGGTTAGCCCCCAGTGAACATCCCAACCCAACCAAGGCAGGTAACCTAAAATGGGTGGTGAATTCACCTATCCCAACCAAAATTAGGCAAACAAACATATAAGCAAAAAAACAGTTGTTTACCACATGGCTGTGGCTCCGAAAACCGGAATCCCCAATTTGGATCCCAAAACGGTTTTGCCAACCACACCCAAATCCTTTTTTGGAGATACCCCCGTCTGCGCCATGCGCCTGGGTGGCTTCGGGGTCGGGCGGCTCTTTGCCGTGGTGCCTCAGCTCATGCGACGAAAACAAAAAAAGACGGCGCTGGCGGATTCTTTTTGGATAGGGAGCACAGGAACGCGTAAAAATCTCCATGAAGATGAGGTCCGTTTGAAGCAATCCCTCCAAGAACATCACCCAAAATGAAAGTCTCGATCCCAACAAAAAGCCCCAAGAAGTGATGATTCAAACCACAAGGGGACCTATGCGAAAAAGTTTACAAAGAATTAACACCCATCGGCAGGTCATTCTATTGGTGTCATGGACAACCAACCGAAAAGGGTCCCCTCAAAAGAAGTTGGAGGCCTTTTTGGCAGAGTATGGTAATGAGTTTGAGTGGTTGGACACCCGCAAGACTGCTTGGTTCGCTGCGTTTCGAATAAAGCCATGTACATGATGTGCAAAGGGTCACGAATGCATCCTCTACAAACACCAGCCATCTTAGTGGGCTTGCCCTCATTCACCAGACAACAACAGTTCAAATTGTGAAAGGGTCCTGCATGGGGTCCTAAACAGAAATCTGTTGTGAGGTCGAGACGGTTGGCCCAGACTGTAACAAACTGTGGGACATATGTGGCGCCCTTCCTCCATGGGCGGTTGCTTCAGACAATCAACTTGGCAGCGGTCAAGGTCCATGTCTATGCAGTTGCGAGTAAACCATGTTCATCGGCTACTTGGGGGTGCTCAACATTCCAGGGTCTGTTTTGGACTTCTGCTTGGCTTGGACGAAGATCCATGAACATCCTTTACTGCGTTGTTGGCATAACAGCGACAAAGAAGCCATCTCTGGAGCATTTCAGACCTCCAAGGCGACAAGCATCAAACAGACCAAACTGCCGTGTTTCTCTGTCTTTTGCTGCCCCGCAAGCCTTGGCGCCGAAAACCATGCTTCTACCTCCTCGGGGTGGCTTGGACACAAATATGCGCGACTTTTCAAGAATCATTGGCCTGAAAAGACGGTGCCCCGAGCAAAGAATCTGAGTGGGTTCCCTCCCCACCCCCCCTTTGGCGGAGAGTGGTCGGGTATAACTTTCCCAACGTGATCCACGCCTTTGTGCCTTAGGTCGTCCTTTTTGCCCCCGCTCCTCGTGTTTTTTTGAGGTGGATAGGCAAGAGGGAAGCAACAAAAACGGCATCAGCCCCCAAAACAAAAGCAACGGGGGTTCCAAATGATTCCAACCATCATATGCAAAGTCCGCTCTGATTCCAACCTTTTTGATGCAAGGATCCCAAAGCAAAAGAGCATATAATGAAAGAGCTACATTGTTACATCATGGTGATCTTGGTTTACCCCCAGGGTAAGCTTGCCACCTTTGTTTATTTGGACTACGCAGAACAATCTCAAACCAGCTTTTAATCTTTGCGGATGCTCGCCCTTGCCCAAAGTGCCTCCGAGATCATCCTGCTCTACGTGAGCCTGGCAAACGCACATGTGCTTGGCCACCCCCTTCCCGCCATTTCAACTGCTCCAAGAGTTGATCCCCCTTTCTTTTCACCCATACTGTTGAAAAGAAAAGCACAGCTCGGACTGCTCAAAAGACCCTCCCAACCTATAGAGCTAGATGTGCAGGTTTCACGGTGGACTCCTTGCTGATTCTAACCTATGACTGTGCCATGGGGTTGTTTCCCCATTCTGGTCAACCATCGTTCTTCGCTTTCTGAGGGTTTTCTAGAAAGAAGGATCCCTGGAAAGAATGGGGGAGGTACCCCTCGAAATATGAGCCATCTGGTCTTTCTCCAGCAACCGGCCTTGATCGACAGGCAACATGGCCCGCTCAATTCCCAACATCGTCGCGGACAATAAACAGGAGGGGTTACGCAGGTTTTGGTCAATATTTCCACTTACCTGGGTTCCATTTTGGTACCGGTTTTTTCAGCCACAGCCATTTATGAAATGCCAAGCGGGACATCCCCAAGACTGTGTGATCAATTTAGAGGGAGATGCACTTGGTATCACAGAAAGTGGGCTTCAACTCCCCGATTTTGCAAAACGGATCATGTCCATCGCCTGGAGAATGAAAGCCGAAAGTTCTGGAAGACTGCCACGCGGCCATGAATTGAGTATGTGAGAATCATACAATAGGGGACCAACATTGGATCTTGGGGTGGGTGGGTATCTAGTTTTCCTCCAAACTTTGGGTGACAAGGGTACGCTGAAACATACCAACGCACACTTGTGTCATGCAGAGCCCCTTGTTTTCTGTGGCTGGCCCCAGCCAAGAGCCAGACTTCCCCAGCTTGGGGCCAAACCGCCTGAAACCATTGCCCGCATCCAAAAAGGGACCTGAACCACCAGATGTGTCAATTGAAGATCCGGTCCATGCAGCTGGTTGAACTGGGTTAAACTGGGCCGAATGTTTTACCAGAAGAACCGCTTCGCAGCTTGACACGTTGGAACTGGTTCAATCGAAGCGCAAAAAACCCTCCCGCGCGCCTGCACCTCCATCCTCAGGGAGCTCAAGACAACCACGTTGACTCATGCCGGCTATGCAAGGAAGGAACAACTCACCTGAGCCCAAAAATGCCGTTTTGAAGACTAGGTCCTCCAGTAGACAGGTTAGAATGAGGGCACCCTTTTTTCTGTAGTCTATTTTAGTAGGGGAACCCTCCCCCAAAAAAGGATGAGAAAGGGCACTACTGGGGGACCTAGAAAAGGAAACTTTCAGGGCACCTCCGACTTGGCTGGCGATCCATCCGCATAAGAGACTCCAAGACTCACCTGTTTTTTAGGCCGTCTCTTAACATAGAGCACGTTGCCCCATTTGGATTCCATTCGAAACCAACCCGAAAACGTACCGATTTAAATAAGGCACCTTACGGTGAACCACCCATCGTGCAAGGTGTGCTGGATTTCCGGCATCAAAAGAAAAACACTGACAAAACACGGTGGCCGCTTTTGCAAAGGCTCCCAAAGGGCAAGGTGTCCAACTGGCTGTGGCTCAAAAACCGGCTCCAAAATGGAACCCTGGCAAGTGGAAACATGGACCAAAACCTGCGTAACCCCTCCTGTTTATTTTTGAGCCACACCCAACTTGATTAAATGGAACCTCATTCCCCTTAAAGGAAAAGCAATGAGACACCACCCATTAACACTTGGACCATTCTAAATTGCAGGTTTCCCAGGTTCTTATTGAAACGAACACCAGAACTGGTTCCACTAAAGTGACGTCCTCAAAACCATGCCCCACAATGGTGGTATAAAGAGAGCCCTTCCAAAAGTATGTCTTGAGAACCCTGGACGTTTACCCGGAACACGGATTTGGGCCCCATGTTCCGCTTTTCGGCCTTCCTTTAGGGTCTCCGTTTATTCCAAGCTAAGGATACCAAGCACAAACCACACCCCCATATGGCTGTAGGTCAATAATAAGTACCCAAGTGGAACCCTGGTAAATGGAACCAAGGACTATACTACAGCCTGCGGTCCGCCGGTGGTTTAATTTGACCCATACCCATATCCCCAGGGCAAAACATGATCCCAGAACAAATACAAAATAATACTAATTAGTTCTACACGACGGACTAAACCAATACTAAACCAATGCTGAACAATAAAGACTGCTTGAAGAGGATCAATTCTGGACCCCATATTCTTTGCCATTCCAAGGGTTGCTCAAAATCATTCCTTTTGCTTGAAGGCGAGCCACACAAATTCATGGCCTACTTGATCTTCTGGAGGCAACCTGCAGAACTTCCAAACGGGGGCCCCAAAAATGATGGTTTTCCTTTTGGTTTCCCTTCAAACCCGCAAAAACAAGTATGCCCATATTCATTTGCAGCCCAGCATCGCACCAATTGCACCTGAAGGCGGGGGCTAACGTTGTCTCACCCTATGTCACCGATTCGCAACAGTCGTCTTAGCCAAACTCCAGGGTGCAGGCTGCACCACACAAATGTTCAGATTCTCATAGGCTATCAACCTTACAGTGTAAAATGAGATCGGAGGAGACCCCAGCCGTGTCACATTTGGGGGATGCGTCAAGTACAGAAAGAAACGGACGCAAATGCGCAGAAATGGGTGTGGGGGTTGATCCAAAGGTCAGTACACAGGATGTCCATTCTTTACCAAAAACAAAACAACCAAAAAACAACAACAATTTTCAACCAAACCCCGAAAAAGAAGAACGAAAGGAAAAACAAAAGAAAAAAAAAACACCTTTCAACCACATGGTTGAACAGGTGCCCATGGCCCGGGGCCTTTGAAGGAACTTGGGCCCTGCGAACTTTTAGCGGGTGAAATGGGAAATCCAACCACTAAAACCACGAAATGCCCTAAAACGCCCATTGGGGAGATGGCTGTGAGCCACCAAGGGAATATTCATCATGTGCAACCACCTGAACATCGCTGCTTCGGGCACCTCTAGATGTCAGTCAAAAGGGACCCGTCCACGCTGGGCGGTCCTTTGTCTGATGGGGTACAAGTGACCAACGTTTGGTGAATTAAAGGAAAACCCAACCACTAAACCAACTATAAAAAAAAAAACGCAAGTAAGGAACCGGATGATTCGCTAGGAACTGCCGGTTGCACAGTTCCACGTCTTTCCCAAAGGCACACATCCAACCGGCTGCCGAGAGTAACATCAAGTCACAGGCGCAACCGCCCGCTCACGCCGCGGAATTTGCCCATCTGACAGCCTTGAACATCCAAGTCCAGCCCGACGCAACTCACTGCCTGGCTCTCCCTACAGTGCGTGTTTTTGTCGATTCAGTGCTACAGGCGGTCCTTCCAACTGAACATGAGGCCAAACAGTGGGGTTGCGCCGCTGACCACCACTGTGTGCTTCGCACAATGCCACGGTGGTTGTCTCAAGTTCCATTGTACACTGGCGACAACCAAACCAAGTGATACAGGATGATACAGGAAAACCTATCACTTGTTTCTGCCTTTGGTGATCTACTTTGCAGGGAAACCTTTGGAGGGGAATTCCACCCACAGTCGAAACAGGAATTCTGCAAAAACAGCCGCACTGATGAAAAGGGTCTCTCTCCGTGTCTTCGCTCTCTCACACCCAGCCTGAAGTTCTGCCATCGTGCCTGGCAATGAAACACATCTCATTTGGAGATCCACGATTCGGCAAAAGCAGTTGGAGGGTCAGCAACAGGCTTCCAAAAGGGAAACGTATTTCAAATGGGCCAAACAAGTGATGTTCAAGACCGCCTTAGGAAATGTGCTGAACCCTGAACATTTTCTCCACAGGGATCTCGCAAAAAAACGAGACGATCAGCTTTACTGCTACTGTGATTGTTGAATGTCGGGTATTTCATGGGGGAATGGGGAAGGGATCATTGATGCCGAAGCGCGCACTCCTCCTCAACTTGCTGGTTCTCAGCAGGGAATGAGGAAATGACCCCGCTACACCATCCCTTGTGGTTAACTTTACGCCCTTCGGGTTCATTCCCAACACCCGGACTCGGTCATTCCCTAGCTATCGCACCAGCTATGCGGTCAACCCCTATGCGGTCACTCCTTTTGTGGCTCATCATTTTCTGAGGGGAAGCCTTTTGTCTATCCGAAGGGTCGATAGCATCAAGTTGGTCCATGGCGCCGACGCTCCATGCAGCCCTTGGCCACTGATGTAGAAGCTAACCCCTCTGGACAGCCTTGGGCCCAGATTGAACCTGTCTAGAATTTGTGGCTAAACAATATGGCCCATTTTTAGACCCTGGCGCCTTGTGCCGCCTTTCCAAATACCCAAAGAAGGCCCGCAATTTTGACACTCTCCTGAACCTCTTTTGGTGCTTCTGTGGATGGATAAAATCCTGCAGGAAGTTTACCCCAATATCCACCTTCAAAGGGAGGCCTTTTGAGCAGCTCGGCCCATTTCAACCTAAAGACTGAGGTCCCGACCCAAACAAAAAACAGGCCTCCCAAAAGTGCCGTTGAACCCATCCATCCCAAGGACAATGTCTTTCAGGTTGCTTTTTGGTTTCATTGTTCTGTTCATATGTTTTTTTTGGGGGGGATGGCAAACCGCTTGGTTGGCTTTGGCTTTGACTTGGATTTGTGGCCGTTTTTTGCTGAGCAACATCCTCCAATCCAACTGCCCTCTGTGTGGTTCAAATGGAAACCTTCTTGGCCCAAAGCTATTTGGTGTTTGTTCCTCTTGGTAGCACCCCCCCCCCGCCCAACAAGGCTGGGTTTCTTTCCGGTTTCCCTTACGAAAACCACAAAAAAAGGTACCCTCAACCAAAAACACGGACTCATGTTTTTTTCAGAACCCCTTCAAACCCCTTCCGGTGAAGCTGCCTTTGGCCGTCCGAATCCGTCCCTTTTGAGATCGAATCCGGATCCCGCGCCTGGCGAACTTAAAGGGTTGGAAGCCCTCCTGGCGAAGTTAAGGCGAGAAGAAAATGGCCTCGTCTCGGTGTGTTTGATCCTTCTTGGTCTGATTGCTTGCTGGCTTCATTGTTTGTTGCTTGCTTGCTTGCTTGCTTGCTTGCTTGCTTGATTGATTGATTGATTGGTTGGTTGGTTGGTTGATTGCTTGTTTTCGGGCGGGGGGTCGGGGTTGGATGTCGTTTGCGGGGAAAGCTTTCTCGGGTTGGATGTCTTCTGCAAGCAAGCAGCGTGTAATTCTTTGGGGTAGGGATTGTTTGGGGGGAAACTATCCAAGAAGCGGCCATCATAAGCCTTTTTTGTTTTTGAGCGGAGGTTCGGCGATTGTTTGTGCTAAAGCTTGCACGTGCTCATGTGCTGTTGAGTATCGCAAAATAGACAGGGCTGACTCTGCCAACCTTGTTCTGAAATAGGCCGCGCCTCTGCGCAATTCAGATTGGAAAGCAAGTACCCAGGTATGTAGCCTATGAGTATATCTTTGGTTTAAAACGCACCCCACGCCATTCTGATTCTTCAGGCCCTGCTCTGCCTTGCCCAGGTGGAGATTTGGCCGTTGATGAATCTAGTCTTCGAAAATACCATCTTCGAGAGACACATCTCTTTCGCGAATCTTTCGCGACGCCATCGCCGCGCCGTTTTGTTTGCAGCGCACGCTCTGGAGCCGTCGTGGCTGCAGTTGCGCTTGCAAACGCAGTAATACCTGCACTGGCAGGCTGGCAGCAATGAAAGCAGTCCCATATAGTCCCATCATTCGCCCTTACCACTCGCGCTTGCCGTGGCTGCGCGGGACTTGCGCTTTCGCCGGTCTTTCGCGGATATTTCGCGAAACTTGCTCCAATATAGTCCAGCCAACGCTTTGGTTTGCACTTTGCCCAACACGGGCAGGGAATCAAGAACGCAAGTAAAGGTGCTGCGCATCTCTTTGTCATATGTAAGTGCACAGGCATGCCTCCAAGAGCCCAACGCGGCATCTTTCTCGGAACAAAACATCTTTTGCGAACTCCATCACAGATCTTTCGGGGCATAAAAACCAACACCTAGCTGCTACCCGAATACACAAGTCCTTGCCAGGACCTTTTAATCAACACCAAAATTGGAGGTTTCCACGATGATTCTTGGTTGACGTCGGAAGGGGAGCAAAAAAATGAAACTTTAGCAGTTGAGTGGTTGGATTCCAACCACTAAACCACAATGAGCAAAAAATGGGAAAAATGTTTCCCAACAACAGCCATGGAGTTGTGTGGCCGTCTTGGAAGGCTGAAAACTCCCCGAAGAAACGAGAGGCGCTGGCCATCTCTGCGAGCGATTTCCGGGGAAGATTCCAATATGAGGGGCCCTATGTGTCAAGGGACCCCTCAAAAATGGATGGCCCAGTTTGCGGAAAACAAGAAAACAAGGCAGCCCCCAAAACGAAAGTACAGTGTTGCATTGATGTCCGTTTCCACTTAGAACCATGACCGGGGATCTTGGGCGGGACACACTCCGATATGTCAGAACCATAACAGTTTGACAAGGGCAACTATATTTCCCCGGATCACCAAGTTGGATAATCGTATAAATAACAGCTTCAACACTGAAGCAGGTGGTTGCGGCTTCGGTCTGGTTTCGGTCAAGTTCGGTCAGGTAGTTCTGGTTCCCTTTGAACCTTGGCAATTCATTCTGCTTGATCGTGGGGTGATGTTGAAGGACATTCAATGGAAAACCGCTTGTCTTGGGTTTTCCTATTTCTGAGACAACCCCATATTGATATCTGCCATTATGTTGTCCATGGTCATGGTTCCCCTCAGAACATCCACATTGGTTGTCTAGAACCCTAACAGATGCCAAGCGCATTTGACCGTGGCACAACCGAGGGGTGTCTCAAGATAAAGACGCCTTGATTTGGACCCTGTGACCCCCTAACAGAGAAGTCAAGTACAGGGCATGAGCGCCCACGGGGTCAACCAAAACAAGGAAGTACAGCAAAGGCGTGATTTTCGCCTCCATGGGCCCAAAAAATGCTCAGCCGAAGAATTTCCCTTCACCAGCCCAGAGGGGATTACCCACCCCCCAAACAAAACCACCCCGGCCCTTCAAGCGGCCTCTTCGGCTTTCCGCTTCGGTGGGAAGTGGCCTGAACTCGAGCAAGGCCAGCGCGCGCGCGGCAGAGGGCGCAGGAGGGTGTGCGGCCACCCGTGGGAATGATCCTCCCCCGCTGAGAATTGCTAGGTAAGGCTGGGCCAAATGTGGATCCAGATCCCTTTCGCATCAGTTTGGTGTATCTCCCAATGACTGCAAAGGGATTCCCTTGCAGCCGATCGGTGCGACTCTCGTTCTTTCAACGCCTTAGCTTGGTCGACGTTGGAAGGGGAGCAAGAATTCAACTTTTTGCAGTTAAGTGGGGATTTCCCACTAAACCACAATAAGCAAAAATATAAAATGTTTTCCAACAACAGCCATGTTAGGTCGGTTTAGTGGTTCTCCAGCTGACCGCCGGAGTCCTTAAACGCCAAAGGGAAGCGACCCCCAAGTACCCGCAGCTGGGACTCAAGCCAACGTCCACTACAGTAACATCCTCAAGGGCGTCTTTTTGAGGGTATCCTTGGATGTTGATGTTGGTCCCAAGCAACATCAACTGTCTTTTTGAGGGTACCCTTTTTTGCCTCGCGGATTTGAAGGAGAAGCAAAGTCCCATGAATTTCAGACGGACCCAGATGACACCAAAAAAAGGTGGGTAGCCAGCCAAGAACATGTTGGAGCACCCTCAAGTTGGACTCATCGACGCAGTCGGTAATTCCAAAAGGCAGGGATCAGGTGGTGCAGCTAGCGCTGGAATTGCTCGTCCGAGCAGGGCATCCAAGTGGGCAAACTGCAAGAACCAGCCATGCATGTGCACAAGTTACAATTGTTCGTCTAGGCGTATCTCGCAGCCTCGAAGACCCAAACTTGCCTCCAATGCCCTCAAGGGAGGACCACATCTGTCACAGCCATTCTCCAGGGATTGTAACGGCTATTTCCCCATCTTGCAAGGCTTGACATGAGCATGCAACAGCATTTAAAAGGGACCCATAGCCAGGGTTTGCCATTTAGCGCCCTTTTTGGACAATGAGACTCTTTCAGTGGGTCCCTAAATGTAACCAGCAACGAAAAACCCTGCCCACAGGGCCAGGGTCGCGTAACAGTCGAAAATCAAACAGCCTCCAAATCTTTCCACAAACCACGGGAAAATGGGCAACCTTGCTCTGGTGCTTGATTCTAACCCCTCCCAAATCAGCGGCTAAACATGCATTGGCACGTGTGCGGGAGACCAAACTGGGACATGTTCAGACCCGAACGAAACTGCGACCGCATCCGACCCCCCAAAGCCCACCTCCGTGCTTCGCCTTGGCTTCCATCAAAGCCCCAAACGGAAAGAACCCTATAACAGGGATACTGAGCCTTTCTACTTAGTAGACCTTTCAGTTGGATCACTGCAATTCAGGAAGACGTGTTCATGGTGTTAATGAACATTTAATCAGGGCGGGATTCCAGTGAAATGTCTAGCTTCAATTTGGATTTAGATAGAGGCTCCTTGTTTGAACGGACTTCAATTAGGGTGCAATTGGACATCTTAACTTCAAACTGGATTTCAAAGGGGTTTCCGGATATGTCAATCGCTTACTTAGAAATAGAATAGGAATCAACAAGGACAGAAATCGAGCAGAACTTCTAGTTCTAACCATAATTTCAGTATCACCTCCTTTTCAAGACGAGTTCAAGCATATGTTCATGATAACTTTTATTTGAAAACATAATTTGAAGGAGATGTTGTCTTTCCCAGAGGGATATGTTCCATCGTTCAATTGTATAGTCTACATCGAATTTAGCAAGGAAAGAATGCTAGCAGAATCTCTAGCTTCAAATATACTTTAAACAGGCTCCGGGCTCCTTTTTTAAAAGGATGTCAGTTGGATTGTGGAAATTTGTTCTTCTTTAAAACATACTTTAAAGGGTGATGCCCTTTACCAGGAGATGTTGTTCAATCGTTCAACTAGAATTTAAACAGGAGAGTCCGCAGCATGTCAAGTTCAAATGCTTGTGGGACAGTCCTCGGCTTGTCAGAATTGCCTTTTGGGGACAGTCTGGCATTTTGCAAGGCCCCCCAAAAATTGCGGAACTGTGTCCAAAACAATAATCCTGACAAGCTCAAAACCCCAAGAAACGCGAGACTGTCCAGAAAAAAACGAGCGAGCAAACAACAAACCCTGCGGGTCTTGGGCAGGCCAACTGCTGAAGAGTCTGCAGGAGTGTTTTTTTTTTGCTTTTCTTTGGGACAGTCTCGAGTCTTTTTGGGGTCCAGGCTTGACGGGAGGACAGTCTTGAGTTGTTGTGAGACAGACGCCAAACAAAGTGTGGAACTGTCCGCATGTGTTGTGCAGAGCCCACAAAACGAAGACTGAGACTCTCGAAAATGAACAAAGCACTGAGACACACTTGAAAAACCGCCCCCTGTGAAAACCCAACCACCCACACAATGCCATTCTGAAAAAGTGGGCGCCCAGCCAGGAAAAAGTGGAACCGACCCCTTAGGCATCGGCCGGCTCAAAGCGCGAAACGCCTGAGCGGTTCAACTTCAGCGAGGCTGGCCCAAGTGTCCGCCCTATTTGCGTGCAAACAAATGGACGGCTCGATTCTTGATTCATTGATCTGAAAGAAACAGATGTTCCTTGGACATGTTTGGCAAAAGTAAATGGCTTGAAGATTCATCGACCTCAGAGCGGGAATCCACATATGTTCCTTAATCATCATCCCCCGTCACGTTAAGTCAAAAGAGATGTCACATGTCAACATTGACCATTGGTGTCGAGAAGCCAAAAGGACACATCGCGGTTTCGAGAGGGTTACTGGTTTGAACGGTGCAGCTACTTCAAAGGCTAACACTACACTGAAGGCGAAAGCGGCGAGAGCTGCACTGCTGCTTCAAAATATCTTGAGGCATGTCATGTGGCTATATCTTTTCTAGGGTACCCTTCTTCAACATGTCGAACAACGTCCTAATTGGGGACTCCTTCTGGTCGGTGTTCAACGGGAAAACAAAAACGGGAACCAATTATCTTGAGGGCTATCTATTTTAGGGCAAACCCAGATGCATTTGCAACCTTTGCAACACACCAAGGCATTTCCACATGTTCTACAGTCGTGGCTTCACTACATCCCATGCCTTGTGTACAAAAAGAATGGCTCCAACACTCCCGAATTGTGACTGAACTGTGTGCTAATCCCAGTTTCATTCCCGCTTGCCAACTAATAGAGGGCATGGAACAAGTACAAGAACACAAGTTCCCCAGACCGGAATCCACTGTTGCTTTTCCTTTTGATTGTGGTCGTTTACACGTTGTTAACTATTCAGCACCCAGTATAATTACCGAGTATACCGTCCGACTCTTGGTGATGTGTGGAACCATATGTACTGCACTCCCTCCGTTTGCTTTTTCGTTTTTTTGTGGGAAGGATGAGAAAATATGTCCAGGAGTGAAACCGATTCCTGTTAAAACGAAGAGGTTGGAACATGAAATACATATCTGGGCTGTCCTCAGATCCGCTAAAAGTTTTTAGCTTTTAGTGGGTTAAAAGTTGAATGGACATGCAAACACAAAATCTAAAAGGCTAAAAAGCTAGGGGATGGCTGGGAACCACCAAGATCTTTGAGTCTGCCATGCGCAGTCCTAAGGTGCCTTGAAGCCCCCCATGGATCTGGTGATCTGGTTTGCCCAATGAGACAAAACCAGAACTCACGCACGGATCGTCTGCGAAGGTCGCAGATTCCTGTGCCCAATGCACATTAAAATGGGAAAGGCTAGGAATCATGCAAATTTCTCAGGAGCGCCTTTTGGGCGGCTGTTTGCTGCCATGGAATTCACAAGACGCGATTCATCCTGTATGGATGAGCTAGTGTTTAGACCCTGACCGGTGAGCTTGCTATCAATGAGTGCCAATCCATGAGCCGGCCCACAACACCTGTATGTCGAGTCAGGTTTAATTGCTAGGGTGCTTGTGTATATTCCCAATTGCACGTCGCCTTTATGGGTGTGTTTTTTCGGAGGTTCTCTGTATGGAGTTGTTTTAAAGGGAAACAAACACACACAGCAAAAACAACAACAACTACCGTCACTTGGATAAAGGCGCGCACAAATTCGGCCACAAACGATGACGTTCCATCATCGTCCAACCAAGCAAGGTGAATCAAAACCGCTTAAATGACCCAACTCAAAGCACCATGGTGTATTTATCTCAAACCCAATGCATCCCTCTTGTATGTTTTTATAATCTCCATACGGGTACCTCTCCCATCGCCATCTCTCGGTCTCGCCCTCTGTCGCTTGGCGGGTCCTTTGACTGAGAGCCCCGGCTTTGCACTTTTGGCGCTGGCCTGGCATGCGCTGGATTCCGTTCCTTCCAATTGCTTTAGCCCCTGGAACAAATCAAAATATGTCCAGTAGTGAAATCGGTTCCCTTTCACACCAACAAGGGAAACTAGAAAACCTACCCTCCCTCAAACTAACATGGCAACTGACAGGGGCTCCCTTCAAAAGGAAATGAATCTTCCAGGTACCTCCCCACAGGTGCCATGCTAGTCGGACAGGTATTCTTGTATCAAATGGAAGATGTTTGCCTGACTGACCTTCACGCCGGGACTTCCCCCCCAAAAACGGGCTGAGCTTCAGCGTGCCCCACCGGCCCACCGGATCCGGAAATGCCCCACTTTTGCGAGCGGACAGGACGCCTTAAGCCCTCCAAGAAGTGTTTTCTCCTACCTAGACTGGACAACAAATGGGGGCTGGGAACCACCAAGAAAATTAGGGGCCCCTTGTTGGGCACCCGGGTCCAATAAAGAACCGGCCATATTGTTGACAACGTATCGCAAAGGATCGCTTGAGGGTTAACCACCCGTCCATTGCTTTGGGCTTTGTGCCCGGAAAAACACGGAGAGGCTCCAAATACAGACTCTCATCCCCCCAAATGCCCGGGGTGTCGGGTCCATAAGCCGAAGCCAGCCGGGCCAAACTCCAGGCCTTCCCTCCAACCTCTCCTCGCCTCGGTGCCGGGTCCAAGAGCCCAGTGCGTTTCTCGGGCGCTTTGCTTCCTGACCAAATCCACTGGGAAGCCATGGGAAGCCATTGGATTCATTGCCATTTGCGGCTTCTTTGAGGTGCGAAATGGATTTCGTTCCCCCTGGAAGAAACCATGTAAACAGGAGTTCTGGAAGGCCCGGGGACCAGTTAAGGATTCGGCGCACACGACCCGTGTTCTGTTGTCTAGCGGCAAGGTGCCATCACTGCACTGACGGAACACCGTCTTATGCCGCAACACGGCTTCCTTACGCCGAAAATGGGGGGGGGGGGGGGGGGGGCCGGTATTGGGCAAACTGGTTTTGAACCCTGATCTCACTTAGACTGATCCTTCCTCAGACTGCTTTGCAAGACACCAGCATGAACATCAGAGGAAGGCGCCTCCACGTTTGACCCTTCACTGCGTTGAGAAAAATCACGCGACCATGGGTTTTACGAGGTGCTGTACAACATTTACGATCTTTGGGCTTGATGTTACCGCTCTTGAGCCACCAGAGAGTTTGGTACCATTGAAACCCTCCACTTGCAAATATCGGGAGCCAACTTTCCAGGACGCAGGGTTCTGGTTACTGGCCAATACGGGGCGCATCCCATTGGACACCGAAGTGGGAGGGATCTACCGAATCCCAAAGATACCTCCCCGCGAACTAAAGGGGTGCCTATCAAGAACCTTACTGACAGAAATCATGATGAGTCTAAGACAAACTAGACGAGTTGCGCTCCAGCTTTTGCTGGGTCGCAAAAAAAAACGGGCTAGCCGACGTATCGTAGTTTGAGCGCGGCTTAAGGTGCAAGTGATACTCTCGTTGATGGAGAAGATCATGGCTTGCCCTAAGAAAAGCAACAACAGCTGTGTAGGCAAGCAGCGAGCTGGAAGTGCAGCGCCAGAGCTGTGGCCAATGTTGAGCTATGCACTTCGGGACTAGCCGCATAGTTGTTGACATGCTGGCGATGAACACAGCTGGGTGAATAATTGAAAACACCAAACAGCAGCTGAAAAAAGGGACCCTCAAGTCTCAAACAGGAACCTTGATTCTGTGTGCTCCCGATTCGTCATGGCTTTGCACGCATTCGAATTCGATTGCACAGTTCGATGGCGCTGGCAAATGATTCTAAACGAACCAAAACAATGGAATCCATCTCCAATCAAACCAACCTCAAAAGCACCCCCAGGTGCTCACACCTGTAGCCAGGTATTCTTTGGGGTACCCTTTTCACCTGTTTAAAAGCAGCCAAGGGAAGACCTTTCCCCTCTCCCCTCTTTTTTTTTGGGGGGGGTCCCTATTTTGACACATACTCGAACGTCACCTTGGGCGCCCAGCCATATTTGGGTGGAGCTGCCTGCACCTTGCCTATGGGCATCTGCTTGGCCCTGGCAAAGGTAAGTCCCGAGGGAGGAGACAAGGCTCTAGGGCTAGCTTCCATTTCCATTCTGAACCCAGGGATCCGGATCTTTCCAGAAAACCAGCCAAAAACCCTGGGAAAACAGCTGGTTGTTGAAAAGAACGATGGTTGAAAATAATGGGGAATCAACTCCTAGAAAGGTCAAACATCGATCCAGGTTTTGTGACGTCGACTGATACCCTCGTTCCAACCATGGAAGTTGACCAGCGAGCCTTTTCAAGAGCATGGCATGAGTCTTCACAAAACAGGGCTGCCCTCAGATCCCCTGCTAGTTGAATTGTTGGTCGGTTAAATGGGAATCCCAACTAAACCCGAAAACGCTATAAAGCTAAGGAACCGGATGGCTGGGAGCCACCAAGGAAAGGGTATGCCGTGTTTCTCCACGAGTTTGCGGGGCTTACGGGGCTGCAGCACACTACGATTCAAGGAAGGGATCCTTGCGCGAGGATGAACTCGTTGACCACCTGCGAAGTCGCCACAATTCCTGCAAGGTGCCTTTTTGAAGGAGCTGCTTCTATTGTGGCAACAACCCAAAGAAAGGGTATGTCCTGAAATTGGCGGTCGGACCCTTCTGTCTTGTGCTTCAAGGGATTCCAAAGGCAACCCACTTTTGGGGTCCCTTATTTCGGACACCCCCCCCCCTGTCGCACCAGCTGACAGGAATCGTTCCAGAGCCACTCTGCAACCCCGTCGTGCCTTGGATTCTCACCGCCTCGGGCTTGAATGGCTTCGAGAGCATTTTTGTTGAAGTCTGTATTCGTTGAGTCCCGCGGGACTGCCGTGTATTTGCCAAATACCTTTGGGCCACATGGCCATGGGTCAAAATCCCAAATCGTGCCCCCAGTGAACATCCCAATCCCCACTAAAATCCACTAAAATGGGTGGTGCACCTACCCCAAAATGGTACCATTGAATTTGACCCACAGCCACATCTACGGCCCGCGCTTCCTTTGATGCAACTCCTGCTGCTTTGCGACACTAAGGCTGTCAACGAACAGCATCCAACAAACAGGAAAGAAACATCCCCGCGCGCGGGACACCTCGAAGCCAACATCGTTTCTTGAAAGCTGTGGGTCCAACTTACACCACCTGCGGACCGCAGGTTTTAGTCCATGGTTCCAGGTTCCATTTTGGGTACCATTTTTTAACCTACTGCTATGTAAGAAACAATCTACGCCACTCACAAAACAAGCATATTTTCGAAAAAGGCCCTACCCCCTAGCTTCTGGATCGACTGGTTCTGGCAAGCACATCAAGTAAAGTGGCGGCTGGTAAGGTCACACATTGCCAAGCACAAAAGGCAACAAGCCATCCCTCATACATTTGGTGCCATCCTCGTGGAATGTTCGCCTCGACATGGACGCACACCAATGGTTTGGGAAGAACAAGCCTCTCGAAGGCATCCCCTGTGTTTTTCGAGGCTGGCTTATGCTGAAACGATGTCACCAGAGACTCTCTCCAAATGGTCGACTGGACTTTCCTTGCCGGCTCTCAGCTTTCTGATTCCTCGCTCGAAGTTGCCTCGAGTTTCCCGAGACTCACACCATGCGCAAGCGCTGGCCTGGCGAGACGGCGTCCCTTGGTCCAAGACTCCGGGGCCCCCGGCCCCGGGTCAAGGTATCTAAACCAATGGACCTCCAGTTCAAGTTGTTTAGTGCTGGTATTTCCTTTTGAGACTGGGATTTGAGTTTCCAGTTGATTTAGTATTGCTGGAGCTTCCTTTTGAGCATTGGAATTGAGTTACCATTTGATTTAGTATTGTTGGAGCTTGCTTTTAAGATTTGCATGTAAGTTTCCGTTTAAGCATTGGCGGACATGCAACTGCATTTGACTTAATTCAGGTGGAGGCTCCTTTTCGGCCTTTGATGCGGCGGGCCAAGCAACGAGACCCTATTGCAGGGGCTCCTACGAAGTCTTGGGCTCAAATTTCGGGGCCGAAAGTACCCCCCCCCCTTTGTGGGTTTGATAGCGGGCAGTTTTAAAACAAGAGACTTGGCAGAAAACATGACTTTGGGGAAGCTGAACATTCTGGATGTTTGGGGAGCAGGCTCAAATCTGACGGCAAAGCCTGAAGTTTCACCAGCTCCCCTCGTTCTTTCCGTTCCTCCATTTATCTCTGCTCCATTTATTGGGGGGTGCTTGTCTTTATTCCAGGTGCATGTATTAACCTTCTCCGGCCACCTGTTTGTCTTGATTTCGGGCGCATTTGTTCATCCTGGGTTGACTTTCAGCTAGGTAAGAAGGCCTCAAACAGCTCGTGTGCAGAAGAGGTGCGACAGGAGCAAATCTCGAACTGGTTGGAAACGGGCGGAAAAAAGAAAGAACAGAAAAAAGCAGATCAATCAGCAGATCAATCAAGCAGATCAATCAATCAGCAGATCAATCAGCCAAGGACCCGTTGCTCTTCAACATGTGAAGCAACCAACAACGAGCAACTCTTCGCCATGTTGGCTTTGAGGTCTTGAGCCCTTGAGAGCCACCCCCAGTTGGGGCCGCAAAACAAAATATAAAACCACCCGAGCTTCTCTTAAAAACAAAAACCAAAACCGCAAAAACAAAAAGCAAACAAACGACATGTTCCGGTAGCGCCCAAAAAAAAACACACCTGATCAGCTTGCGGCGGTAGCGCGCCTCGCCGGCGCCGGCGCACCTGTGGGGTTTTTGTTGGCTTGGGTGAGCCTTTCTAGGGGTCGAACTTGGTCCAAGGGAAGCGGTGCTTCAACCCACAGAAGTATGCAAGTTTTTGGAACCCGTTTGGGTCCACGCCCGGACCAATCTCTGCTACAAGGGTCAACAAAAAATCAAAGGTGGGTTGTGGGATACTTTAGAACCAAATCAAACCTGACCCGTCCCCAAATCCGTGCTAACAAAAATGTGTTTATTTAATGGAAGCCCAAGCACTAATCCAACTAAACACCTAAATAGCTTCGCTGGGACCCGGCAAGAAACCACCACAAGAGAATCAAACAAGCAAAGTCGCAAGAAAGTCCACCTTCCCTCACGTTCATGTGGGGGTGGGTGGTTCTTGTTCTGTCTGCGCCTGTTTGTGCATGCAGACTAGGTCCTCCAGTAGAGAGATCAGAATAAGGGCACCCGATTCTTTTTTCTGTAGTCTATTTTAGTAGGGGAACCCTCCCCCAAAAAAGAAACGGTAAAAGGGCACTACTGGGGGACCTAGTAGAAAAACGATCTGTCCTAAATTTCGACCTCGAAACGTGCGCTTCCACGCCCCTCACGGCCACAGGGCCACAGGGCCACAGGGCCACAGGTCCACAGGGCCACAGGGCCCCGGCCCAGCTTCCCCCGAAAGGAGGGAGGCGCTGCCGGCCTGGGTGAAGCATTGGGCCCTTAACACGTTGACCCTTCAAAGCCAACCAAATCGTTGGCATAGGTGGCCTTGTGGAAAAATAGATGGCCCTGGTAAATGGAATAAACCCAATCTAAACCAGGGCCCTCTACTTGTTTAAGCAAACCAACCAAAAAGGACACCTATGGTCGTTGGGTTCTCCCAACAACAACCCATCATGACAACCAAAAGCTAACTTTTAATAAGGACCCTGAACAAATTGGGAAATATGTCCGGTAGTGATAGACTCCCTTTAAAACCAGCCCTTCAAGATGCCAAAACCCCAGCCAAAACAAACAACAATGCTACTGCCTCTACTTGCCATTGCTTCCTTCATATTCCAGGAATGGTCATTCCAACATCCAAAACGAACACATCAGCTTGCCAACTAGGACAAATCCAAAAACAAATATTCTTAAGCAAATGGAAGCATGAAAAGCCGCCAACAGGTTGGGTTCCAACCAAAAAAGCAAAAGATTACGTTGGTTCCCAAAAGCAGAACCACACTTGGTGGCGACTCACGACCCTCCTGCAACAAGTCGTGTTGCACTTTTTGTGGGGCCAAGTCAGATAATTCGCACTGGTTCAACCAAAAGTTAAAGTCCAAAGATCCAACCCAAACTCGGTTGTTTTTTGTTCTTTTGTTAAAAGTTCTCAACTTTTAGCGGTTTAATGGAAAACCATTAGTTGGCAAAAAACAAGTCCTAACATCCCTTGGCAAAATGCACTAAAGCAAAAGGTTGGGTTCCCCACAGAAAGCAAGACACGAGCTTCTCAAACTGGCGGATCCAGAACTTCTTTTGGTTGGCATTTCGGGGGAAACCGTAAGGACACCGGTGCATTTTCGCGGACCCGTTTGAGAAACACCGAACCTGGTAGAGAGCTAGGGCTAGGGGTTTTCATCCAGTGGAAACCCATATGAAAAACCGAAACCCAGTGGGTGATGGATACGCAGGAACAAAAAACATCTCGGATCAACATGAGGTTCCGCCCTCCAGGAATCACGGGGATGTGAAAGAAAAACCTTTCTGGGGGCAGTCAAAACGTGGAATTTTGCCGACAGGGCAGGTGAACCCAGGGTGGAGTATCAACTCTGAGCGCAGGACTCCGGCACACCTTGGCCTGGACAGTGCGATGGTGCGCGTCTTGTGAGGGCACTCTGTTCACCTTGGTTTCAAGGAAAGGATACCCATTTTGGGGACCCTCCGGTTTTGACGCATAAGTAACCCCCACTGAGGTGGTCTTCGGCACTTTGACAATCCAAATGTTGAATACTGTTGCTGCTTTTCTGACTAGCGGGGATTCCAGTCGTTTACATATTCAAAATTGTTTCCCTTCCCCCCAGAAACGTAGCACCTGCAGTGAAAGGTACCCACAAAATCAATTCCTCAAGGCTAAGGTCACCCGGGGCAATCAGAGTGCAGCCTCAAACAGCCAACCCAAACCTACTGACAAGGGGACCAGACCATGAAAATCAGATTTGCATCTTGCCATCCAGACTCTCTCCAATGCATTCTCTTTAGTGAAGGGACACAAACGTCCATGATACTCTTCACCTAATGGGACTCGCATCATTCAACTGTCACCCCTCACGGCAGGTCTTTTCGGTTGGTTTGTGACTTCGTGAGAGTCACCGAGTCCAAAGCTATCCGATACCTCTGGGTTTCATTGCGACCAATCTGACTATAGTTCTATACCCTAGCGGCTAGAACTCGCTGGTGCGATAGGCAGGGACTGAGAAATGGAATGACCACCCCATGAACCATCCCTTGTGGTTTCCTTCAAAGGGACTCCTGGATTCATTCCCTCATTCCCTCCCTATCGCACCAGCGGCTAGTATGCCCTGGAAAGCTTGCACAGTCTTGGCCATTGTCTGTGTCATTGGAAACTCAGCCCAGAGAACTGACGAAGAAAAAAACATTGTGGTGCCCTCACGAGCTCACAGTGATCCGAACATAGGTGCCCTTTTAGGGTAAATAGATGGCCCTGGAAGATGATTAAACCACCAGGCAAACCAGGAATCGCCATCTATTTTTCTACCAAAACCACCAAAAAGGACACCTATGGTTCCGAAGGCCATTCCTGCCAACATTCATCTCCCATGGACGTAAACGACTACCAAGACGATGCTGAGTTGCCGAAAAAGTCTGTGTAACGGTTGCCTCAATGGTTCCAAGTCCCTCAGAATTCGCGGCCTCTCTGACCCAAAGGAATCTAGGTCCTCCAGACTTGAGAGGTTAGAATAAGGCTACCATGGTTACCCGATTTTTTTTCCTTCCGTAGTCTATTTTAGTAGGAACCCTCCCCCAAAAAAAGAAACGGTAAAAGGGCACTACTGGGGGACCTAGGAATCATTTTTTTTGTTTACCCATGGCACATGTCGTTGAAGACCTGTTGGTGAACACCTAGAAATCGGGGTTTATGTCCACCACCCATGCGGGATGTTCCAACCCTTGAAACTCATAGCAGCTTGTTTTACGGGCGCCTGTGATTTTTTCCTGACTCCGATCTGTGGGAGGTCCACTAGTTTTTGGTTCGACTCGCTCTTGTTGAATTGCCTCCTCAACACGGCTTCCCGGAGTCGATGGCGCTCATTTCCCCAAGAGCTCGCAGCTTTCTACTTCAAGGGCCGCGAGGTTCCCCCAACCATCCCCGACCACTCTTGGTGCAAACGTGAAATGTTCGGTGTCCTTTTCTTTGCAACCGTTGGTATGATAGCAAAACACTGTCTGTTGCAGCCCACTAACAATGAACAGAGACTACGTAAACACATGACAACAACTTGAAGTGTTGGTTCTCCATTAAAAACAAAAACTGCCACACCCTCCTAACATGCAAAGAGAACTGGACACCAAACCACTCGTCAGGTTCCATGGGGTGTGCTACGGTGGATGCCCTATTGCAAAGCCAACCACAAAATGTCGGAATTTACTGGGTTGCACACTTCTTCCTTTGCAGAAAGGGGCATCCGAAAAGGACATATGGGTCATTCTCAAATTTAAGGACCCCATGGTAGGTGTTTTCCTTCTAGCTTTCTTTTACAGGGCCAGCCAAAAGACCAAAAACAACATTGCCGCAGCCCACTTGTTAATCGGCCAGCCATGCCCTTATCTGACCCTCACGCTTTGCAGCCCCAAGCAACTGATCAGGATAGCATATCCTCAAACTTCCTTGTACGATTACGGCTGGAACCTCCAACTGAGGGGGGTCGTCCAACCCTGTAGAAAGTAAAGGCGGCTTGTCTTTAGAAGGGAATGTCCAGACTTGCTTGTCTGTGGGGTGTGCCGGTTCCCTACCCCGTAAACGTGCTCGGCGGCCCGCCGAGCTCTTTTAGGGGGTTGCCAAGTCTGCAACCACAAGCCGTAAGAGCGGTCATCACCACCTTGGGGTCACCGAGCTCCCTACCCTCTAAAAGTGCTCGGCGGGCCGCCGAGCTCTTTTAGGGGGTTGCCAACTCCACAACCCCATAAAAAAGCAATTGGAAGAAGCGTGTGGCTTGCAGCCAGACACCTCTAGCGGCAAAATACCCGTTCGCACTCGGGCTACAGCTTGCAGAAAGTAAGGGTGGCCTATCTTTAAACGGGAATGTTCAAACTTGAGCTTGCTTCCCTGCAAACGTGCTGAGTGGCCCGCCGAGCTATCTTAGAGGGCTGACTGTCCAATCAAATGCCATGACAGTCGTCCACCCTGCTCCCTGCAATGTTGATATCTCTTGGTGTTGCAGCGTTTTGGCTGCCCCTGTTTTAAGCATCCTTTTAAAACCATCCAAGGGGCCCTTAATCATTTTGAGACACCCCCATACAGACCGAAAATCACTTGCACACTCGACTCGTGCCTCTGTGCGGCTCGGCGGGCCTGGACTCGCGGTAGATTTCGCGACCCAGAAACTTGAAAGCCTGCGAAGAACTTGCTGGTTGGTGACAAAAATAACCATCTCAGTTGTTCAGTGACCCTGGAAAAACATCGGGAACCCTTTCTGGGAAGACCATTTTTAGTGGGGCAGCCACCAAAAAAAGTTGGAAAAAGGGTGCCACTGAACAAATGAGCCATGTTACAATGCTTCAATGCGAATTTGTTTAAGCATGTTACAATGCTTCAACAACATGAAGCCGCTCCCCTACCAACTATGGGCGGGGCAAAGGGGCACAGTAAACAAAGCCAAAGGCCAAGTTCTTCTCTTGGCTGTCCGTTTTCAGATCCCCCGCTAAAAGCTTATCTTTTAGCGGGTTAAATGGAAATCCATCCCCACTAAACACTAAAGGGCTAAAAAGCTAAGGGGATAGCTGGAAACCACCAAGTACAAACATACAAACATGTATTACTTCTTTGTTGGCCTCCGCCTTACATCGCGCAATCCCCCCAGTGCAGCAGCTCGTGCAACAAACACCGGGACAGAGGGGGATAAAGGGCCCAACCAAACCACCCCCCCCATCCAAGAATGGACATGAGCACGAAGGCCTTATTGCTGGGCTGGGCTGAACATGCGTTAAAGCAACAGGTTTAGTGCAGAATAGGCCAAACTCAATGAACAAGTGATTCCAGTTTTGCTGGCGACGGACCATATCAATAGACCCCCGTGTCTTCGAAGTCGTGCAGCCATGTCCGACTAAGCCCAACCGATTGCCTGATTGCTCGAGCCAACAACTCACGCACTATCCAGCTGGCTTGCCGAAAAACAAGCTAACCAGCTAGACAGCCATGTCCATGCCACGCACAGGAAAACAAACACAATGCTTCCCAAGGTCTGAACAAGCCCCTGCATTTGTTCGCATCACGCATCATCAATGCGTCAATGAGCTAGCCCTTGTCCGAAGCCAAAGGAGATTGCGCAGAACGAGTCTCCGAGAGGGCGCCAAGCAAGCTTTGATCTGCGCTCTATGCAACGAGGCCAAATCAGTGTCAACTTGCCATTTGTGTGACTGTGAAACACTCAGAGGCCCAGTGGCATGCCCTAGAAAAAAAGGGGCATCCTTTCTTGTTTGGCTGACCCTGCCCGAACAAAGTTGAACAAAGGGCGGAATCCGCTGGGCAACTGGGAATACATCGTCACGGAAAAATCCTCCCTTCCGTCCTCGTAGCTTTGGAGGCTTCAGCGCCTGAGACGGTGAAGCTGACTGGTAGAAGATTGAATTAGTGACCCTCTATCACCCAGCACGGAATTCTAGGGAAACACCCTTCTGGCTGTGTTAAAAGACCAGATATGGCAGCACCTTTGATTCTCCGTCAGGAACATGTGTGCTGTCTCAAATATTCTGAGATAGCACCGGTAGCACGCTGCGAGACCCTGCACCTGTTCGCAGAAAGCATCTAACACGTTCCCAGGAAGCATGGGAAAGCTCTCTCAGGTATTTCCCCTCTCGGGCGTTGCCACTCCCAACGGAGACCTCCGCAGAACTGATTAGAGCGAATGAGTTGATGATTGCGTCTCATCTTTTGAGCAATTTTGCTCTTGTGGGATTGGTTTAAAGGGAAACCAATGGGGAAACCAACTGAAGCCCATCAAGTTTCAAACAAGACACAAGCAGCCAGACATATCCCAGAAGACGTTCCATGAGGACCAGAGCTCTATGACTTCCAATGCCCCAACTCATCCCCGTCTCTCAATTGGAATGGTTTCTATGGTTTGGCACATGGCCACACTTGGGGTCTCCTCCAAAACTCTGTTATATCTTGTGGCAGGCTGGGCCAAATATGATGCAAAAGCTGACCATATTTCGTTTGTCCTCCACAATACCAAGACGGGCTGCCCCATACAGGATCATGAAACGAGAAATGAGTCACAATTAAAATCCGGTACTAAAATGGTCTACCCAGAATTTATGGTTGGGATTGTCCCTTACCAACATTCATCTCCCGGTTTTTGGCTGTGGTTCAAAGGGAATTCTCTTCACCCCCTTCCCCCAAGAAGCCCCTGAACCGTCCAGAGTCTTTCACTTTGTCAATGTTTAACACTAAACATCTCATTTGAACAGAGACCCCAGTCTTGGCTTCGCAAATCGCCCACGAGGGGAACTCTTCCCGGACTTGGGACTCAAAGATCACCGAGCGAAACTTGTGCCAAGAGAGTTGAAGTGAAGCCAACCTGAGTCACAATCAAAACCCGGTACAAAAACGGTGCACCCAGAACCATGTGAAGAGCTTGGAAGGCGGCCGCAGCTATTTATGGTTGGGATCGTCCCTTACTAACCCTCATCTACCCGGGTTTTGATTGTGGCTCACCTTGCCAAGCGGTGAAACATGAGATCGGTAGCTGCACGAAGCCAGGTACGACCTAATGGACCCGTTCTTTTTGGTGGTCTCGGGCGCTCATTTGAGCAAAGGGCATGGCTGCCTGGAAACCTCTCGATTGCTCGTTTGCAATCAATCCCGATAACTTGGTTGACCTTGGAAGGGGAGCAAACATTTAAAAATAGCAGTTAAGTGGGGATTTCAACCACTAAACCACAAGAAGCAAAAATGTAAAATGTTTCCCAACAACAACCATGATAAAACTGATAGTCAGTTCCTGCTTCGCAGAAAAAAAAGAAGAAACAACTCCGTGCCTTGCGAGTTGAACACACCTCGGCCGGGCGCAGCACAAAACCACCAACCAACCAACCAACCAACCAACCAACCAAGTCAATCAGTCACTCAGGGAACCAACCAGCCAACCAATCAAAAAATATATCAATTAAACGCTTAAAACAAAATAGCAAACAAACAATGCAGTAAACTAATAAAACTAAATAAGCAACCAAATAGATAAAACAAAGCAGAAACAAAAAAACAAACATACACACACGTAAACATCAATCAACCAATCAATCAGTCGGTCAAACAATCAATCAATGAATCAATCAATCAATCAATCAATCAATGAATCAATCAATCAATCAATCAATCAGTCAAGCAAGCAAGCAAGAAAACACGCAATCAATCACTCAACCAGTTAAACAATCAATCAACACAATCAAACCGATCAAACCTGCAAGTCAGATCAATCAAGCACTGAAACAATCAATGAACCAACCAACCAACCTGCCACCCAACCAACCAGCCAGCCAGCCAGCCAGCCAACCAAACCAAACAACCGATCAACCGATCAACCAATCAACCAATCAACCAATCAACCAATCAAATAATCAATCACTCAATCGCTCAATCAGTCAGTCAATCAACTAATCAATCAATCAAAATAATCAATCAATCAAATCAATCAAAATAATCAATCAATCAATCAATCAATCAATCAATCAATCAATCAATCAATCAATCAAGCAATCAATCAATCAATCAATCAATCAATCAATCAATCAATCAATCAATCAATCAAATAAATAATTCAAAGAAACGACACACAATCCAAGCATCCAATCAACCCACAAACAAGCAGACAGTGACAAATAGACATACAAACAAACAAGCCAAAAACACAAACACACACACACACACATATAGTCAAGCAATCAAACAATCAAAAACCACGCACACAAACATGACGGAAAGCAAAAAACAACACCAAGACAAAACAAAGCACAGAACTACCAACATTAAAGCAGCCAACAAAGCAACACACAGGCAAGCACACAACTAAACCAACCACGAAACAGCCAAACACACAGTCAATCAATAAAACTATACAAAAGCATTCGCAGAAAAGTGCGCAAACAAAGCAAACACGCAAAGCAGAAACAATCCAAGCAAGCAAGCAGGCAAGCAAGCAAGCAAGCGAGCGAGCGAACATAACAAGAGACATCAATAAAAAAGGAAAAGGAAAGAAATAAAACACACATACAGAAAGAAAAACACAAACAAAGAAACAAACACGCAAGCAAATACACACACAAACAATCAAACAATCAAACACACACACACACTAACGAACAATCAATCAATCAATCAATCAATCAATCAATCAATCAATCAATCAAGCAAGCAAGCAATCAATCAATCAAACAAACAAACACACAAGCAAGCAAACAAACAAAACCAAGCAAAAATAAACAAAACAACAAGCAAGCGAGCAAGCGAGCAAACAAGCAAACAACCAATCAAGCAAGCACGCAAAGCAAAGTCAAACAAACAAACACGTACACAAACCAGCAAACAAACACCTGAAAACTGTAGGAAACACACACTCAGCGCCTTGGCGCAATCAGATAGGTCGTCAACACTTCGGGGCGACATGGCGGAGACCCAAACATTTGGCATTTTATTTATGTATTTATTTTTCCTGAAGTTCTTCGCCTGGAAACAACATCAGCATCCGTATCTGGGGTGGGTTCCTTAAAGGGAATCGGGACACAAGAAAGAAACCTGGGTGAGTTCGCAAAGCCCGCATGTCTTCATGTCTTGGGCTGGGATCGGCATGACTTGCCCCAGATTGACACTCTTGGCTATCTAAATTGTTGTTTGTTTGTTTGTTTGCTTGCTTGTTTGTTTGTTTGTTTGCTTGCTTGCTTGCTTGCTTGCTTGCTTGCTTGCTTGAATGTTTGCTTGCTTGCTTGCTTGTTTGTTTGTTTGCTTGTTTGTTTGTTTGTTTGTCTGTGTGTTTGATTGTGTTTGTTTGTTTTTGCTTGTTTTCTTTATTGTTTGCTTGTTGCTTGTTTTTGTTGCTTGTTTGGCTGTTTGTTTGTTTGTTGTTTTTCTTAAAAAAAAATGTTCAGCCCTCATTTGTTTAGCCTTTGGGAATCACGAAATGAGTCACAATCAAACCCGGTATTAAAATGGTCTGCCCAGAGCCATGCTTCAAGAATTAAGAAGGCGGATATCCGCACCTATTTCTGGCTGGGACTGGCCCTTACTAACCGAACCATCTCCCCGGGTTTTGAGCACGTGGCTCAGCTGGTTCTACAGCTTGATACCACAATACTTCAACATCCATGACCACCAGACCAGGTAGTACAAGCAAGCTGAGGTGGCTCAAATGGTTTTGGCAAGCTGAGTCGCCGGCTCATGGCCTTGCCCGCAAAGGCGGGGGCATTTTGCGGCATGTGCTTCGGTGCCGCAGGCTTCGCCTGGCAGCCGGTGTCAAGATTCGTTGAAGTCCTCTTGCATGGGGGATTTATGTCCACGGAGGGTACTCCACCCATTGGATTTCAATCCGGTGACTTTAGAACGACCGAGTCGAGCCTCCCTCGCCGGTGGAAAACAGAATTAGGTTCTGGAGTAGAGAGCTTAGAATAAGGGTACCCAATTTTATCTGTTGTCTATTTTAGTAGGGGAACTCCTCCCCCAAAAAAGGGGAGAGAAGGGCACTGCTGGGGGAACTAGCTTGGGTATGTTATTCTTGTGAGTCAAACGCTTCTGCATGGCAACCAAAGGGTGATGATGGAACCCACATCTCTGAAGTTGGTGGCTTGTTCACTGGGCTGTCCGTTCGCAGTTCCCCTGCGAACAGTGCACTGACTTCTTAGTGGCTTAAATGAAAACCCTCACCAAACCAACTAAGAACCTAAGGGGATGGCTGGGAACCACCAAGTTTAAATAAGGCTCCGTTTCCAATGGTGGTTTTCCATTTTCCAATTCGACCTGACAAAGAGTACACACACACACACACTCGCTTGGTTTCCCTCTGCAACCACAAGGGAAGGTCCCCATCCTGGGAGAACCAAGGGGGAGGTCCCCATTTCTAGAATAGAACAGGGACAGGCTAGAATCATGTCCCCAACTTACATGGGAATATAATTTTGGTGAGTTACTCCCTGTGTCGTGGTGGTAATTTGGTGACATGAAACAATAATACAAAAAATACAAACAAATACACCCCGTTGCAGAAGATGACCAGGATAATATTTACCCTTGTGCATGTGAGCTTGCCTTCAAATTTTATTCCGTTTTGCGTGGGAGGGGGATAGAGGCAAGCTGGAAACTGTTGATTAAAAGAGGCAGCTCGGTTCGTGGGATCAAAAGGCATCCTTTGAAGGGTACTTGTTTTGGCTCACGCCAGCGGCACGGGCCGAAAAGCTCATTCTCTTGACTGCGGGGGTTGGGGTGGGCTGGGAGCTGGGGTGGGGGGGTAGCGTTCCTTTCAGCTCTGCGGTTTGTTGGGGGCAACCGTTTCAATGCTTCAGACTCAACGCGGTCAATTTGCACGAATACCGCAAATGGCGGGCTCCTGCCAAGAAATGCAGTGCCTATTTCTTCTGAGATAGCGGGGAAAGACCCTAAGAGTAAGCTCCTCAATGGAAAACTTGTGGACGTGGATCTAATCTTGGCAGTGGCGACAAAACTGCGATGGGCTGCAATGCCATCTTGTTTCACAGCTGAGGACGCAAATTATAGAACAAAAAGGCGTCGGTGCCTTGCAAAACGGCCCGCGCAGCTAATGGCGGCGTGACCTTGTTGTTGCCTTGCTTCAAAGGACACCCCAAATGACCCTACTCATTTTGTTTGTTCTTTTTGTTCAGGTCGTTTCAAAGGGAACGTATAACATAAAATACGTCCATTTTCAGACACACGCGCTTGGCGTTCTCGCAACATCACGCCGCAAGCCTGTCGCTTGAACTCGCACACCGCGTTGAAGGTCCTTTGCACCCGGTTCACTTGTGAGGTCCTACTTACTCCGAGCGGGCACACCCCCAAATCAGTCACATTTGGGGTATATAGTGGAACTTCTGCCTCTATGTGATACCCAAGTGGGATTCCCATCCACGACCATGGTTCACTCGACACTTCCAGAAACCAAGGTACTAGTCTCGACCCCCCACTGCTGCGAAATACATTGCAGCGTAACGTCTGGCGCAAATAAGCTGCCAGATGTGCAAACCATCTGTGTCATGTTTGAGTGCACTCTGTTTTCTAGGGCCAAAATACTTAGCTGGGGGTTGGTGGATACTGCAAACCAAACTAAGCCATATCAGCCCTTCGTATGCCAAACTAGGGGGTATCCCACAAGCCCTTCATATTCTACCATATCTAGGAGATTTCCCTCCCGCTCTTTTGGCCCGACGCCCAACAAAACTCGAGGCGTAATGCTGCGGCGCCGACTTGAGCTCTGCGGCAATCCGCTCGCTCGATGTCCCTGAGCTGTTCACCTGGCGCGGGGAATGCTTCTGGGCCTAGCCCTGGTGAAAGGCAGGGATTGAAGAACCACATGGCTTAAACCGGTCAAGACTCTAAACATCTATTCTAGGAGTTTATTCCCTATTATTTTCAACCATCGTTATTTTCAATAACCAGCTGTTTCCCCAGGGTTTTTGGTGGTTTTCTGGAAAGAAGGATCCCTGGAAAGAATGGGGAAGCTACCCCTAGAACTCTTCCCACTTTGCCAGGACCCAGAAATACAAGGTGGACCTGCTGGGACCTTGACGAAAAATGGACCCAAAGAGGAAACTGAAAATTAGTCCGCCTTGGACGACTAAAGTATTGTTTTCACAACGGCAACAGCGACCTCGCGTTGGATTGGCCAGTGGGTACTACCCGATGTGTCCCGCTGGAAATCTCGAGAAGTCCCATTGGTAGCGTGTTCGTTTTCAACCAAGTCACCTAAGGATGCCCACGACCCTGCTCCCGCCCAAAATCCCATGATCGATCGGCCCACTTGTTAGCGGGGGCAAGATTCATCTGGTGGCTTTAACACGGCCAGGACCAAGCTCTTGACACCTGACTAGGATCAAACACTTTGGTGAGAAGTGAGGAACAAACCTTGAAACCTCCAGCCAAATGTCGACTCTTGCCTCATCGCTATTGCCAAATGTCACCGCAGGGTCCTGACTTATTTGATCCTTGTGAGGCAATGAGTTCGGTCCACCTGGCCCTGTTTGGGCAACCTGAATGTTGGGGTAAACTATCAAACAAAACATATTTAGCAATCAACACAACTTGTTGATCAAACTAATAACCATTTTTGAGCAATCAAAACACCTGTAAATAAGAAATAATGAACAACTTTTCAGCACTCAAACACCCAACTACCATGTCAGAAGCACCCGTCGCGTCGTGCGGAGACCATTGGCCACCATGCCCCTTGGCGCCTGCATCAGCTCATCGCCCTGTAGCGGCGCGCTCTGGGGATTCTTCCGGTTCCACTTCTCCAGCGGGCTACCAGGTGGAGCCTCCAGGCTTTCGGTGCCATAACCACGGAGCAAGGCCACCAAAACCAAGGCGTTCGGTGCGAGAGATGCAAGAAATCAGAACTGGAATGAGCCCAAGACAAACCATCCGACTGGTGGTGTCCTGTATCCGGGGACCAAAGCCTGGGTTCATTCCCATCGCACCAGAAAGACGAAGAACTGGTAAGGAAAATGGAAGCCATTCGCTTGCACGTGGGACCCCACAAAAACCAGGATGCATACAGGGAAGACGGACATGCCAAACCACCTGCGCCAAAGGTTCTGACAAAGGAGCGGATGTCCAGATAATGGCGGTATGCCTGTTGGCTCTCCTTTCAATGAAGGTGAGCAAGGTACCTTCAAACAAATACATGTATATATATATATATATATGTACATATACAATGTATATATATATATATGTATGTATATATGAGCCTTTTATCTTCAAGACTAACCAAGGCATGCTCGGGTGTCAGAGAAGCACCGCCCACAAAGGGCGTGCTCATAAGGAGAAACACTCCCGCTGGGAACAAGTGGCACCTCAACTCCTCAGGGGCCATGGTCATCGCGCCGTCAATAAGAGTCCTTGCCATAGGTGTCCTTTTGGGAAAATTAGGTGGCCCTGGTAAATGGAATTAAACCAATAGTCAAGCTAACCTAAAAAGGACACCTATGGTCCTTATACCATTACAGTGATTGTCTAAACTCATCATTTAGGGGTCCATGACCATGACCGGCAAACCCAAGAGAAAGTGCTTTTCTACCACACCACATATCTCGTCCAAATAGGCGAGAGTAAGATGAGTCCAAGAACGGGCTTTGGACAGCACGCTCCAAACTTGGGTTTGTTTCAGGTCTCATGATCTGTTTGCGCCAAATGCGACGTGGACCAAAGGCCTGTCGGTATCATTGTCACAGTCGCCCTCCAGAAGTGTCAAAAGAAAACCGGCAAACTGACCAAGTACCTCAGGCCCAGCCCCGTCTGAGTTTCACACAGAATTGCCAAGTCTTTCTAGAGGCTTAGAAAACGCGTCTGATAAAATCATACCTCCTCTCCCCTCTCTTGTGGTTTCCTTCAGGGGGAACAACTAAACCGTTAAGGGCTGTCGAGACGCCCTGGCAACACAAACGCTTGCCTGCTCTTACGTAGAACAAAGTATTCAAGCTGGGCCTTCCGCGCAATTCGTGCAAAATCCCAAACCCTCTGAACCTAAAACCCTGCGTTTGGTTGGATAGTCGAGAAAAACCGGCCCCCCTGTCAGTATGCCCAGCTCTCAGAGAGCCTCCGACTCCCGCAAGATCCGCCGGCCGCTGCGTCCAATCTCCTGGCTCAGATCCCCTAAAAGCTTAACTTATAGTGGGTATGGAAATCACCACAAAACACTAAAAAGCCAAAATTTGCTAAGGAACCGGATGGCCTTCCAGAAAGCCACCAAGTTGAGAAGGACCACCCCACGAACTCTGTGCGGCTGCGCGCGTGGGCGCCGGTGCGCTTTTTTTTGCAGTGTACGAGACCCCGAGATCTTGTGACCTATTTGGGTGTGGCTCAAAATTAAACAGGAGGGGCTACGCAGGTTTTGGTCTCTCTTTCCACTTACCACGGTTCCATTTTGGAATTCCGGTTTTTTCGAGCCACAGCCACTTCTAGGAGTGCAAAAGAAATGCGGCAGCTTGACCATCCTGCTACTATTGGCCCAGGCTTGGGGAAGTTGTAAGAACCGGACCCTAGCCCTTCAAAGACGAACCACAGGGAAGCTGGAGTCTCCTTGACCCTAGCATGGGGTCTCCATCACCCCCCATTCCTTACTCTTTAGGGGTCAGGGAGACTCCTGGAAGTTTACAGAATCTTGGTTTCCACTGTTGCTTGGTTCAGACTGGTTTGCTCCTGGAAGTTTACAGAATTTTAATTTTGCGGTACCCTTCAGGCTTCCTGGTTTCGGACATTTCTCGCGGTGGGTTCAGACCGGTTTGCTCTGAGTTTCCGCTTCCGGGCGCGGCGCAACTCGGGCCTGAGTCTCCCAAAGGAAGCCCCACTTCTCCTGCTCGTAGCCTCGGGACCTCGAAGACGCCCGATGCGAGCCACGACGCCAGACACGCTTCCTAAGGACCACAACCGGTGGTTTAGGAATCCACACATGTTTGAGGGAAACCTACGAATGGTTAAGGGAAAGGACACAGCGCATTTTGCAGTTCAGGGGGATTCATGTTTTGAGAGAAACCGACCATCCGTGAAGTGATCAATCCCCAGGAAACCTTGGGTGAGCTCTCATAAAAGCCCCAAGTTCGGTTTGTCCAGCAATATTCAAACCCAATGTGGCCACCATCTCTCCGGCTTTCACTGCTTTGAGGCTCTGACAAGTGCACCAAGAAGTGTCCTCCAAGGACAAGTCGCCGTAAATCGGTGTGACTTTTTGTGAGGCTGCCTTTGTTTGGGTGGTTTACGTGGGGAAACCAAAGGGAACACCAGTAACGGTTTCCCTATTTTTACGCAAATGAAGACGCCAGCTGGTTATGCATCCAAACAGATATAATCTCCAAACAGAAAGGGAGCGCTCCAGAAAGTGAGCTGGTTCTACTCCCAGGTAAGCTCGATATAATTTGCCCGGAGTACTCTCAACAAATTGAACACGGTCGAAAGGGAAAAAAGGAATCTCAAGACCCCCTTATCTTTCCGAAGGGGGGGAGGTGGCAAAAGATAAACTCTGCACCCGGGTTTGGCTCAAACTGGCGCCAAACAGCCGGTTGAGCCCATTGGCAAACCACTCCTCAACAAAACAGAAACAACTGTCTTAGCAGCGTGACAGAATGGACGTGAAACGCGAACATCTGTCCTTCCGCTAGTGGCCTCGTCGCCGCCTTCGCGAGGTCCAAAGCGCCCTGGTCCCAAACAAGTCCCTGAAAAGGTGGAATGTACATGGACTGTCAGTGTGCGTCGCCCACCAACAAGTCACATATATGTATATATATCTATATTCACATAGATCTAATATGACTAATAAAGTCATTGTGCATATGTACGTACAGAGATATGTATACAATCACACAGTACAGTATGTGTGTGTGTCCATGTGTACCCGTTCTGTGTCTGTGTCAGGCAAAGTACGGGGACCCTGAAAGTGGTGTTGTTTCTTTTTATTTTCTTTTAAGCCACCCTTTACAAGCGCGCCCGTTGTATCACGGAAGTGGGTAAAGCATTCATTGCAAAAGTCTGTGGTCAGTGGTTCCCGCCCATGTGTCGCACAAACGGAAATCGATGCTTCAGTATCGGAAACTTGTGTTGCGCAATGAGGCATTGCCATTTTCAGGCATGCAAAACGCTCGTGCAGGATGGCGCCGATGGCCCAACTACAGACTGGATCCCACGAGAAAGGAGATGACGCCCTTGATTTGGACAACCAGTTATGTTGTATTGTATTATACAGTATTTGAGTTGATAGTTGTCTGATGGGCAATAAGTAACACATATTAGATATCATATACCAAGCAATGACTTAATTACTAGTGGTTCTTTGCTCCACGTCCCACCCAACCTGTCGTGTAACTTGGTGAAACGATCTCATGAAAGTCCCTTCGCTAGGTTGCCGAAGGCAAACATCTACATGCCCTTCCCAAACATGAACCAGTCATGCCCCCTGGAAGACCAGGTCTCCTTTTTGACCGGTTTGAGCCGCCCATTGACAAAATGGATGCCATCGTCGTAGCTTGAGGTTTTGACTTCTGAGCTGAGTGGCCGTGGAAAAGGACATCGACCACGTTGACTTAGGGAACCCAGTCCCCCGAAACAAGCACGTTGGCCTCAGATGAGGAAAGCAATGTCGACCCCGGATGAATCAATCATGGAGTAGAGGATGCTCCCCTGTGAAGGATTCCGGACACGCAGAAGTTTCTTCATCCCGGGCTCCCCTTCTTCAATTAAAGCCTAGTGTCGAGCTCAAATGGCCCGAACTGGCCTTCCGCAAGAAACAATCTCCCAAGAGCATGGACTGCAGTTGACCAAGCCTCAGATGTAGCTTTGCTGTTTGAGGTGGGCGGTTGGCGGTTCACTGAAAGCGCCTCCTCCTTCCAGTCGTCCTGCTTCTTCCAGTCGTCCTTCTCTTTCCAGTCGTCCTTCTCTTTCCTGTCGTCCTTCTCTTTCCAGCCATGCCAGTCGCCTGCAAGACAGCTCCCGTTTGCAGATGTCTCCCGTACACGCCACATGAAGCGTAAGGCTAAGCTTCACGACATCTCGGCTGTAGAAGGTTCCGGGGGCGAACTTGGGCAACAGCTCTGGGCAAACGAACTCCAAAGAACGTCTGACTGCAAACTCCATGCAACAACCCAGCTGAACGATACAAGGTGCCTTTCTTCGGCAAAACTCGGTGAGGCCACCCAAAAGCATCCTTGCCTTTGTCCCAGCTCTTCCATGACTTTTGTTGCCTGCCAGCGGATTCCTCAACGTGCAGTCTTCCGCAAGGCGAAGCCTCCTGAAGTCAATGACAACACTCAACTCATTAGACTATTAGAGTAATTTGAGAAAATTACCATATATTTGGAACAAGGCAGCCACTCCCTAGGAAAGCTTCATCATGGCAAGCGCGTTGAACCCTCACTTGTGGTGAGCTCCTTAAAAATAACTTGCCCAGAACAAAAAAGGAGAGAGAGAGAGAGAAAGACAAAGACAGAGAGAGAGAGAGAGAAAGAGAGCGAGAGAGCGAGCGAGCGAGAGCGAAAAAGAGAAAGAGAGAGAGAGAGAGAGAGAGAGAGAGAGAGAGAGAGAGAGAGAGGGGGGGAGCGACCTGCAGCACGCTGTGACCTAGCCCTTGCTTCCCTCCCAGAATCTCAGGGTGACAAAAGCCACCGTCTGCTTGGAGTTCCAGCAAGGTGTCTAATGCAACCAAGCACCCAAGAGTAAGAGAAAGCAGGGCCAACGCACCAAGGCCGGGGGCCCGCGCGTGCGTTTTCGCACGCGCCGCCAAAGGGAAGGGGCAAGAAGAAAGTAGCACGCGAGAAGACAAAAAACAAAGAGGAAGAAGACAACCACCGCGAAATTCAAGTCACGGGTTGGTCCGCCCGCCCACAAGAGCAAGGAGGGGGAGGGCGGCCAAATCCCTCCCCCGGCTCCCCTAAGCCTGCCGGCAGTAGCCTGCCCGTGACCCGGCTCAGGGCCGGAAAATCTCAAACCGTCTGCTTGCACAGAATGACCCCTGCCACACAAACTTGGTTTCAAGCACACAGGAAAACCGCGCCAGCCGCCCTAAGGACAAAATAAGCTTATGGTTGCTTGATATTGACACGTTGTCACTCGAAAGGCAGCAACATGCAATCAACTGGAAAGATCAGGCAGCTGTCAATTCAAACTTATTGCAGTCCGCAACACTGTGGCAAATACATTCTGGCTGCAGCTGATCTTTGTGGTACGCGAAGCAAGCGCTATGTCGGCTTGCTGCCGAGGCACTGAGTATTCCACTCATCCCAATCCTCGTATAGCGCGGAGCGATTCAATGTTTACCCGTGGGACCTTCCTGGATGACAGAACTCACATTGCAAAAAGTGCAAGGGACATGTGTGATCAATGACCCTCTTGCGGGGGTGATCATACATGCATCTTGCAAGGCCCGTGTTTAAATCGAGCAATCTGGAAAACCACGGTTGGTCCAAAGTTAGTCCTTTGGAAGGAGATGCGTAGAAAACCAAAAGGAGAACATCATCAGTGTTGCTCAATTGTGAGTGTGTGTGTGTGTGTCTCTGTGTGTGTGTCTCTGCGCGTGTGTGTGCGTGGGTGGTGTGTGTTTCTCTCTGTGTGTGTGTGTGCCTGTGTGTGTGTGTGTGTCGGGAGTGTGTGTGTGTGTTGCGTGTGTTGTGCGTTGTGTGTTGTGCAGTGTGTGGTGTGTGTTGTGTGTTGCGTGTTGCGTCTTGTGTTGCGTAGTCAGCTGCGTTATGCGTTGCGTTGTGTGTGCCCGTGTGTCTTTGTGTGTGTGTGTGTGTTTGTGGGTGTGTCTGTGTTCATGTGGGTGTGTGTTGCTCCGTGTGTGTGCCTGTGTGTGTGTTTGTGGTCTGTGTGTGTGTTTCTGTGTGTGCGTGGTGTGTGTGTCTGCCTGTGTGAGTGGTGTGTGTGTGCGCGTGTGTGTGTGGTGTGTGTTGTTCTTTGTGTGCTGTGTGCTGTGTTGTGCGTTTTGCGTCTTGAGTTGCGTTGTCAGTTGTGTTCTCAGTTGTGTCGTCAGCTGTGTTGTTTTGCGTTGTGTGTGTGTGCGCGGTTTGCGCGCGCGTGTGTGTGTGTGTGTGCGTGGGTGGTGTGTGTTTCTCTGTGTGTGTGTGCGCCTGTGTGTGTCTCTGCGCGTGTATGTGCGTGGGTGGTGTGTGTTTCTCTCTGTGTGTGTGTGCCTGTGTGTGTGTGTGTGTCGGGAGTGTGTGTGTGTGTTGCGTGTGTTGTGCATTGTGTGTTGTGCAGTGTGTGGTGTGTGTTGTGTGTTGCGTGTTGCGTCTTGTGTTGCGTAGTCAGCTGCGTTATGCGTTGCGTTGTGTGTGCCCGTGTGTCTTTGTGTGTGTGTGTTTGTGGGTGTGTCTGTGTTCATGTGGGTGTGTGTTGCTCCGTGTGTGTGCCTGTGTGTGTGTTTGTGGTCTGTGTGTGTGTGTGTTTCGGTGTGTGCGTGGTCTGTGTCTGCCTGTGTGAGTGGTGTGTGTGTGTGTGCGCGTGTGTGTGTTGTGTGTGTTGTTCTTTGTGTGTTGTGTGCTGTGTTGTGCGTTTTGCGTCTTGAGTTGCGTTGTCAGTTGTGTTCTCAGTTGTGTCGTCAGCTGTGTTGTTTTGCGTTGTGTGTGTGTGCGCGGTTTGCGCGCGTGTGTGTGTGTGTGTGTGTGTGTGCGTGGGTGGTGTGTGTTTCTCTCTCTGTGTGTGTGCCTGTGTGTGTCTCTGCGCGTGTGTGTGCGTGGGTGGTGTGTGTTTCTCTCTGTGTGTGTGTGTGTGCCTGTGTGTGTGTGTGTGTCGGGAGTGTGTGTGTGTGTGTGTGTTGCGTGTGTTGTGCATTGTGTGTTGTGCAGTGTGTGGTGTGTGTTGTGTGTTGCGTGTTGCGTCTTGTGTTGCGTAGTCAGCTGCGTTATGCGTTGCGTTGTGTGTGCCCGTGTGTCTTTGTGTGTGTGTGTTTGTGGGTGTGTCTGTGTTCATGTGGGTGTGTGTTGCTCCGTGTGTGTGCCTGTGTGTGTGTTTGTGGTCTGTGTGTGTGTGTGTGTTTCTGTGTGTGCGTGGTGTGTGTCTGCCTGTGTGAGTGGTGTGTGTGTGTGCGCGTGTGTGTGTGGTGTGTGTTGTTCTTTGTGTGTTGTGTGCTGTGTTGTGCGTTTTGCGTCTTGAGTTGCGTTGTCAGTTGTGTTCTCAGTTGTGTCGTCAGCTGTGTTGTTTTGCGTTGTGTGTGTGCGCGGTTTGCGCGCGTGTGTGTGTGTGTGTGTGTGTGTGTGTGTGTGTGTGTGTTTGTTTGGTTGTTTGTTTGTTTGTTTGTTTGTTTGTTTGTTTGTTTGTTTGTTTGTGTGTTTGTGTGTTTGTGTGTTTGTGTGTTTGTGTGTTTGTGTGTTTGTGTGTGTCTGTGTCTGTGTCTGTGTCTGTCTGTGTCTGTGTCTGTGTCTGTGTCTGTGTCTGTGTCTGTGTGGGTGTGTGTCTGTGTCTATGAGTTGCAGTTGTTTTCCCGGATCCATTCCTGCAGGGGGTGCCAGGGATGCCCACAGTGTCCTCAGTATCCCTAGTTCTGCGCACCAGCAATAGATATGGTGTTCGATGATACACCTGACAAACACTGCTTTGTGATGTTTTTGGCAAGCGGATTTTTTTTCAGCGCGTGACATCGCATTACATCACAAGGCTTGACGAGCTCAAAATTTGACTCCCTGGTTTTGGCTTCACTGGAAGCAGTCTTGCCCCGTCGAAACCAAGGTTTTGCTTCCCGAGGCCTTTTTTGGAGTCTGGACATTCGATACGGAGGCGCCCTTTGGAGGACAATACGCAAGCGACGCAAGGGGCATGGACATTAGATTAATCCTACTCCAAGCGGGAGCGCGTGCACAAAACAGATCATGTGCTCAGGGGGCAAGTAATTCACAGCGACCAGTCGAGGTCCTCGTTCTCCTGCGCTTTCCACTTCTTCCACCTAACAGGCACACACACACACACACGAGTCAACTCAAGGTCTGGACCCAAGAATCGCAAGTTCGGCCGCACCCATGCGGGCTGGTCAAAAATCCTTAGGGTCAGGGTCATGGTTGCATTGCTGGCACCTTGTACCTAGCCTGTCTAAAATCCCTACAAATGCCGAACAATGCAATCAATGGTACGGAAAAAGGACATCCATCCCCCTTGAGCATTCCATACATCCAAGCTCATAGCTTTTGTTTCAACGCTCATGCTCATGCCCATCGCTATTGTAGCAGCATAGCACGTGTTTAGACCCCATGCAAGCCCCTCAGAAGTTGGAACAGAAGGGAGCCCCCGAATAAACAAAAATACCACGGGACACTACCGCGGGTTCGGAAATGCAAGCGAACGGCGTGGTGAATTCTAGGACATGATGTTCTCCCCTGCCTACTTGCAATGTTCCTCCACTTTTCTTGGCTGAAGGCTCTGCCGCGTTTGGTGGCGTCCCTCAATTGGGATGGATGCATCGTTTGGAGGGACCAAAAGAAAGCCCCTTCGACTTCTAGCTCTCTGGATTATGACAATCCCGCTAGGTCTGTTAGGAACCCGCCCTGGGTACACAAAGCAAAACATATTTGATTGATTCGGTTTCACTTACCCAACCTAATGTGAGGGTTGACCAAGAGGTCCTTTACATGGGATGACCAAAGGGCACTGCTTAAAATTCATAGCCAGATGTTGTATTAGCGCCCCCTTCCTAGGGTACACTAAGCAACACATGGTTGATTGCTTCGGTTTCATTTACGCAACCTAATATGGCGGTTGTCCATTTTGGGGCCCCCAAATGACCATGGGTAACTTTTTCTAGGCGCCAATCACTTTTGAGGTGGTTCGCTCTTAAAGTTCGTGGCCATACTGTGGATGGACGAACTCCTGCCCCTGGAATGATGACTCCCCTACCGAACAAACAGTGGGTTCCCATGTTTTAAAAGTGGTGCGAAGTGGATTTTGTCCATCCACGGTATGGGGGGTTGTCAAAGTTTGGGGGGCCCCTTGTTGGGTATCCCCTTTGCATTGGCGGCACCTGCGGCACCAAGGGTCCAATAAGGGACCGGCCATATTGTTGACAACATATGGCAAAGGATCGCTTGAGGGCATTTGTTTGAGGAGACCCAAGGCTTGGCCATTTTCTCCCGCGTGGCCTCGGACCGCTTGCATCCTCCTCAGGCACCTGGCTGCCCGATGCGCCCAGCCGACGTTCATGACTGGACCTTCGAAGGAGAAAAACCGTTCCTTCCCTGGGGGATTGGGGTGTGGCTCAAAATTCAAGAGCTAACGCAGGTTTTAGTCTATGGTTCCAATTACCTTTTGGTGCCATTGTAGTACATGTGTTTGAGCCACAGCCATTGCACCCTACACAGTTTACCAAGTAAACCAAACAATAACCAGCTTTTAGCTGGACATAAGCTAGAATAGGGTGTAATAGGACAACTCTTGGAGACATCTTCATGTATAGATATAATATGAATTCACTGAATTCACATTGCCCTCCCCACCCCAGTGGCCTCAACAATGCACAAAGTCATTGATTTCTCCGACTCTCCTGAACCGGCAAGGTGCAATCCTCACAGGGATCTGCTTGCTGCATGACAAAAACAAACTTTAGAAAGATGTCTCGAACGCGAAGGTGATCTTTCTGGGTGAATTAGACATATTTCACCAACCTGAAATAAGGTGGTTGGGGGGCTATTCCCCACATAAACCACCATTTAGGGTGAGGTCGTGTGAGGTCGTTATAATTCACCCAGATCTTTTTTGGATGGCGAAAGATCGGTGGAAGGGTCACTGCCAGAAAACCGCAGCTTTTCTTGCGCACGAATGCCAAAAAACCATAGGCCTGAGTCCTGGTGACAGTGAAACAATTCTTACATCCAGCTGGAGGCGCTGGAAAGTGACACCTTCATGCAGCATGCCGCCATGAGTAGACAAGCTTGAAATGCGCCCAGGAGGGTCTCCACCAAGAAAGGCCGCTTCCACAAGAAGAAACACAGGGCGAGGACTCGTGGCAGTGCTGAAAAGTGTGGTGACTCACGGAGTCTTTGGATCCTGCGCATGTTGCGGGGGGTGACATCTCACGCCTCTCCCAAGCGGAAAAATCTGCCCAGCCTCCTCTGCTGTGCTCGCTGAGCTTTGAACGTCCCACTTGGACTTCCAAGCACCTCGGGCTCCGAAGAGAGGCGGGAGGCAACTTGTCCAGTTGGGTTTCCCAGGTACCCTTCCCACTTTGCCGTGGCACTTGTGGGTTGCTCGGTACCTGGAAGGTCAGTGTCCTTTTCAAAAAGGCCCTCTGCCAGGTGCCAAGTTAGTGGGAGGTCGGGTCGGGTGTGTCCATCAAAACCCGGTTTGAAGGGAAGCATGCGACAATCAAAAGGACTGCGCCCATTCATGGCTGGGATGGTCTTGTACAAATCTTCCTCTACCCAGGTTCTGATTGTGGCTGGGGTTAGGGAAAATCGGTATCACTCGGGCGCTGTAAGAAGTAACCACCCCCCACTTTATTTCAGACACAACTACGGCCGATTCACTTGCAAAGCTTACTCCGACTATTCGCAGACACATGATGGTGCGGATCTATGGAACAATGCCTGCACATCTTCCCATCAGCACAAGCCAAACAATCAGAACTTGATCCAACCGAGTTGCGTTGCAGTCAAAAAAGGATTCGAGCACAATGTGTATTTCAGCTAGCCCTTATTTGGTGGTTTGGATGGTGGTTTGGGGAGTTGCACTCCGGGTGCTTGCTGAGGGTATATGGGAAGCCACCCCATTTCACCACCAAACCACCGGGCTCCAAACCACCAATTTGGCGGAAGCTGAGTATTGGCGTTAAGTGAGGCAAAGCACTAGATGGAGTCAAGAGGCAAGACATAGCCATGGAAGCTTGACAGGAGCAAATTTCCAAAGCAGGCTCGCAGCATTCATATAGCGAAGGGTGACTCAAACACGTGAACACACACACACACACACACCTCAATGTTTTTAAAGGAAGCCCCTCCAAAGAAAGAAACACATCAAATATAAGATCCGGGACTGAGTCACAGCCCATTGCAAGCAGCAAAATCCCTGGAAGACTGCGCAATCGAACGGATCCGGTCTGTTCACTGAGCTTCACAACAGGAAAGACTCCTCTCAATGAAGGCTCATCATCTTCGTTTTTACAAAGGCCACGTCAACCACAGCTGCCTCCAGCTCTGCTGCTGTTATTAGGATGTAAATGCATCAACCTGACAGAAAGGGTTAAGATGCAAACTCCATCACGGCGCCCAAAACTGGGAGTGCCGGAAACAGCTTCAGCCCACATAGTGGTGACAGTTGGGGTATCCTGCCCTGGGCCCTGGAATAACACCTCTCATAGTGCAGTTTTTTGTGAAGGATGTTCCGATCACATGAGCCACGAAGGATGCCAAGAGAAGAATGAATTAGTTTGCATTTATTTACTTGTGGTGTCCTTTGATGGCAGCCAAAAAAATGGACATGCTCTCCTCAGCAACTGTTATTGGGTGTGTCTCCGGGAAAGGTCCACCCCAAACTACAGCAAATTAATAAATAAATAACATGCAGGAACGTCCTCTTGTTTATCTATTGAAACCCAACAAAACACAGTGTTGCACTCCACAAACCCGGTTTGGGAACTGCCAAGTGCCTGGGTGAGCTGACAACCCGGTTTTGGTGCGTATTTGGTGGTAATTTGGTATACCCTCGTTGCAAGAATCGTGGAGGGCACCTTCCATGGGCAAAAGCCTACCCCATGTGCAAGCCGCCAGGCAAGCAGTGAACCCTGATCCGGAACAGGGCTAGAACAGGCAGGTGTACCCTTTCACCCTCTCCTTCTGACAAACGGCGATGATTGACCATGGGACCTACCTGAGGTCCCGCGCCAGCTTGAGCTTTGGCTGGCGCAGTGGCAGCTTTCGCTGGCGCAGTGGCAGCTTTCGCTGGCGCCAGAGTGGCAGGAGCTTTCACCGCACCTTTGCCTTGCGGAGCGGAAGTCACGCCTCCCATCTGGGTGCGCCTCGTAACACCAGGGACACCCGAGACAAGTTGCGAATGGACCCGCACAATTGGAGGATGTCCAGCGGTTGCCGTTTCTAACAACTCAGAAACCATGCCTGCCGCTATCCCACACATTGCCGTGAAAAAATGGGCTCCTTGCTGTGACACATTTTCTCCCCATGACCCCATATATATATAAACATATACATATATATATATATATACACATATATATATACACATATATACATATCTATACATATATATATATATATACATATATATATAAATACATATATATATATATATATATAAATACATATATATATATACATATATATAAATACATATATATATATATATATATGTATATAAATACATATATATATATATATATCTAAATACATATATATATATATATGCAACCCCCCCCATGGACCCTGGTTTTACTGCCTTTTGGGGATGGCAAATCTAGAATTTCCAAATTTATATTCTCGAAACTTCCAATTGTGGGTCCCCAAAGCGTGATAATTTGGAGCCCCGAGTCCCAGTATGATACTCTTTGCACATAAGATGTTACTTCAACTAGAATTGGAATGTTGAATATAGTTTAGTATGGATATAGTTTTCAAAAACGTCTTTATGTTCAATTACAGCTTAAACAAGCAAATCCTTTCCAAATAGCAGCTACATGAAAGTGTAAATATATATATTTTCGGCTAAACTCCAACTAATCTATAACACAAGAAGTTAGATGGAAGTTGTTTCCCAAATATAATCCAAGTGGTAAGTATAATCTAAGACGAACACAACTCAATTTGCTTTTGATAATATCAAGTGAATAGAGACTACATCTCAAATATAATTCATATTAAATATGGCAAAACATTTGGAAATTAAAAATAGGATTTGTGTTGTTTACATTCTGTCCCTTTTGTAGCATAAGAAAGGTCCGACATTGAACTTGTTAGACGGTGTTCCAAAGGGAAATTTCAAGGGAAGAGAGGTTCAAAATCTAAAACTATCTCGAAACAGGGATTCTAGCTAAACCGTTGTATTTAAAGTTCTATTTGCGCAGGAAAGTTAATTCTATGTCAAAAGGTGGAGGTTGTAGATGAGCAAATGTGGACAGGTAGTTGAAGAGGGTGGGGGACGGTGTGTGAACGTACATACATATGTATATCTATATATACACATACATACACACATATATAGTACCCCCAATGATCCTGCGCCTCCTCATAAAAATACTGGAAAATGCAGTATTTTTGAGCGTTGCACCTGCCTTTGTGTACCTCCTGGAAAGGGGTCAACATGAGCATAGCTGACATGAAGCTCACCAAAAGCACTTGAAAGTTTGTCTAACCAATAACTTGAAAGTGTGTCCACTGGATCGCTAAGCACTTGAAAATTTGCTACTATCGGATGGAAGATTCAATGTTGAAGATTACACAGAACACGTTCCTGAGAATTGTCAATCCTGGCCAAACCCAAATAGCATTCAAGTTCTTCTAACACTTGAAAGTGCTGTACCACTGGATTGGGGATCAATATTGAGGAGCCCACAAACCACCACTTTCCTGAGAATCATCCATCCTGGTCAACCCCTAAAATGTTCAAGTTGTTCTATCACCTCGAACATCCGTTACCACTGGATTGAACTATTTCACGGAAAACTTTTCCGAGAATCTTATTGAACACCGAGAGTATTGGGACAACCCTGGAATTTTTAAAACTTTTTAAAAATTATGGGATTCAAGATTCAAGATTCCCAGAAAATTGTTTCTCAGATTCTTGAATCTTGAATCTTGAATCCAGAATTTTTAATAATTTTTAAAAATTATGGGATTCAAGATTCAAGATTCAAGATTCCCAGAAAATATTTTCTCACATTCCTGAATCTTGAATCTTGAATCCCAGAATGTTTAATAATTTTTAAAAATGTCTGAGTTGTTCTTGTATTCTTGGATGCATTCAAACTCTTTCAGATTGCAGGTGCTGATGTCATTGCTTTTATCCCATCAGTATGCATGCATGCGTATCATATACATGTACGACCCTCCCCCCAATTTTGACACAAATCCAAGAAGCAAAAAGAAGCATAAAACACTGGAAAATGCAGGTCAACCGCACCAAACCAGGGTCCATGGGGGGGGTACCATATATATATATATATATATATATATATATCCAGCAAATGTCCAACATGCATGACCTGCAATCATCTGTCACCCACCTAACCACTGAACATGCGTTCATGCAGCAAACCCGACCGTCCTTTGGGATCCCGCAGGCCCGGATCGGACACGAGTGACCCTTGACGCTGCAAACGGCGTGATCTTCTCATTGCCTCATCCTAACAGTTGCTCCAAAAGCTGGGCTTGTCTCCAACAGGGTACACTATACACCTGAACATTGCAACTTGTAAATGGTGGTGTCCCCTTATTTTTGGTGTTGAAAAAGCCATGTTTCAAATGGTTGCAACATGTATCTTTTAAGGAGCCCTGTCCAAACAGTGGCTTGCTTCTGCTACACAAGCGGGACCCGTCTGTAGCGAAGCTTGCAGCTGTTGTTTCTGGTGCCAAGTCAACCTGCCCAACGGCAAAACCATCAAATGGCTGTGGGTCAAACATAGGGTAACCCCAAAATGGGGGCCCCTGGTAAATGGAAACATGGACTAAAATCTGCGGTCCTCTGGTGATTTAATATTGACCCACACCCAAATTTGCGATTTCCCACCCTCAAGAAAGAGACACTCCCGAAAGCAAACTTCAAGCTCTAGTCCGAAGCAGAAAGCTCGGCATCCCGAATGAACAGCTGAGAGTTGATCCCAAGGTCCTTTACCTGGGATGACCATTGGGAAGACAAACACAAAAACAAAAAGTGAACAAGTTGCCCATGGTCATTTGGGGGCCCTAAATGGTGTATTGATCAACCCCTCCCGGCCACGGAAAAAACATGAACCTCGCAGCGCCATTTCCGTCCCCAATCACGGCTTGGCCGTCGCCTTCCTGCTGTCCGTGAGGAAAGCCTGAGCTCCAATTGCAATGCGAACTGAAGGGAGCTGCAAGACAGCCGAACTGCCCCGAAGCCAAAAAGCGCGGTGTTCACCAAAGGAGTTGTGAAAACATGTTGCTTTTTCTTCGGGGGACTCGATCAAAAGGAGGGAATCAAATGACACCAGGTTCTCAAAGGGGAAGCTATATTGACCACAAACACAAAAAAATGCTACAAGGATTCCTGCCGTCTGGACTGTTCGAACCTCACCTCACCACAGTGTCTGAATACAGCCTGTGTTTGCTGGCGGAAACGATGAGAACACCCACAGGTCAAGCAACATGCTGTCGCCTGTAGCAAAGCCAATGAAAGCCCACGTGGCCCCCAACTAGAAAGAAGTATGTCTTCCAAAATATACATAAACCGGTTCAACAGTTTTGACGCCTTCCCATCTAGAACAAACCAGGAGTGTCCAGGCCTTGTTGTAACCAGCTGCTAAAGTGGCTGGCTCACTGCCGTGCAACACCTTGGTTCCTTAGAATATTGCACTCTGCATATATCTCTGCATGAGGCAGGATCCGACAGCAGTTCAAATGATAACAGTCCCCAATCCGAAGCGTTGGATTGAAATCTGTAGGCAATCCTCGGATGCCCTATGCTCATATCTGCCCGAAGCCGCAATTTGTGCAATGTGTGTTCGCTGTTAACGAGGTTGGCAGCCAAGGCAAGCTGAAGTTTGGGCGGCTTGCCGTAGTTTGCGAATCACCTGGCCGCATTGACAAGGTTTCAAGAACCACTTCCCAGCAACACCTCCAAACTAGGCTTCGACATTTCAAGCCAGGTGAGTCATATTGAAAAGGCGGCCGCACCCATTTATGGCTGGGATTGTCCCTTACTACCCTCCAAATACCAGGGTGTTGATTGTGACTCAGGTTGTCTTGCGAATCTCAGGGGTCGCTTTGCAAGACCAAAGAGGACCCACCTAACCCGAGTCCCGAGTCTCGAGCTGCCGCCTTTCGCGCTCTTGCCGAACATGGGGCCTGACAAAAACCGATTCGCGCCGTGGGCACCTGGTGCCCGGGACTTTCACTCTGTTCCTTGGAAAGGGTTCGGGGGTCGGGTTTTGTTTCGGGGGGAGGGGGTGATAAGCACAAGATTAGATTGGGCTTACTGAGGCCAGAAGGCATGCGCCTATCCCCTTTGAATCATAGGCATAAAAGGGAGAAAAACAGCAACCCCGGGCACGCCGGATATTTTGCATCATAGTCGACCGCTAGTCGACCGTTTCCAGCAAACAAGTAAGTTGCTCTGTTTGATAGAATAAACACCACTAAACCCACCACAGGCCATGACTCGCTTTGGGGAGGCACACAAAACTCCGACTTAACCAGTGGCAAAGAAACCTTTCAGCAGGATAGAAGGGATCCGGAAGGATGCTACAGTCATCAGGTCACCTCTGCGCCCCCCGTAGGAGTACTCAAGCAAACATCCCAAGGAACAATGTAACAAGGAGGAGACAATGCAGGGTTTCCGCTAAACCCTAAAAGCTGAAAAACCGGCTGGGAACCACCAGGACCCGTTGGTATTAGGGAAACTACGCTACACCGTTTGTCAACCTTAAGGTGGCTTCGCCGTTTCGTGGCTCGGACCAACCCCTGAGTTGGGTTGTCATGTTTGGATCGCTTGCCTCGACAAATTTACCGCACATCCGCACAAACTGTCCGGTCAATCCAACAGCGGCCGAAGAGAACCGAGTGACCACAAATCCGCCTCGTGAGTTGCCCGAGGAGGACGACGCACCTAAAGAAAGAACATATGGAGTCTCTTTTGGAGGAATACGTGGTACTTGTAATTAGAACCACGCTGAGAACCGTTGAATCCCGTGATGCTCAGGATAAAGAGGATCCCTTTTTTTTGCTGGCCTGCTCCTTGCTCGCCGGGCAAGCTCGCTAGGTGCAACAATTGGGAATGCGAGAGATTTGAAGCGTGGATCAACATATTACGCATGTGTGTGCGGGCTTAAGGGTACCCTTTTTGTGGGGTGGTTCGAAAGGGAAGCCAAAGAAACACCACCCATTCTGAGGGTCCCCATGTTTAAGACACACCCTTGATCGAGAGTGGATCCCGGAAAGCAAATGGTTGGGCTTGCAGGAAAACAGGAAACAAATGCAAAGTGTTGGATGTGCCTTATCAAATGCCCAATGCGATGGTTTGGGCCGCGCGTGATGACTTGGAAGGTCCGCAATGTTGCGTGGCTGCTATGTTTCACAGTCCACTTACGGGGTACGGGGTTCAACTGAGATTGTGCATATGTAGTCAAACTAGGTCCTCCAGAAGAGAGGTTAGAATAAGGGTGCCCTTTTTTCTGTAGTCTATTTAGTAGGGGAACCCTCCCCCAAGAAAGAAACGGTAAAAGTTGGCACCTAGCCGGGAGACCTAGCAAACATCTTCTGCAGAATGCTGCCGCATCCTTTCAAGAAACATCGCTCTCGCAAGCTTGCGCCTGTCAGAGGCATCGGAAAGAAAGCAAGAGCAGGTGGCCTCTCACCCACACGCATGGGAACCTCAAGCCCTTTTGCTGGACGGCAACCCTGATTTTGAACATCGTAACGGCAGGAACAACCCCTAAAATGGTGCAGAGGGGATTGCTATGCCTAGTCTCAGTCTTTGCTTCAAGAGCAATCCGCGGCTCATGGGTGTGGCTGAAATTAAAGAGCTAGGGTTACGCAGGTTTTAGTCTTTGGTTCCATCTACCAAGGTTCTATTTTGGTACCTTTTTTTGAGCCACACACATATTTGAGCTCGACTCGGTCGCTCAGTCTCAGGATGGCGCCCTCCTCATTCAGTGGCTGGCCTGCACGTTTTCCCATTTCAGCGCTCATCAAAGGCGCGACGCCGCGCGCAACCAAAATGTTTGCAGGATCTTTGACAAGAGCTCGGCCCTCGGCATTTCATGTTACAACTATCGTATTATAGGTGGAACTACATATAATCAAACCTCCACATCCGATTCCTTACATCGTCGTCTCGAGGAAAACCACTCAAAAAAAACCTGGCTCTCGAGCTACCGCTCGCTCTGAGCTACTGGCCGGCATAGGGATGAAGCGAAGCTTCGCCTACAGCTAAGCTAATCGTGGCTCAAAGACATGGAGACCAAAATGGCGTTCGTGGCAAATGGAAAAGACTCATATATGGGTATGAATTCTTTTTTTCGGCACCCGAACTGGTGCACTTCCTGTGGATTTGTGTGCACTTTTCAGAACATTAAAATTCACAGGCAACTGGCCTTGGCAAATGGAACAACAAAAACCCTGTGCCCATGGCAACTTGGCATTGTGAGCCACGCCCTTTCAGGATTCTTGCGACACCTTTTTTGTGTTTTCATCGTCATCGGGGATGGTTTGGTCCACCATGGAGGGTGTTCGATTTCAACCATAAGATTTCAACCCGACTTTAGAACCGAGTCTCCAGCCTCCCTTGCTGGAAACCAAATCGAAAGCTCAGTGAGCTCAAGTTCTGGTCGTCGGCTGCTAGAAGGGCTCTCCCAAAGGCACACGAAATGACGAAAACCGGAAAAAGAAAGAAAACAAACAAAACAATACAAAAAAGCAAATGGGTCCGAAGGCGAACTCTCCACGGTCTGGCCATTGCAAAGCTGCACACAAAAAGCAGCACAGCATTCACGCCTGTGCCGCCGTGCTTTCCGAGCTGCATGCCCTTGCCTGCAGTGAAACCCAAGGGTCAAGGACCAAATTGATCTTGAACGCATTTTTGATTTGGTATCCCTTTGAACTAGTTTGAACTGTTTTGAACTATTCTGAAATGATCTAAGTATAAATTCCTTTTTCCAAATAGTAGCCTAAGTGCATTTCAACTGGAACGGGATAAGTCTCCACATATATACAGACTATGCTACAAAAGTATTGCTCATGGGGGGGTGAGTTCCATCCATCCCTACGCTTCCGCCCTGAGCGTACAGGATCTCCAAGAGTTCATGGCTTCTGGGTGCTAAATAGGGGGTCTAGAAAAATACAACAAACCTCCCTGTTGGGAACCTAACACAAATGGACAGGGCTGTGGGGAATGACCACTTCTGTGATACAACAGAAAGGGCTTCCCAAAGACTATTTTCTTCATATAAAGGGGGATTCCCTTGTATCACAGAAGTGGGGAGCCTTGATCCCACAACCCTGCAAATGGAGAATTTAGCACCCAAAAACAAGTCAGACAACTCGAAACTGCTCCGTTCACCCAGCCTGCCGCTGGCTTTGGCAGTCCTCACGGGAAAGCGCCATGGACGAACACAGGGCCATGAGCGAGGCCTCTGATTTGGGCGTCTTTTTGTTGACGGAACACCCCGAAGGTTTTGCTGTTGGTTTCCATTCAAGACCAACCAACAAGGCATTCCTTCAACAAAGGACACGCCAAAATTTGATCAAAGAGGTTCGCATGCGAACCGCGAGCTTTGCAGTTGCTACAACATGTAAAGAGATGTATCTCTGGCGACAGCTCCACACTGTCCTGCGCCCAGGCCCTCCATGGACTTTGGCACGCCTAGCCAGAGGCCGGCTAAGATCAGCCAAGGATTGCATTTCTGGAAGTAGCCTAGGTCCTCCAGTGGAGAGGACAGAATAAGGGTACCCGATTTGTTGTCTGTAGTCCATTGTAGTAGGGGGACCCTCCCCCAAAAAAGGGCAAAAGAGCACTACTGGGGGACCTGCGCTAATCGCCATGTGCTATTGTGGAATCCGTTCTAGAACAACCTGGACCTTCAAACTCCGGGAAAATTATGGGTGATTTAGGAGACCTCTACGTTTTCTGTTTTTACGAATTCCAGTGGTGTAGCTACAACTTGGGCATAAACACATACGAATTGCGTCGTGTCCAGTCGCGCATTGACCATACAAAATAATACACCTCGCAGCGCTTGCCAAAGTGCCAGTGAACACCATGGGATGCCTTGATCATCAAAACTACCACTTTTTCTGATTTGCGGGGAGTTTGTGGGGAGACTTGCAGAAATTTGCGGGAGATTTGCGGAAATTTGCGGGTGTTTTGCGGTCAAATAATGGGTACGTTTTTTCTGCACCACGCAACTTTGGACCGCCGTTGCATGTTTGGACCCTCTGCGGCCTGCATTACGTGGTTTACAACTGCAACGCTTCCTTTAATCTCTGAAAGGCCACGAGCATTGTAATAGTGCGCTTTACGAGTTTAGGAGCTTCAGGTTTTTGCGGCCAACAGTACTACTATGGCGGAAACCACGGTTTTTTTTCAGGAGGACGAAGGTCCAGGAATGCAGACATTCGGGATTGCGCGTAGCACAAGGACTGAGCAACCAATGTGTTTTAGCAGCCGCATCCAGGTCCCCATAGCACAACCGGACAACTAAAACACGATGGGTTCAACAATGGAAATCAAACCTGAAAAGAGCGCCGGACTAAGCAAGGCACAAGGGGTCGTGACAAAACATGTTGCTTTCACATTGCGGTCACTCAAGTCTACAACTGCAATTCTGCAAAACACCTTCCGACTGCACATTCAATGCGCTCAAGGACCTCCATGGACTTTGGCGCGCATAGCTAGAGGCAGTGATGTGTCAAACACAAAGTGAAGCGGGTGAACGAAAGCTGGCCAGCCCCACAACGACAAGTACGCCTCAGTAACACCCAAAAAGTCAGAAAGTCATTGAAACCGGAATTGGACCAGGTCCTAGCCGCAAGCATTCGCAAACATATCGACAAAAAATTGGGAACGTGCTAGCTTAGCAGTGCGTTGCGGAGGGGGGGGGGGCAGGGGGAACCGAACCCTTCACCTTGGGGCCGGGCAGTAGCAAATAAGAATGGATCTTCGGGATCAATTCGATTTAGTACCCCCGAAGCTTGAACAAATTTACATCAATCTGTGAAGCCGGATCAGCCACCTGAATTGCTAAAGCTCAATGCTAGCATAGCTAGCTTTCGAAATAAGCATTGCACTTCTGGAAGTATGCCTTTTCGGACTGTTTGTGCAGGACTTCCTGATACATGAACAAGAGCACACGTTGAGGAGTCCAATAGCCTTGGCCGAGTCGGAATTGTCCTTCTCACCAGGGTTGGGCAACATATTATGTCCAAGCGCATAGGACAACCGGACACATAAAAGAAAAGGCTTTGCGCAATACAGTGGTTAAAGCATGTTCAAACCAGCGGTCGGCCGCCTGCTAGCAATCGGACCGGGCCCCAGCCTCCTGGCTTCGGTCCTGAGCGCGGCTGGCAACAAAGCAGGTGAACAAGGCCATCCCAAAAATGCGGCGGCATGAAAAGTGGGGCCAAACTGGGATAGACTCAAGTGTGCAGCTTCAACTGCAATTCGGCAAAACACGATCTCTGGCCCGCGTATCTGGCACTTCCGACCGAACAAAAATCCACTGCTCTGTCCTGCGCTCAAGCCCTCCATGGACTTTGGCGCGCCTGGCTGGAGGCAGTGATGTGTCAAACGGGTGAACGAAAGCTGGCCAGCCCGACGACATCTGCGACTCAGTTGCCACGATAGTGCGAATGGCAACTTTGAATCAACACCCCAAAAGTCAGAAAGTCATTGAGACCCGAGCTTGGACCAGGTCCTTCCCTAGCCGCAAGAATTCGCAATCACATCGACAAGATTTTGGGAACGTAGCAGTGCGGGGCGGCGGGGGGAGGGGGGGGGACGGGGACCGAACCCTTCACCTTGCAGGCGGGCCCGTAGTAAAGAATTGATCTTCGGAATCAGTTCAATTCACTAGCTTGAACAAATTCAAGTCAATCTGTGAAGCCGGATCAGCCACCTGAATTGCTAAAGCTCAATGCAAGCATAGCTAGCTTTCGTGATAAGCATTGCACTTCTGGAGTATGCCTTTTCGGACTGTTTGCGCAGGTCTTCCTGATACATGAACAAGAGCACACGTTGAGGAGACCAATAGCCTTGGCCGAGTCGGAATTGTCCTTCTCACCAGGGTTGGGCAACCCTCCAGGTGTGCATTTTTTCTGCCGCTTGCTGAAAAAACAATATGTTGTGTCGTTTGCTCCAAAAAGAACCTTTTCCTTTTAAAAGTGCTGCTTCAAATTCTTGCCAGGACGTGGTCGGCAAATGTCGCTTTTTGGTCGGGGAATGTCGCCTTTGGGTCGGGCAATGTTGCCTTTTCGTCTTCATCCTGGTTTCGCAAAACAGCAAAATCCGCAAAAATGCACTGAGGCAAAAACATGTCGTTTTCACCAAAAGAAGCCTTTGGCCCAAACAACACAAACAATGCACACTTACGAGGGCCCGGGTATGTCCAAGCCCATAGGACAACCGGACACATAAAAGAAAAGGCTTTGCGCAATACAGTGGTTAAAGCATGTTGAAACCAGCGGTCGGCCGCCTGCTAGCAATCGGACCGGGCCCAGCCTCCTGGCTTCGGTCCTGAGCGCGGCTGGCAACAGAGCAGGTGAACAAGGCCATCCCCAAAAAGGCGGCGACATGAAAAGTGGGGCCAAACTGGGATAGACTCAAGTGTGCAGCTTCAACTGCAATTCGGCAAAGCACGATCTCTGGCCCGCGTATCTGGCACTTCCGACCGAACAAAAATCCACTGCTCTGTCCTGCGCTCAAGCCCTCCATGGACTTTGGCGCGCCTGGCTGGAGGCAGTGATGTGTCAAACGGGTGAACGAAAGCTGGCCAGCCCGACGACATCTGCGACTCAGTTGCCACGATAGTGCGAATGGCAACTTTGAATCAACACCCAAAAAGTCAGAAAGTCATTGAGACCCGAGCTTGGACCAGGTCCTTCCCTAGCCTGGCCTGCATTTAAGAAGCTTACAGTCTTACAAGCATGTTTTTTGATTAAAAAATCTGCAAATGTTCGTGTGAAGTCAAGGTAACAATGATGAATAAGTCGTAATGAGCAGGCGTTGACGTTCGTGTAAAATCACGGTAACAAGGCTGCAAAAATCGTAAGGAGCATGTAGTGATGTTTGTGTACAACTGGTGAAAATGATGAATATGCGCTGATGTTCATGTAAATTTGCAGAAACAAAACATCAGCAATATGTGACAGTGTTTGTGAAATCATGGGGAAACAGCGGGTTCATGCTCATTTTAAACCAATGTACCTTGCTTCGTAGGATGCCAAACAAACATGGTGATGTGAGTTTTTTGGTGGTTCTGTGGTGGACAGGGGGCAACACGTTGGCAGCGCCTGTCTTGTCGTCCAAGCCAGTTCTTCCTCCCCAAACAGACAGACGCCAGCGATCTCATGGCAGTCTTGCAGCGCCTGTCTCCACTACCAGGGCGAGCACGGTCCTCCTCCCCCCAAACAGACATGCGCCAGCGATTTTAACGCAACAAGGCTGGCCAAGCTTTGCTTAGTCTGGCCTGCATTTAAGAAGCTTACAGTCTTACAAGCATGTTTTTTGATTAAAAAATCTGCAAATGTTCGTGTGAAGTCAAGGTAACAATGATGAATAAGTCGTAATGAGCAGGCGTTGATGTTCGTGTAAAATTACGGTAACAAGGCTGCAAAAATCGTAAGGAGCATGTAGTGATGTTTGTGTACAACTGGTGAAAATGATGAATATGCGCTGATGTTCATGTAAATTTGCAGAAACAAAACATCAGCAATATGTGACAGTGTTTGTGAAATCATGGGGAAACAGCGGGTTCATGCTCATTTTAAACCAATGTACCTTGCTTCGTAGGATGCCAAACAAACATGGTGATGTGAGTTTTTTGGTGGTTCTGTGGTGGACAGGGGGCAACACGTTGGCAGCGCCTGTCTTGTCGTCCAAGCCAGTTCTTCCTCCCCAGGCAGACAGGCGCCAGCGATCTCATGGCAGTTTTGCAGCTCCTGTCTCCACTACCAGGGCGAGCACGGTCCTCCTCCCCCCAAACAGACATGCGCCAGTGATTTTAACGCAACAAGGCTGGCCAAGCTTTGCTTAGTTACCCTGGTTCCTTCGACAGTTTCATCAGTTCGTTTGTCATGACTTGTTCAGCATGGCTGCCCCGTAGCTGAAAAACATATCCTGCGCATCACAGTTTTTTGCACTACAAGAAGCACCCCCGTTCCCCCTTTGACACCACAGTTTCCCCACTTGCGCCACAAGAGTTCCGCCTGTGTACAGCAGTTTTCCCCCTTCGCACCACAAGAATTTCCAACGCATAACGCTGTTTCCCCGTTTGCACCACAAGAATAGCCCTTGTATACTGCAGATTCCCATTTGCGCCACAAGAATTCTCCGTGTTTGCCGCAGTTCTCCCCTTTTATTTTGCACCGCAATAATTTCCGACGCATACCGCAGTTTGCACCACGCGAAGTCCAGCTGTATTCCGTGGATCCCCTCCTTTGCACCACCCAAAAATCGTCTAGTTTCCCGCATTTGCGCCACAAGAATTCTCGCTGTGTACAGCAGTCAGCAGTTTTCCCCCTTTGCACCACAAGAAGTTCCCACGTATATATAGCGCAATTTTCCCCCATTGCACCACGAGAATTGCCTTCCTTTGCACCACGAGAATTTCCCGTGCTTTCCCCTTGTGTGGCACAAGAATTCCGCTTGTATACAGCAGTTTTCCCCCAAATTTGCATCACAAGTTCCACGCATACCGCAGTTTCCCCTCCCCCTTTGCACCACAAGAATTCCACCTGTCTACTGCAGTTTTCCAATTCCGCAGGTTTATTGCAGGTTTGCCCTTTTGCAAGAGAATAACTGCCCCTATACTGCAGCTTTCTCTCTTCGCACCATGAGAAGTCCCCCTGTTTACCCACAGATTCCCTCTGTGCACCACAATAATCCTGCGCGGTTACTGCAGCGCCCTTGTTGCACCACAATGATAGCCTCTTTGCGTCGCAGTTTTCCCGCTTGTGCACAACCGAACTATACCGCAGTTTTCCCCACAAAACGTCCGCCCGCGTACAGTCTTCCCCCTTTGCGCCACACTATTTTCCCCGTTTGCACCCCAATCTCCCACATATACCGCAATTTTCCTTCCCCCTTTGCACCACGAGAATTGGTGCGAAGAGGATGTTCTCAGGGAGGATGAAGTGGCCTGAGCAACGCCAAGCGGGAGGCGCCGGCATTCTTGTGGCGCAGAAGGGGGAAGTTGTAATAGACACGCGGAACTCTGAAGGGGGGGGGAAACCTGCTGTATAAAAGGGCAATTCTTGTGGTGCAAGGGGGGAAAACTGGCGTTCACAAAGGAAAACTGGGGAATTCTTGTGGTGCAAAGGGGGAAATCTGTAGAAAACAAGGACGACCAGACCACTCTCGGTTGGTGCAAAGGAAAAACTCTGTTGTGCGTTGGATGTTCTTGTGGTGTGAAGGGGGAAGCCACGGCATACAGCTAGACTTCTCGTGGTGCAAAAGGGGAAAACTGCGGTATAGATCATGTGAAGTTCCAAGGGGGAACAACCGCGGTGTATTCTTGTGGTGCAAAAGGGGAAGTTTGCGGGGCACAGGTGGATTTCTTGTGGTGCAAAGGGGGAAAACTCTGGTGGTGCAAACTGGGGAAGCTCTTGTGGTGCAAAGGGGGAAACTCTTACTCTTGTGGTGCAAAGGGGGAAACTCTTGTGGCTCAAAGGGGGAAACTCTCGTAGTGCAAAGAAGGAAACTCTTGTGGTGCGAAGGGGGAAACTCTTGTGGTGCAAAGGGGGGAACTCTTCTCGTGGTGCCAAGGGGGAAACTCTCGTGGTGCACGGGGGAAACCAAAGGGGGGAGCTCTTGTGGCGCGAAGGAGGGAACTATTGTGGTGCAAAGGGGGAAACTCTTGTGGTGCAAAGGGGGAAACTCTTGTGGTGCCAAGGGGGAAACTCTTACTCTTGTGGTGCAAAGGGGGAAACTCTTACTCTTGTGGTGCAAAGGGGGAACTCTTGCGGTGCAAAGGGGGAAGCTCTTGTGGTGAAGGGGGGAAACTGTTGCGGTGCCAAGGGGGAAGCTCCTGTGGTGCAAAGGGGGAAACTCTTGTGGTGCAAAGGGGGAAACTCTTGTGGTGCAAAGGGGGAAACTCCCGTGGTGCAAAGGGGGGAACTCTTACTCTTGTGGTGCAAGGGGGGAAACTCTTACTCTTGTGGTGCAAAGGGGGAAACTCTTACTCTTGTGGTGCAAAGGGGGGAACTCTTGTGGTGCAAAGAGGGAAACTCTTGTGGTGACGGGGGGGGAACTCTTGTGGTGCAGAGGGGGGAACTCTTGTGGTGCAGAGGGGGAAACTCTTGTGGTGCAAAGGGGGAAACTCTTGTGGTGCAAGGGGGAAACTCTTGTGGTGCAAAGGGGGAAACTCTTGTGGTGCAAAGGGGGAAACTCTTGTGGTGCAAAGGGGGAAACTGCTGTGGTGCAAAGGGGGAAACTCTTGTGGTGCAGAGGGGGAAACTCTTGTGGTGCAAAGGGGGAAACTCTTGTGGTGCAAAGGGGGAAACTCTTGTGGTGCAAAGGGGGAAACTCTTGTGGTGCAGAGGGGGAAACTCTTGTGGTGCAAAGGGGGAAACTCTTGTGGTGCAAAGGGGGAAACTCTTGTGGTGCAAAGGGGGAAACTCTGTGGTGCAAAGGGGGAAACTCTTGTGGTGCAGAGGGGGAAACTCTTGTGGTGCAAAGGGGGAAACTCTTGTGGTGCAAAGGGGGAAACTCTTGTGGTGCAAAGGGGGAAACTCTTGTGGTGCAAAGGGGGAAGCTCTTGTGGCGCAGAGGGACAACCGAGCCCCGTGCGAAGAGCTGGAGGTGAGCAGGCGACGAGCTGGACAGGCGCCTGTCAAGGGAAACAATGGGCAAAAGTGCATTTTTAGTTTTCCATGCCATCTCCAGGCCTGCCATCCAATTTCCCTTTTTCCGTGTTTCTGCCACCTAGTTGTCCATGCCATCTCCATAATCATATCCAGACCCCAAATTTCCTTGCTTTTTGCTACGGGGAAAACCTGGCTTCCCTTTCCCACCCGGGAACTCTTGTGGTGCAAAGGGGGAAACTCTTACTCTTGTGGTGCAAAGGGGGAAACTCTTACTCTTTGGTGCCAAGGTGCAGAGGGGGAAACTCTGGTGGTGCAAAGGGGGAAACTCTTGTGGGCAAAGGGGGAAACTCTTGTGGTGCAAGGGGGGAAACTATTGTGGTGCAAAGGGGGAAACTCTTGTGGTGCAAAGGGGGAAACTCTGGCGGCGCAGAGGCTGAGGGACAACTGAGCCCCGTGCGAAGAGCTGGACAGGCGCCTGTCTGCAGGCGACGAGCTGGACTGCGTGCGCCTGTCAAGGGAAACAAATGGGCACAAGTGCATTTTCCTAGTTTTCCATGCCATTTCCAGGCCTGACATCCAATTTCCCCGCTTTTTCCGTGTTTCTGCCACCTAGTTTTCCATGCCATCTCCATATCCAGACCCCAAATTTCCTCGCTTTTTCCGTGTTTTTCCGTGTTTTTGCTACGGGGAAAACTTGGCTTCCCTTTCCACCCTTTCCGTGTTTTTGCTACGGGGGGTTTTCCATGCCATCTCCAGGCCCATATCCAGGCCCCAAATTTCCCCGCTTTTTCCGTGTTTTTGCTACGGGGAAAGCTTGGCTTCCCTTTCCACCCTTTTAACGGAACCCAAATCAGAACCCATTCCGCGCGCGTAGGGCGGCGCTTTGGGGTCCCGGGCACGTGATGTCTTGTTGCGGAGTCTGG